TCAGTCCCGATGGCCGTGGGGCGAGTATTTTCTCACACTTTTCACAAGGCGCAATAAAGGAAATAGGTTTACGTAATTAACAAACCTGTCGAATGAAATTTGACGATACCTTGCCCTTCTTAAAAATGTTTACCTCATTATTTATTTCATTTGTGTTTTAATATGTCCAAAGTACAGATAGTTAAAAGAATTAAATAAACTTTAAATGCGCTTTAGTTAATGTATATTAGAAAATAAAACGTAATACAATTTGAAATATAAAAGATGGATCTGCGTTGGTAATACGCTGATTACGGAAATAGTTTAACATATATAGTGACAAAAAGAAAGTATAAGGAAATTGGACCTGAAAAAAAGGAATTTTAAAATTAATCTTTGAAAGTAACACAGTTCAATCAATCGAGCAATCAATAAGTCTTTATTCATGAACACTTGTCTATCATCTAAAAACTGAAATTTCTAGTGGGGCGAGAGGGAACGCGGAGTAAGACATAGACTAGCAAATCAGTGCATCAAGTGTGCCATTTAAAAGAGAAGAAATGAAAACAAGGTCGGTATTAACACCATGAGTAGCAAGCGATTTTAATAATTGCTTCCGATTACTCAAATAAGAGTAAATCGAGCTTAATTTAAGGTTCTTCAAAATCACAACCCATAAGGACATTTATCAGTACTGTAAACGATATACGCCTGATTTCTCCTAGTAAAGGCATCGAACACATATTCTGTAAATATACAGTTATACGAGGTTATAACAAGGGGGAGAAACTATACTTCTATTAAAATTTGATTTGCTGCAGGTTGAATACATTTGCGAATTATTCGCTCGAACAGTTTCCCAATATTGCATGATAGATATCGTTCTATAATTACCCACATCAGTAATATCATCAGATTTGAACACCGAAGATATTTTATATTATATAATTTTTGCACATCCTCTTTTGTTGCATTTTTTGTTTTTTGATACGTCGATTAATTTTCACTATAATATTAGTCAGGATATCATAATATTTTCCAATTTCATCGTGACTTTAAATTGATGCTTCATGTTGTCTGCATAAACCGATGCCTGTGATTGTGTTCATCATTTCGTATTAGTTTCAATTAGCCTATTTATATTAATACTGTTCGACTAATCCTTAAGTTTTTTACATGTTCCGAAATACGTATAGGTATTTTTTATTATACATGACATAAAATGTATGTAAAATTAACGTTTAAAAATATTTTATATATAAACACATTTTGTAGATTTGCGGGTAATATAAATGTATGCCTATATATAATATAGTTTTTTTTTTTTGTTATTTAATCTTTATAATATTATTTTCGTGTGTTATAAATTTTATTGTATAAAGAAAAAAAGATACTACGATAACTTTAGATAAATTTGTATTTAGTTAGTAATTTTTTTTTTCTTGTTTTTCTGAAAAAATACTTTATAGAAATGTGTGTAAATATAGATCTTATCGGTATACCACAACCTATTATTTTAAATTTTTAACTTGTATATAGTAATATTATAATGTTATTGTGTGTAAATTGTGAATTTATGTTATTATGGTATAATTATTATATTTATTTATTATAAAATTATTATTTCTATGTGAATATACTATAAAACAATTTTTATATTTGCTTGTTTTATAGTAGTTATTATGCTATTAAAGGAATAGATATAATTAATAAGTATATATTATGAGATCGCAAAGTGTTAAAACTCAAAATGTACCTTGTTTTTAGTCAACTGTATAATTATATTTTATTTTTATTTTTGTGCATATATTATATACAATATTACTTTATCGTGTTCTATAAAATATTAAAAGTTCCATTAAAAAAAAAAAAAAAATATATATATATATATATATGATATATCTATAATTATTTATAAGGTTGGGAATTAACGAATTAATAAGTTAAAAATTAAGTTGACTTTTAACTTATTAACTTTACTTTAACTTAACTCATTTGCCTTTGTTCAGATTGGTCTAACCATGTTGCTGTAAACATTTTTCTTATTTTAATTCAGTACTTTGATAAACACTTTGGGATAAAACATAATTTAATCGATCTTAAATCATTATCCAATGAAATAATTGAAACAATTTGTAATTTATTAATTGAGATATTAGTAAATTAAATATACTTTTAAAATGTACAGCTTTTTCTGGAGACAATTTATTATAACACCAATATCGGTGGTATAGATAGATGAGAGACAAATAATGTTTTTCATCGTCTCCAGTAACATATAACAAAATAAATCAATTGAATGAAAGTTATTTATTATTTATTCATTAATTGACTAACATGTGAACAAACTTATTAAAATGTTTTGAAGTTTTAATCAATAGTTTTACTTTTTGAATTTGATGAATACTCTAGAATTGGAAGCAGAAATAGAAGAATGGTTAAGCCTTTCAGAAGTATACCTAACGATATTATATTAATTTATTATATTTATATTTGATAAGTCATATTTATTTGATCAGTTCCACTAATTCAGATATCGCTGCCATAATGTCTATTTAATTGTTGTGTTTAGCTGGACTAAGTTGTGTATTATTAAAGTATATTTCATAATAATTAGGAAAAACCAAACCAAACGAAATATAGGATTTTTCCAAATACAACACAACATTATTTCATTATTTTAAATTTGTATGGCTTAAATTTTTTACCATAAATATAGCTCCAACGACAAGAGACCTTTGTTGTTAGTTTTTTCTGTTAGGTTAGATAACCTTTGCGAGTTTTTTTATATAATTTTTGTTCGATAAGTACTTTGTGGATACAATTGTTAGACTAAACAGAAAAGTTTGAAAATTTAACAGGATAATGAAGTTCTGTGTTCACTATCGTTGTTAAGTAATATCGCAATAACATTGTAATAAGTCAGTCCGCTCAGTGGTGAGCGGACTGACTTATTTTCAAAACTATGGACCTATTGAAGTTCTGAAATGATGCGGATTTTATATGTATTATGTTATTAATAGCTTAATAATGTCAATATCATATTATATCTTTCGCAGTCTATTGGTAGTATGGACTTGTTGTCGACCTAGAAGTCGCGAGTTCATTTAAAAATGTATAAATTATGTTTACATATATTGGTTAAAGGTTGTTTACAGTGTTAATTTTTGTAAGAAAATTTAAGATTTGTATGGAGTCGTCTTCATTTAAGGCTTCATCTAATCGGTCTGGTATTAATAAAGAGTTTCGAATGTTTTGAAGTTCTAGGCAGTCTTGGATGATGTGTTTGATGGTTAAGTATTCTTGGCATTTATTGCATATGGATCTTGAATCCTTACTAATTAAGATAGAGTGAGTCAAAAAAGAATGTCCAATTCTCACTCTGGTAAGTGCGACTTTTTGTCGGCTATTTATGTTTTAAAGAATGTGTTACGTTTTAGTGCATTTTTTAATCTTTTTTAATTTGTTGGAAGGTAGAACAGAATTCCAATAACTTTATTATGCCATATTTGAATTTGTTCTATGTATATTTTGATGTCGTTTGCCGGTGTGCTAGTATTATTGAAAATTAATACCTACGATTATTGATTAACGAAATGCCCTACGAATATAAATTATTTACATTAATATTATTATATATTTATTACTACCAATTACCTACCATAGTTTTAATTAATAGCATAATTCGATATTACAGGGTGTCAATCAGTGTTATCCATGTGCTAATAAATCTGTCAATATTAATTTGTTTTTTTAATTTTTTTAAAGGATCACATTCGCAACACGGTAATTCTTTATCCCAACGGTAATTTATAATAATTGTTTTAACACAAATTTTTTATAATTTAAAACGGCTATTACTAAGAAATTATTGATCGGATATGAATGTACGATAAATTACAATTTTACGAAATGGCCCAAAATGGCACTTTTACAAAATAGCTTTACCAATATTTGAGGAAATAAAACAAAATATAGATAATACAAGAATATTTCTAATATTTATGGGCAAACATTTATTGTGAAATTCAATTTGGTTTATCATTATCACAGGAGACTACTCTATTTCAATTAGGAATTCCTGGAATTCTGCACACAACATTTACCGTGAATTAAACAACGTTGAAAACTAATGTATATTTGTGTAAGTAAATGGGCTGAATTAATTTATTATAATATTATAATATAATATAATAGCTATATAAGTATATAATAATATTACTGTAAATAATTTTTATTCGTAGCGGTTTTCATTAATCAATAATCATACGTACTAATTTGCATAGTCGTTAAAAAACTAAATTAATAATTGTATAAACGAAAAATATAATGCATGTAGATAAAAACCAATAAGCAAAATATAGTACGTGTTATGTCATTCCCAATTTTCAACCTACAACACTAGTCTACTCATATTGCGAAATATGGAAACATGATATTTTCATGAATTTTACACCTGTCCTGCGTGTTTGAATCCTATCACTTTGCGCCCGTTATCCTCCAGCATCGCCAGTAGAACCTCGATTATCCGAACCTCCGTTATACGAACCCTCTATTATCCGAACAATGATTAGCGTATCCGAACGTTCTGTTATCCGAACATGAAAACTCCTATCCGGCCGGTTTAACGAATTTATCATAATTATCGCTTTTGGTTTATTATTAGTACATATTATGTACGTTTATTTTTGTAATGTACTATTTTAGATCCAGAAATATTTATGTTGCTTTCGAGGGTATTCGAAAATACCTCGTCACATGAAGCACTCTGTATACGGGGTGTATTAGAGTTGGTATTTTTTGATCTGTTATTATTACAATTTAGATTAGCATTCCCATTTCTAGACATTGTTAGTTATTTTACGTATTTTACGTGGGTCAATCATTAGTAGATAACCAAAACGCAACGGGCTTATCTAAACGACGTCCTCGTGTTAAACTTGTCAGTTTAGTTCGGCTCTCTACTGCACACACATCGTTATACATACGTATAAATACATTACGATTGTCAAGTATCTAAAATGTCTAATAAAGGTAAACGTCATTTTCTTACGATGGAACAAAAAATAGAAATTCTTACTACACTGGACAAAGGAGAGACTAGTGTATCTTTAGCCCGTCTTTATAATATAGGTAAAGCAACAGTTACAGGTATTAAAAACGACCGTCATGCAATCATGGATTTTGCGTCAAAGATGGTGATGGATAGTGGTGATGGAATAAAAAGAAGGAAAGTTATGGAAGTCGCAAAATATCAAGATCTAAATATCAAAGATCAAGACAAAGCAATGGAAATGTGGTTTATACAAAAACGAAGCTTAATTGAACCAATTTCTTCGTTGCAAAATGAAGAAAGTGACGACAGCAGTAGTGATAAAAGTATGGGTACACCAAAAGGACCAACATCTGTTGAAGCATTTGCCGCATATGAAACTGGTCTTGAGTGATTTGAAAAACAGGCCGAATGTTGTCCAACACAATTACTTCTTCTTAAACGTTTGCGAGACTTGGCTGCAGAAAAGCGCGTTGCAGTTCATCGTCAAATTAAAATTGATAATTTTGTGAAAAAAATATAATAAATAATAAATGTAATGTATTTCTGATAATTTAATGTATGTAATTCTAATAAAATATTAATAATAACAATAAATATTTAATTATAAAAATAATAAATAATTAATACATAATATTATCCGAACTGGTGCGGTCCCAATTAGTTCGGATAATCAAGGTTCTTCTGTATTATCTAAATTATATTAGAACTGTTCATTCAAAATTTAAAATTATACAAAATTAATATTATCTAATATAATCGTAATACAACTGACAAATTATTGTAGTTTAAATGTCTAATATCATAGATAAATGTTATTTAATTTATTCAAATACTGTATTACGAGTACATTATTTGAAATTATATAAAATTAATATGATATAATATAATACTAAGGAAACGGTAGACTATAATAGATTCACAATTGCGTTCGATTATATTAAATTATATTATATTCATTTTACATAATTTTAAATTTTGAGCGATTAATCCGCCTCATATAATTTCAGTAGGTAAAGATTTCGATAACGAGCGCAAAACGAACGAAAAAGGAAATGGGCGCAAAACGCACGGGCAAAGTGCTCGCTATCATCTCATCGGACATTACTTCATTTATAACTTTAAAAAAAATAGCCACGTACAAAGTGGCCTACCCATGGTACGAACTATATCAAACATGTATTTCCATAAGACTTTAACCTACTCCGCGGGATTAAATTCACAATTTCATCGGCAAGCGCATTATCATAATTTAGATGCTAGCGAAGATAAACACAGACTAACTGCATGATAGATCACAATAAATACCCAAGGCACTAACTAAGTAACTAATGCGATTTACCGTTTTTAAATACAATTAATAACACTGATCTAGTTTACATTATTACCGCCAAAAATAGAAATGTATAGTGCTTATAAATTAGTACAATATAACACCTGTATTATGAATAAAAATATATTCGGTATTCCAATAAATAATAAAAATGGAATAATCAATAAGTAAAAATATATAAAATAAATAATTTAAAACATAAATATTAATAAAAATTAATTCAATCACCCTGGAGTCAGATTTGCTTGACGTCACATTTGCCTAGGCTAACAGGTGACTGCAGTGAGTTAGATTAGCCTGTTACACCAGTATCAGTGATTGTTGAAAGTAAAATTGTTTTGGTCGCTATATCTGTTGACTTATTGGCCATCTCGTTGCCGACAATGCCAATGTGTGATTGTACCCACATAAATTCTATATTATTATTATTAATTTTTTTAGATAAATATAATTCGGTTTGGATGTTCTGGATTATTTCATTGGTAGAGAAAGGGGGGGGGGGTTGGAATGGCAGGAGGGTGCCAAGAAAGTCGCTTAGTATTAGTATGTTGTTATTTGAGGTTGTGAAATTAATTAATTTGATTGCTTCTAAGATGTCGTAGTTGTCTGCAAGGAAATGCTGCTTTCCGGAGGGAGTTTGTGTAGGATTTTGGTTTTTTCTTTGATGATCGCAAAAATCTATTCCGTGTGGGGATTTAGATGCAGCGGTATAAATTTGTAAGAAGTTGGGGAATTTATTTTCGATGGTTTCTTTGAAATCGGACGTGATAATGGTCGTGTTTATTGTATGGTTAATTATGTATTGCGTTGGATTTTCCAAAGCGCCAAGGTGGACATTTTGGGAATGTTATTTTATTTTTAACAGATGTGTGAATTTTGAACTTATTGCACAAAAATGAGAAGATACTATGTGCCAGACAGCAAATTTATACCTTTAAAATATTTTACAGAAAATATACTTCATTTTAAAAATATATTAAGATCATTGCAAAATATTTTAATGTTTTGTAAATATTTTTGTCGCTTCAAATACATACTCAAAATATTTTTAAGATATTTAGATAATATGTTTGTGTCGTAAACAGCGGTTTATGTTTTATATTTTGTGTTTAAAACTAGGGTTCGAGACTTGTTGCACTAAAAATGATTGGAATATGCAAATATGCAGTCAAATCGTCAAAATATGCTTAAAAATACGCAGGCAATTTTTTACTTTATTTTTGACACATGAAACATATTATAATAGTTATAGAAATAAAAATCTCAAAAATAGATTGGTAGGTACATAATAAAAATTGTCTATAATAAGATTAATTACTAAGTGATAAAGATAAAGAGACACGCACCTACGACTTACTTGCCCAAAGTACTTTATTAAAAGAGATATTTTTGAATGTTATACAAGTACGATTTAACTACTCAACAATACACCAGATGAACCGTCTCACTGATAAAATCACAACCTCTTTTGAAAATAAAAAATACTGCCCTGGAGTTTTCCTAGATGTTGCCCAGGCGTTTGATCGTGTATGATATGATGGTCTGCTTTAGAAGTTAAACAATTTCCTTTCAGCACATTACTATTTGTTAATCCGTTCTTATCTTCTCAACCAAACTTTTTCAGATAGACAAGGCACCCCTACCTCTCCATATTTTTCAATATTTGCTAGAGTCCCGCAAGGCAGTGAACTCTCCTTAATCTGTTTAATATATTTAAATCCGATATTCCCATAACAACTAACACAAATATCACAACTTATGCTGACGATACAGCCATTCTCATTTCCGACACTGATCCTGATATAGCATTCCCCCGCCCTTCAAATCACCGCAGTTTTTTACGCTGATTTAATAAATATCTGGGCAACCAGATGGTGAGTAAAAATAAACCCTGAAAAATCATTTCATGTTTCATTCACACTCAGGAAAAAAAACTCTTCACCCCTTCAACTGTAAGGTGTTGATACCCTGTTACACTGCAGGTAAAATATCTAGGGATCATAATTGATAACAGATTAACATGGGACCCACACCGAAAATCCAAACACAAATTATTAAATAATCGTCTACACATACTTCGCCCAATATTAAAGTTCAAACTTCCAATAAATTCAAAATGAATAATATATAAATCTCTTTTAAGGCCCATCTGGCCTTATGGCACACAAATTTAGGTAAGCGCCAAACCGGTCTCAAATACAAACTATTAAAGCATTCCAGTCTATATTCCTCCGTCTCATAGCCTCTGCACCATGGTATGCCACAAATAATGCACTCTACAAGGATTTAAAAATCCAAACTGTTGAATAACTAACTAAACAATATAACATTAAAGTTCACAAAAAATTATAGCAACACCAAAATCCACTTATATCCCACCTATCTTCACTCACACTACTTGAATACCACCTTCGTCGCCTCAAAAGGCGCTGGTGTGTCGACATCTTTTATGATATAATAAAAAAAAACAAAAAAAAAAACAAAAACTATCATAACCTCACCTGTAGGGCCACTTTAATTACGGACAAACAAGCATGGAACCATAGCCTGTTGGCTGCCCGTCTGGTTTTAATTTGTGAGTGGCGACCACACATCCCTGTTTCGAGACCTCTCTAGAAAAAATACATTCATTATTCACGATGTTCCACGTGAAGACCGACTCGATATACCAATCTCCACACATGCGGACGGGAGAACCCATCTTAATTAATATTTAAGTAAACCACTGTCATGTCTGCACACATCCTATTATGCCTCGATATGAGTCCTAATAATATTGTAAAAAGTTGATCCCGTATATGTTAGTGTTCAAGTTAGTAACTTAGTTATATCAATATCCTTGTTAAGATGATGAAAATATCGTCATATTTACTATTTATTTGAATTGTAATTGCACATGTTATTATTTACTTATATCTGTTATGTACCTATACCTACTTTCAAAATCGTACCCATGTATTTAATTTTTCATTCGTTTTATTTCATTGAGTTTTTATGCCTCTCTCTTTTCTGCCGCATAAATTAACTAAAATCATGATTAATTTCCCCCAAAATTCTGTGTTTTTTTATTATAGTTTTCAAGTACCTTTTCCCCTATCGACTATCAAAACCAGTGTAAACCCACAAAAATCCTGGAGCTCCGAAAACCGGATCTCATCTGGTGACCTTGCCCTTGGTAGCCGTCAACTGAGCGTTCGGGCGGCTAAAATAACAAGGCGGCCGAACGGGTCGTCACAACTATTTAAATTCTGCAAAACTTGATTCACTTATATTATTATTTTTTCTATATCTTATAATAATGCAATTGTTGATATTCAATATATTGATATTCAATTGTAGGTTAATCCACGACCATATGCCAATATATACATCATATACCTAATGTACCTACACAGCTGTGGTTTAATGTACAGTAAAATATTATAATCGACAATTGCACCATCTGTTGAAGTATTCTAAAAATAACATTTATGATATAGATAGCGTCACATAGCCATCCCCCGGAAAGTCTACGTTAACGGCACACAGAGTTTCTGATGTTGCCAGACTTATCTTTATGGCCGTGGTTTACAAAAATACAAAATGATAACATTTGGTTATGAATTGGTAAGAATTGGTTAAGATATTTATCTTTGTTTCACAATTTTGTGAGTATTTCTTATACATTTTAGATTGAAAGCATATTCATAGTTAATTTGGGAAATTAACTTGCAAGTAAAAATGTAAAACAAAACATACTTTAAAAGGAAGTACCTTAACAATAATGTTTGTTTTTATTTAAATAGATAAACTATTTTTACTAACATTTGTACCCGTTATTCATACTAATAAACAAAATTATTACTTGCAAATAAAAATAAAAAGACGTCCTAAGATAATGAGGATGGATGTAATCACTGGTGTAGATGGGAAGTTGGGAAGGTAGGATATAGACGGGAATTTAATGTATATCTGTAAGCAACGATAAACCATTTATTACGAAAATACGATTCTTCAGTTGATTGTGGTGCTTTGTAAACAATATATATGTCATTTCATAGTAAAACAATTAAATAGGCTTTGTAAATTTTCTTTAAATAATATTTTTTTTAATATTGTACTGATTTTCCCAAATTTTCTACGTTTTTCTCGGTTTTCGCATGTTTTATCCCTGTCATTCCCATTTTCTGGGAAAAATTTTGAGAAAAACGAAAACTGATCTCTCTAAAGTACCTCTCCAGTAAAATTTCCTTTTAAAAAAATTGATATTAATAATTAGAGCAAAAAGGCTGGTTGAAAAGATATTCACAGAAAAAAAAAAAGTCGTAATATATTTTAACTAATACCTAAATTTCTTATATTTTCCCGGTTTTTTCGGTTTATCAAATTTGATGAGAAAATCGAAAATGACCACCTTACAGTTTCTCCATATTCCAATTTCCTACAGAAAAAGTGCTACATTTAAAAGTCTGAGCCACCGGCGGCGGTGGCGAATAGCTGCGCGCACCGTGGTCCGGTCCGCCTTATCGCATTTATTTCATTTGCTCTCGTCCACCGATTGGTGAACGCGTTTCTTTATGCGGCGTCCGAAATCGGCTTTATTTTTCCTCTTCTCTAAAGTTTTTTGACCAACGAGAAATTATTTTAGTGTCAATAACAACGTACGGATGGCGTCTCGGTGGCGATTTTGTCGTTTATTGTTGACACACCGAACCCGCAGTAAGTACAATGTGTGTGGAAGTACCTATTCGGTACTCGGTCCTGGCCGGCGCGCACGTGATTTTTTTTTCGTTACAATTGTAATATATTTGTGCATTTACGCGACTGGGCGTAGCGATTATATTTTTGTATTAATCAATGCTTATGTCGCCGGACAATTTGCTGGTGTGATTTTTTTGTATAACTGTCCGCAGCCCGTCAACGAGCGAAGCCCGCGGCCCCTTCCCCGGTTGGGTATTCCCAAAGTGGTCCAGAAAAACCGGCGTGAGGTTGCTTGTGATGTACCTGCATTGTATTATATTTTTACGTGTAAACCAATACCTATCCTAAATGGATAATTGTGTACACCTAATCGAATAGGCGGAAATTTTGTAACCGTTCTTATTTCAGCTGGTGCACGTGTTTTTAAAATTTTTTTTTATTCACAATTGTATCGTGTATTTATGGGTTGGGCCAACACGACTATATTTTTGTATCTTTTGATACGTACATCACTGGATATATTACGGGTGTATGTACGGGAATCCGATAGGATGTCGTTTGCATAATATTACACATTATTTTAATTTAGAAAAAAAAATTAATAATTTTTTTGCGTCCGTTCGAAAATACTATGTTTATATACCTATCTGGTAATATCTGTATTTAAAAAAATAAAACAACAAGAAAAAAAAAACAAATACGAATTATATGATATAATCATAAGGTATAAGGTCTATGGTATTGGAATAATAATTTTGCTACGAAGATTTAGGTAAAGACAAAATCTACGAAAAGCGCGGTGTGTTTTGTGCAGGCACACCGCCGAGATACTATTATTAATAATTATTTTGTTGGCATCCACGAACTGTGACGTTTAATAAAAAATACAGCTAAAAATAGAAATGTGAGTTAAATATTTAGTTTTATGCATCTAGGACAAAAATGTATGCAATTTATACTGTTCTTTTCAGAAAAAAATCTTATTTATACAAATTAATAAGAAAGATATTTAGATTTCTGTTTTATATCATAATTAAAATATTTCGAAGTTGCCAGGGCATATTTCAGTTATTTTCATAAGATTATAGGATCTGTCATTATCACTGTCATCTATCACTTCACAACTTTCATTATCTGTTATAATAGTTTAATCACATAATTAATAGATATTAAAAATATATTTCAAACATATTAAATAGATTGAAATATTATATAAAAGTATTATAAGAAAAAATAAAATAAAACTATTTTTAAACGTTAAAAGTATTTATTTTCGATTTTCGGTTGTGTCAACAATTGCTTGAATAATAATTTCGATATTTTTTTTCATATGAACCTTAAAAAAAAGAATTATAATCTTGTGTAAACTAACGACCTTGTGAAGACGAAAAACACTACATGTACGTTAGGGTGCCAGTTAATTATATAGAAAGATAATTATTTGTCAAATTTTGAAGAACGCCGGCGGGAAATTTGTTCCAATACATCTATTATTAGAGTCTGTAAAGTTTGAGTTCGATCCAACATAGTTAACACGTGGCGACTTAGCTCAAAGTTTTATGAAAAACCGTAAAATGTCACGGTTTGTTGCATAACTACTTAAAATTGTATATCTTTACATTTGTTCGTAGAATTAATCCTTAACCGTGAAATAAAACAAATACGTTGAAGCTCATTTTTTATGAAAAAGTTATTTTGGAAATATACTTTATATTTTAATGATAGGTACATGATTAAATATTTTCAAATAAAAAATAAACATACAATTTAGATTTATACTTATCAAACTTTAATTTAACGTTCAATAAACGTTAAATGATTTCTTCGTGAATTCCAATGTAGCATTTTTGAGATTTTTTTACGTTAATCTTGAACGGTCTATAATAAAACAAATAATTACCTATCTTTGATTTTGTTTAAATATTACTTATCTAGAAAATGGTTTTAATATTTACCTATAATAAAAGCTGTTTTTGAGTTTCATCTTTTGTAATTTTATCATTAAACTCTTCCATCAATTTTATGTTCCTTTCAGCAGAGTCGTTTACGGTTTTTAAGTTTCTTATGGCAGAATCCCTTTTCTTAAATGAATATATCTCGTTCCATGTTTTAGGATGTGATTTTAAAAATTCTGTTGAAATTTTAAATTTTAAAAAACTGTTTTTTTTTTTTAACTGATTATTATATTGTTATTTAATATTTATATGAGAAGTTGCTTATCACACATATTAAACGTAAACATATTTAAACGTATAAATTAGATATTACCAGGTCTTTTTATAACATATTTTATTATTTTCATTGGTAAGGGTGAACTATACAATGAAATGTAAATATACATTTTTTTTAGGAATTAATTTTAACTACAATAATGATTCTATAAATTTTTTTGTAAAATACAATTTTTAGTAGTTATGCGACATACCGTGATATTTAACATTTTTTAGTCAAACTTTGACCTTAAGTCACCACATGTTAACTATGTTCGATTAACCTCAAACTGTTTAGACACTATTTTTAGATGCATTGGAACAAATCCCCGGCCAGCGCTCTTTGAAATAAACAACCTCAAAAATAAGTGGCATTCTAATGTACGTATTCGATGTGTTCTTCCACAATGTTGTGTCACACAACTGATAAAAATCTAATAAGATGTCCTAGGATAATGGAGACGATTGCAGCCACTGTTATAGGTAATTTAATGTATACCTGTATGCAACGATATAAACCATTGCTTACGAAACAAACGATTCTGAGCGTTCAGTTGATAGTAATACTTTACAAACAATATATATGCCATACTTAATCAAATTGTTGGTGTAAAAGTTGTCAACTGAAAAAAAAATCATAAGATTAAAATTTTTATATATCTTAAATTTTCCGGGTTTTAGCATTTGATGAGAAAATCGAAAAATGACCTCTCTAAGGTACTTCCCCACACTGATTTCCTTTTAAGTTGTTTTTTTTCAAGTTGCTACACGTAAAAATCAGAGTAAATCCTCTGGTAGAAAAGTTGTCCACAGAAAAAAAAAATAAATAATAAACATCTTTGTAGAATTATAAGCTTCTTCGCCACCACTCAGAATTTAAAATTTGGATCAGCCGCTGATGCGTGTAACATGTGATTGTGGGTACGATGTGCAGTAAAATTATATCATACGTGGGATGACGTATTAATGCGTCACGTCAGCGTTATGTTCAAGGACTTTTAAGAAAAATCTTAAATCTCGATAGTTACATAAAACAGTTTAAATAATAAATAATTAAACATTACCTATAAATTATTATACTAGTAATATGTATATGGAAAAAAAACGATTATGTTACTGCTTACGTTGTTCGTCTTAATCTGGAATTTATTGTGTACTTCGTGTAGTATGCATGTGTGCCAAACAACGTGTAACGACGGTGGGTGCGAGTTTACAGAAAGGGGAAATGTGTCCAAGGGATGCTTTTGTCCGATTTCTGACAGTTCGCGAGCGTTAAAAATTTGTGAATCGTACCGTGACGCATGCACAAATGAAATAGTAAGATATCCTCCTTGTAAAAACGACGGAAAATGTGTAACGGCATTAGGATTTCCGTATTGCGATTGTCCAATTAATGATTCCGAAATCCAATGTGATGGTTTTGATAATAGTAAGTACAGTCTACCTAACCGATATGACATACGCATCATAGACTCATGATTTCATAATATTATAATCAATTTAAGATAGAATATACATTTTAAGTGAAACGATTGATAATATGTATTGGTGAATACGTAACGTATATCGAAGCAAGTTGCATAAAAAAAAAATATTTCTCTTCAAAATATTTTTAATTAATTAATTATTAATTTTTATAATGTATAGTATGCATTTAATAGGGTGGTCTTTAGTTATAGGAAAAGAAAATAAGTATTAGAATATTAAATGATCCAGGTACCCGCACATTTGTATAGTATTATAAGAAAACAATTTAGTTAACATTTTATTATCATTATTCACCTCGTTCACGTCCTTCAAGACAATTGACAAATGAAAAACGAGTGTAATTTTATGATTTTTCGGATTAGAGTAAAAAAATAAAGAATTAATTTTAAACATTTAAAGGAAAACTAATTATATTATTATTATACTTTATTCATTTACTTAATTTTACTATAGAAATCATAATTTCCTATTAATAGCTTCACAAATATCTTCGAAAATAAATTATTTTCTAGAAAAAAAAAAAAATTCAAAATTTTTGTAAACAAAATATTTATTGCTAGCTAAATAATTTTGCTATATTGTTGAAAATACAGTAAAATGTCTTACATAAGTTGATAGCTAAATTCAAAAATGTCATAAGTACAAAATGTATGATTTTATGTCAAAACATATTCAATTTTTTTAAATTTGTATGTATGACAGGAGAGATTGTGAAATAATGAATTTAAGTTAAATTTTTTTGCATTGTTTATTGACCCTTCTACTAAAATATTAGGAAAATTAACTAGTTTAAGACATTTAAAAATTAAATTCTTGACATTTTTAAGTTGAAAGTGCACTTATCACCTTTACAAATTGTATAAATGTATTTATCACATTTTGGAACAATATTGTAAATTGTTAATAATTATATGTAAAGATCAATTAAAATGGTCATGAAACAAAAATGAATTAATACAAAATAAAATCAGATTCTTAAATCAAAGAATAAAAATTGTAAAACTCAATAAAATTATTATTCAGCTTTAATCAAAACACTTTAGTTTGAATAATTAAATACAAATTAAAGAATAAAATCATTTGACAACTTATTATTAGATTTATTATTTACAATCTGAAGAGTTGCCTTTTAGTCAACTTGTAGATGAAATAGACTTAATTTAATTTTTATAATCTGGTGGTATTATTCTTTTTCCAGTAGAAAAAGTAAATCTTTCTTTTTTGCTTCACTTATGGGAATTTGTTTGCGATGACCAATTACAATTCTTGTCGCATTGAATCTTTACACGTGAAAGTCAGAGTCCGTAACACTTGTTATACTATATGGTCTTCACAGGAACATTAATAACGCATGAGGCTAAATACATTTTTGTTTACTATTTTAACCTAAACTCTTTTATTCAAAACAGATTTCCTGCGGATATCTTCTAGAAAATTGTCATTACATTTGTACCTAAAACAAACCCATATTAGTAAGAATAATATAATATAAAGAAAACAAAATCTATTATAAATATTATTTATATTTCTAACATAATAATATGATATTATTTCCACATGAACACCTAACTATATTATATTATTTACATCATTATAAAAATAATATTTAACATACCTGCAATTAATACAAGTTTTGGCTCTTCTTGGGGTATAGGCTTCCCCAAACTGCTAATATATTCTTCCCCACGATGACGTTTATATCTTTTTTATTCTTTTTTCTGTTTATTTTTACTACTTCATTCATAAAGGTATTTTAAAAGTAAAATGTATAAGATTAATATTAATCAATTTATAGTATTCAACACATAATTAATACATTTATACATGATAAATAATTATTGAATATTAGTCATGTATGCAAAATAATATAAAAAAATAAAATAACACAACTATACCGAGTTGATTAGATGATACATTAACAGTTTCATCAACCATATGGAAGTCGTCCTAATCCAAAAGCATATTAATATTATCATCTACTAAATTTGAGAATGTTGATGCCAATAACAATTGCTTTTTATTAGCTATCCAGTCTTTATCGTTTTCAGTATCATCATATTCAGAGGCACTGCTACAATTGACTATTAATGAAACAAAATAACTCGGTTAATTATCAAATTACATTTTAAAGTAAAAATATAAATCATATTTAATAGGTTGTATTCAAATCTTTAAATCATTATTACTTAACAAATAATTTGCATTTTCTTCATCTTGTTTTGATATCATCAATGAACATGGTTTTATATTTTCTATATCAGAACAATTATTTTGTTTAATAGTATTCCCAAATAAATTTAAAATACTATTATGCTCTATTTGTATATAAAAAAATGATGTTTTACAGGAAAGTAAAATATTTAAAAACATTGCAATATAATATAATATGTTATATTAACTATAGAGTGAACTAATATTTTCAAATTAGCAATCGTTAAAAATAAATAAATAATATTTATATAGATATTGTTCAATAATATATCAAGAATATTTAAATAGCAATAAACACATTTTTTTAAACGTTAAAAAATTTGTATTTTTATTTTTTTCTAAGAAATAATTTATTTTCAAGAATGTTTTTAAAGACCCTTTTTTTTAAATTGAAAATACTATAAAATACTAATACTACCATAATAAAGGTCTTTTAATGTTTTTTGCTAAATGCTTTATTTTTTCACTTAAATCCGAAAAACCATAAAATTAAGGATCACCCTAATGTATACATATTCACTTTAAATGAATAAAATTACCAATAAAAATGCTTTAATAATGGAAAAACACTGAAGATGCAAAATACAAATTTCACTTTTAGTGTATTTGTTAGTTCAATTGTTAGTTTACGTACTTGAAAAACATTGATATTGATACAAAAGGGACATATATTATTTTTAATAAAATTATTATTGCTTATCTAAAATCATATTTTATAAGATATTTTATAATTTTATAACAAGTATTTTTTGTTCAACGATAAGAATTGGATAGAACATACCCGAAGAAGCCTAGTCTATACTATCGAACGAAAGTCAAACCTGGAGAAAGTCTCATGGCCTTCTTGGTTATCGAACCAGATAGTAACTCATATTTAATGCAGTTCGTCAACAATGCCAAAGGTACACATACCGAATCAATCGACAAAGTTTCAATGACAATCGATGAATTGTATAGCGAGTGCAAACAATTAGGAAGCGAAACATTTCAAATTAACGAAGAAATGTGCAACTTCGCCAAAACCACTTACGGTAGTAAATATTATTATACATGTATAACAATGTTATGTTTCGGAAAAATAATCGGGAGAGAGACCTGAAAATTTCACTAAATTCCAACTCGTATAAGCTATTTTTTCGGTTATTCGTTGGGGTGAAACCAAAAGTTGACCAAAGTAAAGCTATAAATCATTCAGATGGAGAAATTATTATTTTGCCTTTGTACTATTTGTACGTGAGTCTTATAGGTATACCGCAGGTAACTTAAGAATGGTACGAGAAAAGTAACATGTACGACTATTTTTATCTATATATATCTTATTATAATTTAAATCATGGGAAAAAGTATGGACTGTACATATTATAAATAGTTAATATCCAATATTTCATATCACATAATATACAATATTTCAAACATATTTATGACATTTTTGTCGATAAAAAAATTACCACGCGTATATCTAATTGTATATCTATTTATTTTATCGCAAGTTTATAGTTATTGAAGATAAACAATATTGTAGATGGTTTAATAAATTTTATATTTGTATATTATTCATTATTATAAACAGTCCCGATTAACCATAGTTTTCATTTATCCGTGTCACCCCTACCCATCATTTCCCCGGATAATCGAGGTTCCACTATACAAAAAAAAGCTGATACTAGAAACAGGTGTGCTATTGTTGTTATTGAGAAGTTAGAAAGGTAGGATATATAAAGTTATTTGATTTATATATGTAAGCAATACTAAACAACTAAACAAATTGCAAACGAATGAGATTTGAAGAAAAGTTCGATTATATAATACGCTTTGAAAGGCCGTAAGATTTACGATTTTCGTCAAAATTTGATATTAAAACTCTATAAAAAAAAAGACATTCTAGGATAATGGGGACGGGTGCAGCCTATATTATATGTAATTTAGTTTATACTTGTAAACAACAATAAACCATTGCTTACGAAACAAACTATTCTGAGCGGAGTTCAGTTGATGGTGATGCTTTGTCAATAATATATTTGTTTAATGTTGTACCCATTTCCCCGGTTTTTCTCGATGTTCCTATGTTTTTTCCCAGTTTTTCACATTTGCTGAGAAAACTCTGAATAAAATCGAAAAGTGACTTGTTTAAAGTACCCCCAGTGAAATTGTCTTTCAGAAACATTGCTATCATTAAGAGTTAAAGCTAAAATGCTGGTAGAAAAGTTGTCCAAATTTTTTTTAGCTAATACCTACGTTTCTTACATTTTCCCGTTTTTTCTGCTTTTCGCATTTGATGAGAAAACTCCGAGAAAAATTACCTCTTTAAAGTACCTCCCGTTTTCCTTTCAGAAAAGTTGCTACATGCAAAAATCGAAGTAAGTCTTCTGATAGAAAAGTTGACCACAAAAAAAGAAATAAACATCTTTGTAAAACTATAAACTTCTTCGCTTCACTTAGAATCTAAAATATATGTCATAACAGAACACTTTTAGCCCTACCAACTTTCCACCTATTTGTTTTTATTCATTACTGACATGGTCAAAACTAAAAAGGAATATGGGTAAAAAAAATAATAAAAATTGACACAGGCAAGGCCGGCAGGACAGTTTATATAATTTGTGTCACAATCTACCTACAATTTACTTCGTTTTAACTATAGAGAAAACGCGTAATCAAAAATTTACAAGACATTTGCCCAATCAATTTTATTGTTATATTATAAAATAAGTAAAAAAAAAAAAGGAAGATCTGGGAGGTGATATATCACCTAATCACCCCCCTGGTTACGTCACTGTACCCTATTATTAATGTTTCAATTACAATAATTTAAATATATTATACCCATATGTATGATACCATCATATTATGATATTGATTATTTTATTTTGTAATTTAAATTTTATGTTATTTTTAGTTCAAATATTTATGTAAATGTTTAGACAATGTATGTCATATGTAATTAAAAATGATTGTTGGGTAAAATGATGTATTTTCGTTTATTTAGGTAAAATGGGTTGGTTTATAAATAATATTTTATTTTGCGTTTAATGTATTCAAAATGTACTTAAAGGTGATCATTCGAAAATAGAATCGTTTCCTGTAATACCGTATTTCATGTCCAAGACGCGATCTCATAGGACCGACGTTCATTTCAACGGAAATAAAAGCGAACATAGAATAGGCGGATTGTATGCGATTCAATTGAAAGTTATTGATCAGATAACGAAGAAAATATTTTTTAGTTTCGAATTTTTTCACTTAGTCGTTGACGACGAGTCGTCATATTGTTTACCATTTGTGGATCCCGGACAAAATTGGTTTGTATACCTGGAGTGTTTATTTTTTAATACAGTAAAACTTCCGTTAACGGTTTCCTCTATGTAACAATTATTTTTTTTTTGATCTCGTCAAGTGTTAAGTCTTTATATAATACCTCTAAATAGTGATCATTAATTCCGGTCCCTTCGGTGACCGTTGTATGAAAGTTTTACAGTAATAGCTTATTCATCATGGTTAAAATAAATCAGGTTATTGCACATAACCGTTGGCGTTATCAATTCAAAAAAAAAAATAGCAGCGTTAGGGTACGGATGTGTTACTTGTTGTCAGAACTTGTACTATTTGACAGTACTTGTATCTTAAATTAAATATTATATTTGAAAACTAATATATTTAAAAATCTTCTTTTATAAATTCATAAAACTCTTTTTCAATGTATTTATCAAAACCAGCAATGAATTACTTATTATTTTATTATTAAATTTCTTTGTTTAGAGTGGTTTCAATTTAAAAAATATACAAAATATTAAACAAATTAAATAGTTGTAATAGTTTAACTTATAATAGTTTTAAAATTAATGGGATTAAATAAAAATAATGATTAAACTTAATATATTTTTTTTATTTTATTTTATTTTATTTTATTTTATTTTATTTCCCATTTTATTATAAGTTTCCAATGATACAAATAAATATATTTCCTTCTTGATTATTCGGCCCAAGTTATTAGATTAAGTTAACTATTAAGTTGATTTTTAACTGCGTTCGTCCTAATATTGCACTGAAATATATGCAATTATCAATGAAATTAGATTAAAATTAAAACAAAACACGCTGCGTTCGGTTTTCACTAGTTTGTTGTATTTCATACTGTATTTATTTATTTTATATTTTCAATGTTAATAATGTATTATTTTGTAAACTAAATTATTAATTTATTATAAACAAGTAATTGCTATTAAGTTACTATTGTTTTTAATCTCACTGTTTAGACGAGAGAAAAAGGTACCTATGAAGTAAATATGAAACAAGGATACTTTCCTAAATAATGTGAAACTTTATAGCTAATTCCAAGAAAGAAAACATATCACTTCTGAAATTATTTATTTATTTTACATCCACTGGTGTATTTTTTATAGCATTCCGTTCATAGTCATATGTAGATCATGGATATTTATTATTTTTTAGATATTAGGTACCAACAGTTTAAGATTGGTAATTGGATAGTATTTCATAATTATGGTATACTTTTAAGAATGTTAAAAATCGTACTTCGTTGAAGTCGTTTAATATTTATGTTAAAAATACAAAAGTGCTACAAAATAGAAATTTGCATCTATTCAGTGAAATATTAGGACAAATCGGGCGCTCCTACAGATTACAGTTAAATGTCCATGGACACATTCAACCATCATATCATAATATTTAATATACAACAATTTAAAAGAACCAGATTCTAAAAAAAAATGAATATATATTTGTTTTTTTTTTATGCATATTAAAACTATTTTAGAATCTGATTCATTTAATTTTAGTATCTTTTATTTTTATTTTAAATATCAGCATTATATAAATTAATTTAATTTAAAATCGTTTGTTAAAATATAAAATTGAATAATTTAGAATTATTTAAATTTAAATAAGTTTAAAATTAATATAATTTTGAATTGAGGAAATTAAAAAATAGAAAAATTAAAATATTTCCAATGTATTTGTTAACGTAATTTTTAGAGTGACTTATAGCTGATTCATGAATTTCCCCGATATCCTGTTGATAAGAGCCATTTATAAAAAATATTATATCAGCTAATAACTAAAGCATTAATACTAGGGTATGATTATAATTTGTATCTATTTGAAATTGTTCTACTTCAATTTTAAACAAAAGATAAGATGTAATACCTAATCAATATAATGTTGGCGTATAAAAGCTAAATTGATAACTAAATATAGATATCATAAATATTATAAGTTCTTATTTACTTCACCATACGCTTGATACTTATAGCTGATTTTCTAGTTGGTAGTTCAAGATAGGGATGCAGTTCATCTATTAACTTAATATTAAGTTATAAAAATAAATGTAACACAATGACCATACACTTTTTTTTAAATTTAAAAGCATATTCACAATCTGTATTTATTACAAAATAAGCAAATGAGATAATTTAAATAACAATAGCTCATTATCTCATCAGGAAGCATATCAAATTAATACTCTTCCCAAATGTCTACCAGTAATAATAGCCTACCCGTGGTGTGACGTTTATACTATACTTAATCGAAAATCCTACTCGTTCGTTCATTTCAAACCGATGATGGCTGACGGTTAGATGTTCAAAAACAATCATATACACTGTATAACATGATATACCTAGTTTTAATAGTTGTAGGTACCTATCTATTTCAATATAATTAACTTAACGGAAAAAAAATTGTTGTTGTTACCGTATCGTGCTGTTATCAATGATAGAGCCTAAGAATGAGAGAATGACAGTGTAAAGGCGCTCACAAACCAGAGCGGCAGCGGCAGCGTAAGCGAAATTTCTGCGGTAATGGGGCGAAATAAAATATCGCTGACCTAACCTAAGCGAAATATTACAGTGAAATTGCGCGCTAGTAGGTCTTCTATATTTCATTTTTAACTTTCGATAACTATTATATATGTACACTATGGATCACGTTTAGTGTATATATTTTCTATCCCACACATATGATTTGCCTGATAAGTATTTATTTTACACTTGTGTCACCATGGATAATCATTATATTGATGACGATGATAATACTTAAATACTTTATACAAACATATAACGAACAAACTAAACAAATATTGATAATACAATGTACTTATAGTACTTTATAGGCATAAACCTATAATAATTTTAGAACATTTATCATTTATCATCGAGGTATATATCAGACTATACGTATAGGTATAGCTTAAATATAAATAAAAATTAGTTTACTGATCTTACAAAAGGTATACTACACAATATTCGGTCGTACATATTTACTGTGATAATATGATTCAAGCGAATATAATGCAATTCGAGTCGAGGAAATAATATGAAATTGTATGAAAGAAAAAAAAACAATTTAAGGTCTTCGTGAAAAAAAGTTAGCGTTTTATTGCAATTACAAGATTATTTATTCATATTTCATTCTTAACACACATTTTTAATTTTTCATCTTGGTTTTTAAGTATGTGTATTATTAAAATATTATGATTTTTTTTTATGGACAACCGTTCTATCAGAAATGTTGCTCCGATTTACAATGATAGCACTTTTTTTGAAAGGAAATCTGATTGGAGAGGTACTTTAAGGAGATAATTTTTCGATTTTCTTAAGAGTTTTATAGTAAATGTGAAAAACTAGGAAAAACGGGAAAGTCTGAACAATATTAAACAAATATTATTAAAGAAAAAATATAATGTCTATTTAATTATTTTACCATAATATACAAGTTGGGTACAAAGGTTCTTCGCTTCTATTCAATTAACGTCATAAATGGCTAAACAATTACGAATGTGCAAGCAGAAAACCTTTAAGTGAGCTTTAGGGTGCGCTCCAGAATTTCTGTAAGCCTAAACAGCCAATTTTTAATGGTCCATCAACAGACTTATTATAATATAATAAGTCTGTTATATATAAGTTTATTACTATATTATAGTAATAACAGTAATACAGTATGGTTGTGAACACGGGCGATGGACAGAGGTTCATACATTGTAAATATTTTATTGTTTATATTTTTATAGAAAAAATCTTAGATATCGGCTTTGATAATTGATTTCCCATTTATTTGAATTTATTATACCTATCTAAAATCTAGAAAAAACACAAGAATGTAGAATATATTTTCGAAATAAGTTTCTTAATTTCGTGTAATTGGTAATAATTATGTTTAGTAAAACCAGGATGAATTTACTTAAAGTAAAAAGAAACGAAGATATGCCGATTTTAAAAATGGTTATCACACCGGACACTGAAATGTGTGAAGAACCCCCGGAATACATTATTGAATGGAAAGTATTAACCGCAGAAATTTGGCAAAACTACGACATTGGTAATATTTTACCAATATTTTTTTGAGAATATTATCTACTTATCTTTATACATACGTCCTTATCTTTAGTCATTTATGATATAAAGAGTAAAGATGTTTATAGTCGTATTTTTATTTATTTAAATAATTTCTGTTTTAATCTTTAAACGAATAAGTACCTATATTAAGTAATAACGGCATTATCAGGATTTATTTTTGGGAGAGAAGGCGTTATGAATTTTAAACTAATTTCCGGACTGGCTTTTGGGAAAATAAATTACTAAATTGGTAAAGTGTAAGGCAACACGTACGTATTTAAAATGTATTCACAAGAAAATTTCTGAAATTGCAATGCAATTTATGCTTCTATTTATGTATTACGAAGAATTTGTAATAAGTATCACAAATTTCGGGGAGTTATAACCCCATCCCCCTCATGGGTATGTCACTGATCTATACTTCTAGAAATTACTTAATATTAATATATTATATAATGTAATTTAAAAAAAAGTGAGCCAGTAAATATTAAATCTAACTATTGACTATTACCATAGTCTATTATTCAATGATAAGGCAATGACTGCAATGAATTAATATGTTATTGATATTTTTATATTGTTTTCAATTTATCTGAAACAAAAAAATATTGAATTTCTTCTCCAATGACATCAAGTTTGTATTTCCATCTCTTTTACTCTAGGTTCTCCTCACAATTTTCTTTCAACGTGTGGTTCATTAGTCTATGGTATAAAGTCGATCAATAACAAAACCAAAACATAATCACACTTAATAGTTTATAATATTATTCAAACAATTATTTTAATAAATGATTCATTTATTATTATAACTTAGATCCCGTGGACAATTTGTCAAAAAAACATGTTAAGCTAGACGAACAATCATCTAGCAATCCAGATTTGGTTATTCCTAAATATATACTGCCCGAAGGGGAATGGATTGTACATTTTAAAATTGCTATAAAAAACCAGGAAAAACAGTACAGTTCTGTAGCAAACAGATATACGGTTGTTTATATTGCGATTCGTTTTAAACCAATACTTCATAATATTAACATAACTCTTTTTGTGATTATTATTTTTACGGTTTTAGTGTTTTTTAGGAGTAAATCTTGACGGGTTGCACGCTGAGATCGTTGGTAGTCCGTTAATGCAGGTTATTGATTCTGAATTGGTAACTATAGACGCATCCTTGTCGTACAATCCTAACGAACCAAATTCTAAACAAAACTACGTGCTCTATATTTGGTACTGTGACGTAAAAACAGACGAAGAAAATTGCCAAGAGTATATAACTACCGGTAAATAATATTTGTGTAAACTAAATATAATAATAGAATATTAGAATATTCGGCTTGTACACGGTTAAATAATTTAAAATCCCATACAATTGTTTTAGATCCTGTACGTAAGCTTACTGCTCCTTTGAATAAGGCTAAGAAATACATTTTTAACTTGACCACACGTGTATGCGATGAGTATGTTAAACGCATTGGACAACCGGCTGACGGAACTACAAAAATTACATTGTTACCTACTTCATTTGTATATAATATTTTAATCAAGTACCTAATTAAGTTAAATATTTATTTTTAAAAAACCATCATTAACGATTCAGTTGATGGCGAAAAAATTCTCAAAATGTATGCTAAATAAAGATTTATACTTGAATTTACTATAATTATTAATTTATACTATATTTTCACGGGAGGCAAATGTCCCGTAAATGACCATTCATTATCAGTAGTATCAGCTCAATCTAAAAATAATCGTAGACTTTCAACTTTCACCGGCTAAATATATTAACAATTTCTAGATGCGGTAATTCAATTTTTTAATCATTCCGTTGTATTATCAGTTATAAATAGCTATTTTAAGTTTCTATTTGTATAGATATTTAAAATAATCGTTTTTTTTTTTGTTTTATACGTGGATATAAATGCTGCAATTTATTTTTATTAGTTTTAAATTTTTTTTCGTTTGCAATAATTTATCGTTACGTATGGATATAAATAATTTAGTACACCTTCAAAACTTTTTTTAGATGTATAAAAAATTGCGGAAACATATCGAGCCCGTTAGAGATTGTTTATCTATCAGTGGAAACATATTGCGACAATTGTACGTTCGAATGGTTTTATAAGGAAGCGTCGGATACTGTATTCACTTCCACGGTGAATATAAGAGAAATCGACGTACCATCTCACATATTTATAGCGACGAAACATTCTCTGGATTACAATAAAGTGTACACGTTTAAAGTAAAAGGTATCCACGCTAATAGGGAAATGATAATAAAATAGTTCACACTATTAGATGCATAATCCAGTGGACGCCGCTTATAAGACTCACTTTGGGATCAGCACAAAGTGGGTCTTATAACCGAATGAATCTTATAGGCGAAGTTGGAAAAAAACAAAATATGTACATAATTATGAATTTTATTACGACATATTTTGTTCTATTTTAATCTACTTAAATACATACATATTATATATTATTTATTATTTATTAGTGACTAAACGAAAAAAATGATTAAAATATTACATACATATTAATAAAAAATTATAAATGATGTATTTACGTACTTATTATATATGAAAAAAAATTGTAATTTTAGTTTGTTTTGTTTATTCTAATATTCCAGAAATATACTGTTCATACTCATATTGTATATTAAAATTATTACCTCGCTGATGAACACAGCTTTCTTTAACACTTCTAGAGCTTCTAGAACCTCTTTGTTTGATGGTGGTTTAACCTCTTCCTCATCGCCATCACTTTCGTCATTTTTCTCTTCACTGATGCTGGTCGATTCATTTGCGATAGACTGACAAATTTGATCGTCAGAATATTCTTCAGAAGTTTGAAGATCACTGTCAATATTCATTCAATCCAAATATGTTTTGTCAATGAGATCTTCCTGCGTCTCAATAGACTTGACTTTCTCCTCGTCTTCTTCTTCCTCAGTTTTTACGAAGCCTCCGTAACGAAAGCAATTTCGTATAGTCACATCACTTATATTGTTCCATGCTTCATTTGCTAAGTGTAAAGCCTCAAGAACGTTAAATTTCTTGGCTAGATCATTAGCTTTTAAAGTTGAAGTTGACTCATATTCAAGTGTTTCATCAAGGAGAGTGATTATCCTTGTCCTTATTTTTGATCTATAGTAAGCTTTAAGAGTACAAATTATTCCTTGATCACAAGGCTGAATAAATGATGTGGTATTAGTCGGTAAAAAACCAATTTTATATTCTTTAAATTTAAACTTACATTATGAACCGTGCAGTTGTCTACCAAAAGCAAAATTTTTCTGCTTAGTTAGTTATCCCACTTGATCAACCATTGGCTAAAGATTTCTTGGGTCATCCATGCATTTTTATTTGCTGAATAATCCACAGGTAAAGCTTTAACTCCTTTGAAACAACGAGGCTGCTTACTCTTTCCGACAACAAGCAGTTTCTTTTTTTCTCCCGTCACACTGGTACAACACATTAGCGTCATTCGTTATTTACAAGTTTTTGTTCCTTTTGCTTTGTCATTTTTCAGAACATACGTATATTCAGGTAGCGATCTAATGTATAAACTAGTTTCATCAGCATTAAACACATCAGAAGGTGAATATTCAGAGATCAGAGATGGCCATTCATTTTCTAGCCAAAAATGTGAGCTAGCAAAATCTGCGCCACCTTGTTCTCTATGTGTTTTTTGGAAAGAAATATTTTTTTTTTCCACCGATGTAACCATCCAACTGTTGCCTTAAAAATTTTTCTACCAGTTCTTCAGCTTTTTGGCGAAGCAATGGGTCTGACACGTGAGCATCTTTATTTCTAACTTTTACGAACCATTTTTCAAAGCGCGTTCAATAGTATTATGCTTTCCACACCTTTTCATTTTTCGTCTTTGAAACTTATTTTGTAATGCTTCACATTCAATGTCTTCCCTATTTTTTAATATTCTACCCATTACCGAATTTTAAATGTTTAGCTTACTTGCTACTTTACGTTGTCCCATCTTGGGAAGATGGTCATACTTTTCGAAAATGCCTATTTTGTCATTCAAACTAAGAGCACGTCGAGTATTAGCACTCATGTTAACAACAAAAAAAGAACGTTCAAACTCGAATGACGACTGATTGACGATTGTACATTGAAACGATTATACCTTCGACCTTATTAATTACGATATCTGTGCCGAGTAATCGGGAATGTACAATCGTATTTATAACTTATACAGTAATTACGATACATGTGAAATGCGATAAAATTTGTTGATACACACTTTATTAAGCATGAATTGAAATCAGTAATAATCAATATGTAATTGTTAAAAACCAATTTATTTCAAAATTTCAACCAAAAATTTTCATTTTCTAATATTTGTTTGTACAAAATGTGAGTCTTTTAACCGAATTTTGTATAATGTATTTTGATACATCCAGACCGTTCCAGATGACTTATGAGTCTATTAAGCGACTGAACTTTATATCTGTGAGTCTTATAAACGGCATCCACTGTATATGCAAATCAAACATCTACATTTTGAAAAAAAAGAGTAAAGATTTACGCTTGATACGAAACAATAATATAAGTACCAATTTCACCAACCATCATCGAATTTTAGATTTATGTAGTTTGAAATAAAAATTATAATATTTAAACTTAATACAAATTTAACGTACGCCAGGTACCCTGGCCCCTTTTTGGATTTTGGGTTTTCCAACATCACCACTCAAGTTCGTAATTTATTTGATATTTATCTCAATTCGTTTGGACTTCCTATGACCTTTATAAGTGAAATACTAAAGAAGGGAGAAGAGGAGGCTGTAATTCCTAGAACAATTCCAACAATTTGTTTGAAATTCGTACATTTTGAACCAAAATGAGGGGTCTGTAGAAAAGTATTTCGTACGTTATATGTTAGTAAAATGTATATATATTTAATGTTTTATTATAACCGTTTTAGTAATTATCATCTCTCATTCAGAGAGATTCTAGAGTTAGAATAAGAAGAAAAACGTTCTAGTTCTTAAACTGTTTAGATTTAAAAAATGCACGTACAATAAAATCCCAGTCATTAATGAAAAATGGATCTCGTTATGAGAAGTTAAAATCTATTAGAACCAAAACAATCGAAAGGAGATTCATTTTAAATAACATATATGCTTTCAATACATTAATATCTCTAATGTTAGTATATACACGTAGGTATAGAATATTTTGTGTAATAAGTGTTATTATAACTCGCAACCTTTACTTACTGTCACTTGAAATTAAAATAGTATATTGTGATAGTAATAATTAAAATAAAACAATTGACAAAAACAAATTAAATAGGTTATTAGATTCTGAGTGGAGCTAGGAATGTATTGTTTTTACAAATGTTATTATTTTCTTTTAATTGTTTTTCTGTGAGCAACTTTTATTAAAAGTATTATGGCCTTTCAAACATGTATACCAAAATCAAGCTCAAAATCGTGTTTCGTTAGCAATAATTAATTTCCCCTCTATTTTCCTAATTTCTCATCTACAACAGTGGCCCACCCATTGTGCGAAGTATGTCCGATTGTTTTTAATTTCATAGTTACGAACACAAATAGAGCTGCAACTAGTAATGAAGCATTTAAACCCTGTTCTAAAACATCTAGAACATAATGATGATATTTATGGACGTGTCAAATCAGCATAGGTGATTTCTAAAATTTTGTGAACAGTAAAACGTGCATAATACAATTATTCAATTGTGTACATTACTATGTAAGAAAGAAAAAGATTTCTATACCACCACCCCGTGACATTTTGGTTGTAACAGTCTTAGGAAATCCAAATAAATTGTAAAAAATAAATCAAACAAACATAAATAAATTATAAATTAAATGGGAATAACTCAAAATCCAAAAAGGTAACCAGTGTTACCTATGTACCAATTTAATCATGTTATGAAAAACTCAAGGTTTGTTTTTGTTAAATTAATTCTTTTATAATAGTGTAAACTATTTTGAGTTGCTATACAATGATGTATTTTTCAATACAACCTAGAATTTTCATTTATAAGATACCGAATTGTTTGGTTTGACTTAATTATTTGAGTTACAGTAACATTATATTAACTTGTTTATGGTCAGATGGTGTGGTATTAAATAATGATATATTATTTTTTATTAGTCAGAGAATAAATATATTTTTTTATGCCACGTTATATAAGAATATACGCAACATAATTTATAAAACAAATTAATGCGATTCATAACATTATCGAAATACGTTCTGCGTTTTTTTTCCTGGCAATTATTACTCACAGATGCGTATATAATTGATGATGGGGAGGTCTGAGCACCCCAAGGCTTGTTTTTTTTGTAGAGCTATCAAACGTCTTTATTAATACATAACGATTAGTGGCAGATTTAGGGGGCTTACTCCCCCCTCCAGTGCTTGGAAGCCAAAGAACCAATCGTTTCGTATTTTGATTTTTTTATTTTTAAATGTAATTCACTTAGAAGTTATCAATAATAAATACTTAAAAGACAGTGTTGTAGATAAATAATATTTTTTTCACAAATAAATCAACATTTAAACCTATTTGTTTTGCCAACTGATAGTCGATCGTTGTTAAAGTAATTGAGTAAACTGATATAGCTTTTGTTTTAGACAATTTTAAGACTTGGAAATACTTTTTTTACTATGTTTAAAATAAATGCTTATTTCTCTACAACGGTTAAAAACCAACAAAATACCAGTATAGATGATTTTGTTTATTCATAATATCATTGTTAGTGAATTTTGATTCATCACTCCAAAGAATACGATTGACCACTAAAGTGTTACTATAAAATTTAATATTGAATCAAGCTATAAATTCTAACCTACGAATAGAATCTCCTGCACGCAAATGTTGGACAAAATCGATTTCATATGTGTGCATTTTGTGTTTTTTTAGAATTTTTTGGACATAACCATATGAAACTCCAATTTCGCGAGCAACATGCCTAATTGACGAATGTGGATTAGCTCTTATGTATACTGTTGATTTATTTGTCTACCGGGAAATCTTCCTTCCTCATTTAACCCTTGTAAAAGTCGTAAAACATAATTATAAGGTGGATGGTATCTTTCTGAGTATCGTTGTGCATACGTCATAGTAACTAGGCGTATATTATGTTGACAATAAATTAAAACCAACTCAACTTTTTCAGTGTTATTCATATTTAAAAAAATATAATTTATAGGAGCATTTAATAACTAGACATACACGGATAACGTCCACACTTGGGTACGGGTCTAGTTACAGAATAAAAGTAAAATTATATTTTCCATCAAACTAAATACCATAATAATTACATTATCTGATTATCTTATCGTTATTAGAACTACTGTAAAATAAAATAAAATTCCATTATAAAAATAGTTAAAATTGTAATCGTTTTATAGCAGTTTACTGAATAAAAATTATCACATATTCGAGATATTCATTCTAGTGACCAACAGTTTTTAAAATTATTATTTGTAAACAGATAAAGTAATTTAACATTTATTTGGTACTTATTTTATTATTTCCAGTGGCCATAAATGAAAATTTCATTAAACACTAATTGTGTGTAAATCTAAATTTTGACTTACTCTAACTTGGTCAGTTTTGTAAATAAAAAAAAATGTTCAATACAAAAAATGATAAAAAAAAATATCTATCCGAATATGTAGAAAAAAAATAGTGTTTTCATTTGAAAAAATGTAAGTTGTACTGCGCATGCGCACACCAAAACTGTTAAAAATTTGAAATTTGTCTGAAAATATGTATTTAGGTACTCCTTATCACCTCCCAAAAACCCCATTTTAATACAAGGTCATTCACCAGAGATATTTAGTGTTACCTTAAATCGTGATTACACTGTATAGATTTGTGTAAATCTTTTATAGTGAAGTAATATTATGTTGTTTTTTATTTATTAATAACCTATATAAGCCAGCCGTGAATTTTGTGTTTATACATTCAAAGTCCTAATTTATGAATTGTGCATTGATAAGATTGTACGACTAATATTAATGATTACTCTCTTGTTTGATGATAACTAACGTTAGCTGAGTTTAAACACACATCATACGATTTTATTTTTACAAATTTAGTGATTTTAAATTTTCTAATAAGGTTTTTGGTTGGATACAATTTAAATGCGGGAAATGATCATCTAAAAGAGCAAATGTATTAAAATAATTGATAGTTTTAAATTTAGTTTTCAAAAGAAGTTGACCTACAGCTTAACCAAGTGGATACAATTTACACGTATTTTAGCAAAACGTTTGATACAGCCAATCATAGGTTTTAATTTTCTAATTGGAATTATTGGGGAAGGGGCGATCTTATTTTAAATTGATTAAGATCATACATTACAAACAGAACTCAAAAAATAAGAGTTAATGACTATTTTTCTAAGAACATCTTAGTTCTGTCAGGGGTACTTCAAGATTTTCACATTTCGCCATTATTATTTATTTGTACTTAAATGATATTAGTCTAGTTTTTCAATATGCAAACTTCTCATCTCGTCTTCAATTTTCTCCTCTCGTTCGTTTTTCGTTACCATAATACACGTATATGAATATAAATTATTTATTTAAATATAATATATACAATATACATATTTTTTTTATATGTTTAGATAAAAATACTGAACTATCAAGTTCAATAGTTATTAGGACAGCTGCTAAACCGTTAGCGGGAGAATGCCACGTGAGTCAAACATCGGGAATTGCCGAAAAAACGTTGTTCGCAATAACGTGTTCACAATTTCGAGACGATTACGGAGACGACGATCTAGTTTACTATTATTATGAACGATACGAAAACGGCCGAAATGACGACCACAGTAATGATAAATGTCATAATACATATAATATGATAATCGCGTATTATTATAGACTATAATAATATAATAAATATTATAATTTATAGTACAGTCTAAATGTTAAATAACATACATGGTTTATCACGATCCAGCAATTTTTTCGGGAGTTTTATGTGATCTTGATTAGCTTTTTTATTAATTTTATTATTCAATTATTGTAAAATCTTTTAAACTTTATTTTAAAACTATCTTCAATAAATAGCTGGGGGACGCTATTTGAAAATCTAAAGTGTATAAGTAAGTTAATTATTTATTCTAATTTATTCAGGTGGCGACATGGCGTATGAACATCAATGTAGGTATAATAACTATATGATTTCTTGTCGAATATTTCTTAATGTACACAATAAAATATATGGGTAGAACTTTTTTGTTAACCTGTGATTGTAATCATTCGATAAGCGATAGGTAGGGCGATTCTCGTTACTCCACTGGCTTTATAAATCCTTTCATAAAAATCAGTAACTCAGTTTGATCCACTTGGGTAAAAAATTCTGGCGCCACTGCGAGTAGATAATTATTTTTATGTAACAACCAACTAATACTATTTTGTTTCACTTAGTTACCTATCAATTAAATTTTTTACAAAAATAATGATTAGCATAATCTAGAGCGCATCTCAGAAAAGAATGTCAAAACCAGCATGTATACATATACCATACATACCATACCATACACACCATACCATACCATACCATACCATACATGTTTGTATACCTACATATTAGAATTATAACATTTTGGTGAAAATGAATATAAGTAAGTTAGGCTATAAGAACGGAAATATTTATGCAGCCAGAGGGACAGACCAGAGACGGTATTGTTACGACTCTGAACCTAATTGTACTTAATACAGAATGTATTTTAATTTTAACCAAAAATAAATTTATAATATAGGTATACTTATTGATCGCGGTTCAAATAAATTAAGTGACGTAAAACTATCGACTTCGGGGAAATTGAATGTAATAGCTTTGAATGCATTCGGAATTCCTGCGAACGTCAATATTAGCGTTCAAGTGAATGAAAATCATGTACGTGCACAATATTATATGTTCATTTTTATTCTTTTTCTAGAAAAAAAAATTGTTTTATAGATATTTAACAAAAGTGTTGGCGAATTGCGAAAGATGTTCAAAATTATGAAAAACGAATTATACAACGGCCGGACTTCAGGTGTGTAGTTATTATATTATAATATTCATAGGCGTGTTTAGACGATCATAGAGAAGGGAGGCATAATTTTAATTTATAATTACATAAATTTTTCCATTCTATAGACTAATTATTATTAACATATTAACATTAAGTTGACTTACTTTATTATATTATATTCATTGATACAACATTACTCAAAATTATTCATTTATACATTGATTATATTAGTCATATTTAATCTTGTAACAAGTAAATAATTCAACTAAAAAATGTAATGCATTGTTTACCTAATAATGTTTGTAATTAATTTTAAATAAATACATAAAAAAATTATCTATTACAAATTGTAGATGATGTGGCAAAATGGTAAACGAAAAATTCATACGGTCTTTATAAATGCGGAATACTGGTACGATCCACAATATTAAAGTTTCCCAATCTTTTTGAAAAAAAAAAAAATTAAAACATAACGATTATTTTTAATTTAATTTTACTGACAATTAATGGAAATCATGAGTAACTGCGAGCGAAAAAAATAGCTATGTTTTACAGTTAAATACCTCCCAATATGAAATAATTATTTTTTGTGAAAGGTGGAATAGTTATTTCAATAAACTTGTAAGAACAAATTATCCATCATTTTGGTTGGTAATAAAGTGTACCCAACAAGATGAAGCGATAACGCGGATTGAAAGAACCCGCTTTGAATCAAATATACACAATACCTTAATGCCTTAAAGTTCAAAAAAAAAAAAATAAAAAAAATATGCAATACAAACTACACAATGAATGTAAGAGCTACTTAAATAAAGGAATTAAAATAGGAAAATAATTATTATTGTTCATAAATTATATATTATATTTATTTTACCTACTTGCTACTTTGTATGTATTTTTTGTTCATTTTGATTGCTAAATTTTTTTTTTTTTAACGTATTATTTAAATTTAACTTGTTGACGATGATGAATCAAATTATATTAACATTCTAAATACTTTAGGACTCCAAGAAATATAAATGTTGAAGAGTAGAAGTATTCCAGGTTTTTTATTTCTTTTGTTATAAATTCTATGGACCGTACCAATATTCCGACATTTGTAGTAAATAGAAGTTGTATGCATCAATGTATCTTAAAAATTGATGGACTTTGAATTTTAACAGTTTTGATAACGAGTATTAATATTATAACATTATTAATCTATATTCTTATTCAATAAATATTGTAAATAAATTATCTAAGCGGTCTTCTTTTATTGTGTTAGAAGTTTAAAGTTTTGATAAAGCTTGTTTTTTTATTAACATTCTATACGTAAACAATAGATATCTAACAGTAGTAATGTCCACAGTTATGTAATGTACTGTTTGGATAGCTTGATATTGGACTCAAAGAAACTTAAATTTTGAAAATGACCTTTCATCACAAGCGCAGGGAATAACCGGAATGGTTACCAACATTTTTATAACATGATATATATTATACAATGATATTTATCCAATCAAAACATTTTTTATTTGCTGTCTTTAGGTATAGTCGTTGGATTTTAACAAATGAATCTCAGATTTTAATTTTGATTCAAATAAAACACTCGAGATAAATTCAAAATATCTTTATAACAAACTTCAAACATTACTAAACGACCAACACTATTTATTCGAACTTTGAATTGTCTCTCAATTGAAACTTCTCTTTATGCCTCTTGTACTTGGGATTTTACCAAGATGCCACCGATTCAACTGAAAAATTCCCTTATGGTCATGGGTCTCTCTGAAGAATTATTTGTGAGCTTCAAGGAAAATGTTAGTAGCATGGATCAAGTTAGTTGCTACTTTTGAGAATAGTATTGACCCCTCAGATAAAGACTTTGGCCTGTTGCAATATGTAATAACTAGGGATCGGATTTTAAAGCATACTAAATAACAAAAAAACACAACATTTTTTTAAAAAAACAAAAATAAAGCATATTTATTTATTTATACGTTTTTTACGCATTTTAAGCATTCGTTTTTACTATAGTCAGTCAAGTGCTGACTGTTGAACGTAAAACATGGACGTTGCAAATGCAATTTGTATATGGATGCTATTGTAGAAGATAGCGTCATAGACAAAAAGAAAGAAAATATTGGGTTCATCCTATTTTACAAAATAGACTTCATGCCTTTGCTTTACTCTTGATAATATTACAAACTTGTAACTTCTTAAACTTACAATTTTTTCGAAAAAATAATTGCACAAATAGAACGTATCGCTACGAAATGGGCGTTGAAACTGAACACTTCAATGCTTATCTGTTCCAACGCGCGTAGACAGGGTAATCGCATTACAGCGACATTAAATGCGCATTGACAATAAGGCTAGGTTCACATGGACGCGCGTTAATCAGCCGCGCGTGTTTAGATATACGGGTTTCTCATACATCGTTTACATGGCGCGCGTATGCGGGCGTATACGCGCGTGGATCGTGATAACGACGCAAAAATCTATTTCCGCGCGTACACGCGCGTGACAGCGCGGATTGAAATTCCTTGTATCATTATCGGACCGTTCAGTTGACACGTGCGTTTCGATGCGAACGATCGAATTTTGATAAATATTTTCATAGTGTTTGAAAACTAGTGTTTTTTTAAATATGGAAATCGAGATAGATACTTTAATTAACAAAGTAGAAAAAAGGTCTGCCATATGGGACATGACAAGGCATGAATGATTTTAGGATACAAAGTGATATAAAGATTATCAGAAAGCCTTGTTTTTAAAATAGGATGAACCCAATATTTTCTTTTCCTCATTTCTCTACGTCTGCTTATCTTTTAGTGGACGGCCTACAAACATACAGCATCTATCACATCCATTCTCGATGACAGTCTGGCTTGTACTATATATCGTTTTTAAATATAGTTTTTGACTAGAAAATTTCTGTACAACGCGCGTGACACGCAGCCATCTGAACAGTAAACGCGCGTCCATGTGAACCTAGCATAACGGTACGGTCACGGTCTGGCGATGGGTAAAATATAATGTATAAATATCTATTTTTATATTATATATAGATGCAATCAAGCCGATAGCAAAAACTATAATAATTCAATATAACCATTTAGTCCATATTCCGGGTTTTTGCATTTCGTATTAATTAAATAAACATTTTTTTATTAATATAACATAATAAACATATAGAAATTCCATAGCTAGAATAACTGAAAAAAGCAATAAAATAGTAAAAAAAGCATTTACATAAAAAAAGCAAAAATAAATTAATTTATTTGGAATTAGAATGACGTGAAACGAATTTATGTATAAAAATTAAATTTCTATTTTAAATATATATAAAGAAGCATTTGCTTTAAAATCCGAGCCCTAGTAATGGCCTTAGTCTTTGAGAATTTTGGTATGCGTGCTTCTAGGTTCGTTTACTTTGGTTGAAAGTCTAAAGGTTCCCGAAGTTTTGCTTAATGCTCTTGATATAAATTAAATCGCAGATGCGATATTTCAGATTTATTCGGTAATTGATCCGTATTAGAGTACAACTGAGACTACCAGAACTCCTTATTTTCTGTGTGCTCAGTTAAATGGTCCTTTATACTTCAGGGCTCTCCAACTAAATAAATCCTGTTCAGAATTGATCTACCTGATTGTAAGCTCTTTTAATATTTCGAACATCGTGAGGTGGAACAGGACTCTCCAAAGGTCATCAGACTCAATATGATCTCTAACTATTATCAAAAGTATTTCGACTAAATGGTATCTTCAGAAGTTGCATCCAAAAGAACCTCCCCTCCTTCTGTATAGATACAGAATGTTTTGTTCTGTATATGCTTGAGCATAAGCAAAAAGTTTTACATATATAACATATACATATTATACACATATATAACTTTAAGTTTAATAATAAAATATGTGGAAGTAAGAGAAAAGATGGCCCACAGGGATGAAATTTATCCCTTGTAGTGCGATGATTACGACACAAATTACCATAGATGATAAACTGATCAAGGATAAATTCTGGAATCCAGTCAACGAGAGTTAATAAAATATAATACAATAGGCTGCAAATCTCATTTAACAGAAAGCGGCACACTCTGCCTCCCTCGTAGACATGCCTATAATAATACTACAATTAGTTTTCATAAGTCGATCGTTTTTCAGCAACCGTACAAATGTCGTCGATTATAAGTGATATCTTACTCAATAATAAAAAAACAAATGGTTTTTCGGTATTAATCGACACTATATCAAAAGTAAATCAAATAAATGATACATTAACATTTTGATTTCTCGAAAAACACGTGACATAATTTAATTATTTAGATTCCATCCAAAGGAAGTATTTTTCGAATTGAACAAACTATATTAGCTCTAAAAAAAATCGTACACGTATGCTCCCAAGTCAATGATCAGAAAATTAAACCAGATGACGCATTAGCAATATCTACGGATCTTTTACTTATAGTCGGTAATCTTTTTGAACACTTGTTAACAATACCGAACAATGAAATCATATCAGAAGTGGAAAGAATTGAACAGATTTACAAGTATACATAACTAAATACCTAATTTCACTATATTTACGAATAGACCCCTTCAGGAATTTCCAACGGACGGGATAAATTACAATCATGAATAAATTGTCCAATTTTATTTATTGTTGTAATCTGTTTTTACTTTTATAACCCTCCGATATTGTAAATTTAAAAAAAAAATCTTGTTTTTTTCTAATAAATATATATCTGTAGCTTAGTGCAAGCAGGATCTAATTGATGAGAAATTGTATTTTTAAATAGGTATATGTCAAAAAATAAAATTAAGTTATCAAATTTCCAAAAATATAATAATACATTTTATATTCGGAGCAGAAATATTGGATCTATATTTTTTTATTTTTTTTTTTGGTCTGTAAACAACTTCGTACAAAAATCTTGCTCTACTCTAAAAGTGAAAAGATATATTTTTTTGTTGCATTTTAGATCTAGTTGCTAAGGAATCAATCATTGATTTTCCTTGTAATTTTTATAAAAATTGGAAAAAATCAAAAATGACTGAAAATGAAAACAGGCAAATTTACGGCGTTATGATTTTATTATTTTAAATGCGTTTGGTTCAGGTTTTCTATCAGAAATATTGGCCTTGGCCCATAAGAAAAACGACAAAAGATTAATTTTGTTTGTGAATCTAATTCGTGAATAATAATATCATTTTTTTTTTTTTTTATTTGACCAGTAGTTTTTATAATAATTGGGAGAAAACGTATAAAGAATGAGGAAGTTTACAACAGGAAATAATAGTTTCATTATTTTCAATTTGTGTTTTTTGTTAATTTTTTTAGAAATATTCGTAGTAGGCATGCAAAGTTATTCGTTAAACTCGAAGTGTCAAAATAATCGATTATTTCGATTAATTAGTATATTTTGAAGAAGCAGTTTATACACAGTTTATACGATATGTATTCGTCATGTTCGATAGTCAGTTTGATTGAAATAATTGGCACTATTGATATATTTTGAAGATATATCGATGTATTAAAATACATGCATCTAAAGATGCATTGAAGCATTGATTTCATTTGTGTCGATATATATTTATTTCCTAATTATATCAATTAATCGATACTAACTCTCATGAAAAACGATTAATCGATATATCGGCACAGGCGCAATTCGTAGGCTTAAAATGTTGAGAAAACACTTATATTTTTCTTTTCTAGACGTGGTCAAATTTTCAAAATATTGTTGTGTTATATATTTTTGAGCTATTTAAAGACATTTTATGTTTTATGTGTTTTTTTCGTAGTTTTTATTTTGTAGGTACCATGTAGACATTATTGTTTGACCAAATAAAAATGGTTAAAATTTAACAGTAGGTTCATTTTAAGTTTTAATTTTTTTATTTAATTGTTTTAAGATCAAATGTTACAGAAAATCTTAAATATTACGGCCTTACAAATGAACTTCGCTCAAAGTCGTTCTTTGTTAGTAATGGTTAATCGGTACTCATAAATTAAATTAATTAACTCTATGTATCTTATTTACGCTTTTTCTGCTCTTTTTTTAAAAAAAAATTGCTGACATTGGCTATTCTTGTACTAAGCTACAGATATATTCTAAGTACGTCCTAAAAATAAGTTCTATTTTTATCGCGTCTGTGCTTTTATCATAATTGTGGTTATTGCTGATTATTTTATTATATCGTAGGGTAAAACTATTTTAAAACTATAGTCTGTCCCAGGAGAGAACAGTCCGCTCTCCGACCAAATCGAAGGGCTACTGCGCATCTCCACGTCGCAACACTATCCATTTATCCCCTCCCGGATCTATCGACAGCGCAGCAACGGCCACCGCAGAAGTGGTGCAGGTTTTGTACACTGCGTTTCAAATAATGCACTGTTGACTGTCGATAGTCCACTGTTTTTAAAAATGAAATGTTTTAATATAATTATTTATTATTTAATTAATATATATCTCTGTATTATACCTACTGTATCATACCTACTGTATTATACCTACAGTGTTCAATAAGATATTAAATAAATAAATATGTATACAAAAAAAACAAAGTCTGGNTGCGATGCGCGATGTCTGATAATAATAACAATTGAATTTCTACAAAATATCCTAGCGGTGTATAGTCAAAAACCGACGACGGAAGAAATGACAATCGGCTTCCTTCGCTGAAATTAAGTTATGTGGAGGGGGAAAACATGCGCACAAGCGGACCGTTCTCTCCTGGGACAGACTATAGTTGGTATTACGGCCAGTGATTTGTTTTATGAATGTAAAATCATTTTAAACCAGTTTACACCCGCCGTCAAATTTATGATGTTTACGGAGAAAATACAATGAGTTAGAAGGTAGGTGTGATTTTTCAATGAAAATTTTCATGAAGAACAAACTGGGTGACCGTCTTTGATGATTGGTAATTTATTGCGTGAAGTTGAAAAGGAAATTTAAAAAAACAAGTTTACTTGATGTCACTGTCGATACATTTTTCTCTTTTACACATGAAATCATTTGTTTATGATCAGAAATTCAATGGAGACGAAAGAAGATGTTGAAACATGGTTTCAATCACAGGTGACATCTTTCTATGATGAATGAATACAAAAACTAGTACTCTGTTATGATTAGTATTTAAGTAATAGTGGTAACTGTGTTGAAAAAAAAATAAATGTTTACACCTTATATGATGGGTACTGTTGTAAGTGAGAAGTTGTAAAAGGTAGAGGGGAAATTGAATTATTTCTGTACGCAAAGATTAATAATTGCCAACGAAAAACAATTCTAAGCGGAGTTTGGTTATACATTTTTTGAAAGTACCATCTATCCCAGTTAAATTTTCTTTCAGAAAAGATTCTACAGTTAAAAATTGGAACAAAAATTCTAGTGAAAAAATTGTTCACAGAAAAACAAAATAAACATCATTGTAAAACCATTACATTTCTTGCTCCGTTAAAAATATACAATTTTTACTGAATTTTCTAACATAACTTCTTTTTTAATTTATACTTTACATGTTTACATGCAACGCAAAACTTAATTTCTGGACGTACCTTGTATTCACTATTTCAAGATTAATACACATAATTTATTATATTTTTAAGCTTTTCGGCGATTTACTCCCAATCCTCTCCTCATATGGACTGTACACGTCACTGATATTTACTGATCAATGCAATTAAAAACAGAACAATCGTATTTAATTTTTGTTGTTTTTATAGTGATGTAAAGATCGTTATTGACGTTTTAACCAGAGATATTGATCCGATAATTAACAAAAATAATAGCGCTAATTCCAACATGCGTTATTTTTGGTCGTCATTGCAAAACGTAATACGAATTTAATTACATTTTTAATTTTATAATTAGTGCAGATATATATATATGCCCTAAAAAACTTTAGGTATAAATTCAGATTAATACAATATATACCATAGGCGACTGCAAAAATTGTTCTGGGGGAGGGACAATGTTAGGATTTGAGGAGAAATATTACTGGGTATTTTAAAACAACAACCTTTTTTTATTATACTCGTATACAATATATTTTATTATGTTACAATTTACAGGTATAGATACATAGGTATAAAGTTAACTTAGAAAATTAATTTTCAAAAAGAAATTTTAATCGTCTCGCATCTCTTCCGAAACGATCAACAAATTTATCATACAATTTGTTATTTCTAATTAGGTCATTAATCGCAGATTTATATACATTCATCATGTACAAAGCATCGAGTCTTTCGTTAGTCATGGTTGAGCGTAATCAGGTTTTAACCCTCCGCAAAGTGCTGAAGGACCGCTCAGCAGTACAATTAGTTACGGGAAAGCTAAGGCCAATACAAATTGCCAAAAATACGGATGAGTAAAATTGTTCCAATTCTTTTAGTATATCTAGTACATCTTTTGATTTTTGAATTTTTGAGCTATTATGGTAATCATGCCAAATTATTGATTCAGCTACAAAATTGTTTGGAAAGAGCTTTACTTTTTTGAAATTTTTTCAGTAAATGATCTATATTGATGTTCATTGAGTTTTCTCATATAATCTGGTAATAATTGAAAAATAGAATAAGGTACTTCATTTTCTTCTGGAAATCGTTCTTTAAGGGATAATATTAATGAATCAACATACCGAATAAAAATAGTCATTTTAAAATAACGTTCAGCACAATCAGCAAGTACATTTAACTCCTTGGAGTAGATTGGCAACTGGTTCCAATATAGACGAATATTCAGCCATAACAAACAAACAAATCAAAAATGTTGAATAACTACACGAACTATATAGTTGAAAAGCACGGCTTTTTGTATTTCGGTTTACGTCACTTTACGATAGTTTCTGCAACGCTTCCAATATTATGTTAATAGAGGAATGTTTGGAATGTATTTTCTTCTTAGAGGACTTTCTCGGAAAAAATTTATTGAATGTTTTATTGTTCCAACCGTGTTACGAATTTCGGAAACATCATACAAAGAATTAATAACTAAATTCAATATATGAGAATTACAATGAAAAAAGTTTGCGTTTGGATATTTATCTTCAATTTATTTTCTAACTCCACTTATTTTTCCCGCCATAGTAGATCAGCCGTCATTGGTTTGACCGACCATTTTTGATAGATCAAGCCCAAATTTTATGAGAGTGGACAGAATTTGTTCAGATATAGTTTTAGCATCCAAACATTGCAATGGTGCAAATTCTATATATTTTTTCCTTACCCAGAATTCACCAGTTGACATTTTGTGCATGAATCATACTCCCAATGAAAGCTGCTCTTTACCGGATATATCATATGACTCATCAGCAATAACTGAAAAGAACTGGCTTTCCTTTACATCTTTAATTAAATGTTCTGGAAACACTTGATTACATATATTTATAAGTTCATTTTGAAACCTATGTGAAACATAAGTTGCATTTGTTGGAGAATTTTGCAAATGGTCATTTAAAATGGTATCTCTGCGTCTACTATAAATTTTAATAAGCTATTGAAGATAGCAGTCTCGCCAGTTTTTCCTCTTAAAGGCATGTTGTGTATACCAAAAAAAACTATTGTTTCGACTATCTGTATTAGTTTCGCTCTGTTTGACTCTATTGTTGGTTGTTGAGCAGAACTCATAAATTGAACAACACTTTTTTATTTTCTAAAATATCACAAAAATTTTTTGCTCTATTTGTTGAGTCACGGTGCCATTTAGATTGAAGATGAAGTTTCATAGAGCCATGGAAATCTTTATATTTCGATATATTTCGTTAATAATGAAATGACCTTGCACTCCTCAATCCAGTTGAAGCTTGAATAATAAAAAATAACCACATAAAACTCCTTTTAATTTTGAAGAGTATGAATTAAAAGAATAATCTACTAACCACTGGAGACGAAATAAACGATTTCCAGTATCAGAGTCTCTTTTTAAAATCGTACGATTTATCGGGTACCCACGATTGTTTTAAAGCTTTATAAATGATCTCGTCCGACAATTTTCCATGATTTATAAAATTCCCAATATCATAAAAATCAATATTTGCAAAATCCTAAAAAATTAATTATTCAATTCAAACTTAAAAAAAAATATAATTTCCACCCAATAATATTTACGCAGATCTCAAAATAATATCTGTATAATTTTTATGTACTATTATGGTTTAAATTTAGTTGTTATATTTATAAAGAAGTCTTTATAAGGTACCTTATAGTAGATACGTAATGAAGTAGATGTTGCATCAAAAGAAGTTGATTGATCTATTTCTTTTTAGCTAAACTCTGTACCAAATAAGAGCGCACCGCGTTGGCGTATCCAAATGAATCGCAGAGCGACGTACGGAATCCCCTGGCTGGGTCTATTCGCACTGTCATTGGTCGCCGGTAGTTGGTCGTGTTCGGCGTCGTCGACGATGTTGCCGCCGCCGACGACGCCGCCGTGAATACAGGGAATTGAAGTAACAACGCATTAAGCGTATTATACAGTAAAATAATACACATATTTTTCGTTAACATATTGAACACAATATATTATAAACGTTTTTACCGATCCTACCTCAATTGTTTTCCTTTATTTGTGTAAGTTTTATTTTTTTTTCATATGCACCTTGATATATAAAATTTAGTATAATAATCAAAATAATATTTAAATTTTCTGTATAAATAGGATAGGTTAGATTATAAAGAACAACATTTGACAGGACACATTTTTTTTTATATTCTTGAACATTGTCAAAGTTATTAGATTTACAAACATATAGAAAAAAAAAATTTATATTACTTATCAGAAAATACAGAATCCGAAGATGTATTGCTAATTGTCATTATTACACGTTCCGTTTCTGCCGTCAACATAAGACTATAATAAAATCGACGTTATTGAATTTTTCTTCCTATTCTGTCGTGTGCCTTATGAAATTTTTCCACATATTATTCTTAAATACTCGCTCTATACCTCCCTATGTTTTGATGTCACATAATTTATAGCTGGTATTCTTTTTTACGTGACCTTTCACGGAAGCCCACGCCATTTCTATTGGGTTTAACTCACAATGATAAGGTAGGAGTCTTAATATTGTTCGGTTATGTGTTTCGACCAGATCGTCAATAACATACTTATCAAATTGTGGTTTTATTTGTTTTACCATGTCGAGTAATTCAACGATCACCATAGGTCGATCAATTAACTCACCCTTTTCCTGTAACCATTTTATGATGTTTGCTTTTCTGGTAGTTATATTTGAATTATTTTCTTTCTTCATAGAATGATACGGAGCGTTATCCATTACAAAAACACTGTTTTCTTTAAGTCGTGGTAATACGTTTGTCATCCATTTATAAAATGTGTTCCCATTAATTTCTTCATGGTAGTCCGTGGTTTTGTTTGACTCAAAACACAGGTCACCTGGCACGAACCCGTCTTCGGACCTAATGTGTAGAACAATGAGCTTCTTGTTTTTGCCAGATGGATTCTGAGTGAGACCTTGCAAAAATGCATCACGGGGTGATTTAATGGTCTTGTCTACTCACGTTTTACTTGTATAGTCCTGCGTTTACCCATGTTTTATCTAAGTAGTATATCGTCCGCTCTTCTTCACGATATTTACGTATATTTTGTAAATACCGTCTTTGCCACAAAACAATTTCCTCCTTCCCTATGAGAGCACTATTTCGACTGCGTTTTATGTACATGAAGTCCATAAATTTCAATAATTGTTGTAAATTAATTCTCGAAATATCTGGCAAACTGTCGTCATCCTTAACAACTTGTAGTATTTTGTCCAATGTGGGTATTGTTTTATTAAATCAAAATAAATGAACATGCCTACGTACTGTAAATACAGTACGTAGGCGTACAACTAAATAGTTGTACATCATCAAACTTATCTTTAAATGATGGCTTATTACGAGTTTTGGACGGAGAGGTCACAGTTTTGCCGGAATTATATTCACTTATGACATTTGAAACTGTTCGTTGTCCGGTGCCAAGTTGTTTTGATATAAAAATACGAGCTTCTTGAACTGTTAATTTCGGATTTTTTCTTAATTCCGCCTTGTAAGAATTAACAATCATCACGCGTCGAGCTGATGAAACAGACTGGAATAAAAATACGAATAAAACTATGTTGAATAATGTATAATATACAGATAAAACTATAATAGGTCCATAATACATAATAAATTAATACATAATAGGTACACATTTTTCTTACTAACCTTTTCCATAGAATTTTTCGTTGAAGGTGAAATATTTGCCATGGTGCCTATAGTGTCAAGTGGAAATGAATCAAAAGTAAAATCGCAAAGAAAAATTCAAAATATATACCAATGCGCACAAAAAATAAAACGACGTCTAACCGCGTACTACGTTAAAAACGATGTAACAATACAACATGCTCTGTATAAACAACATGACTAGCCGTTGCCGAAACGGCCAGCGGCATTTCCAATTGTAGTGGTGATAGATGCGCGAGTTTCGACCGGTTTTCGTGCGCCGCCCGGTGCGCTCTTATTTGGTACAGAGTTTAGTTTCGGTTTCATTATTTTTGTTTATTTTAGCATTTTCGGGTTCTAGTTCTAAAAGAGGTTTTTTTTAGTATCTTCTCAAATCCATTTTCTAACAAATTCGAATAACCGCTAAATTATCTTCGATAGACCAATAGATTTACAAAACACACCAACTAACGAGTATCGACTGACTTGTGATCACGATGATACAATATTAATAATATTATACAGGTAAACAATTACTAATCAATAATCACTTTAGATGGAATTAGATAGAATAGATATGTTATAATAGAGAATATTTTATAGGAAGTTATTTAGCTATGGAACCTTTGGAGAGGCCCGATCTAAAAATACAATTATCAATCGACTGCAAATAATTTAATATAATGTTTTTATAATAGTAACCTATTATTCATATGTTAAACAACTTTCAATTTGTTATGTAGTAAATAGTAATTTATCTTAAAACATTCAATTTAAAAAATATTTTTAAAAAGCCAGGGGGGGGGCAAATGACCCAGGTTTTGTCACGCATTTTAATATTGACTAGTTATTTATTGACAAACCATTACAAATTTGCAAAATCATATAAATATCTACCTAATTATAATCATATATATATAAATAGAAGGCATTGGTGACTCAAAATATTGACAAAACGTTAAAGATTTTCGGTGAATCTATTTTATTACATCATATTGTATACGAAAAAATGAAAACGTATCAGAGTAAGGAATCGCATTTTTGGGCAAACGTATGTCGTATGATTTGATAAAATATAATAACGCATAAGTAGAAATCTACTGTATTATATTATTAAATATATATTTAAATATTTTGTTAAAATAGATGCTTAGCACTGATGATATGCTAAAAGCACAAAATAATGATATTATCGGTTATGGCTTAGCCAACGAATTATTACGGTCGAATAAAAATGGCACGTGGAGTTTGAAAGTATGTACATTTTACTATACATTAACTGGATATATTGTAATAATTGCATTTATATAATGTAGATATTTGAAATGAATGGAAATTTAGCGATTTGGACGGAGCCGAGAATAAATCTCCGAAACATTAAATCAAACGTCAAGTATGTGGCGTTATCGGCTTACAATCGAACCCTTAATAAATATTTAGGGTCCATTGATAAATTTATTTTACCGGCTTCGATAACTTTTGACGTGGAAACCGAAATCGTAGACAAATGCGACGGTGAAGAATATACGATTCTCGTCCCTGCGGTTGGCTCCAAAGAGATAGAATTCGACAAAGCTATTCGAGTGTTTAAACTAGACATGATGGAAGTCGGAGCTATTTTTATAACGGTTAAATCACCGTCACATGCTCTACTCGTAAGTATTATTTCGCTTGTATATAGAACAAATTGTGTTATTTTTTGTTGTTATCAACTGAATACAGATATCCTGGACGAGGAATCGTAGGCCTGATTCCGAACTAATGAGTGACGAACAGTACGTGACAAAAATACCATCGGGTATAGAAGAATATAAAGTCGCATTTCGAACGCACAAAGACTATCAAGAAGAAATGCATTATATTGGTATATTTGCAGATACGACGGTAAGACAAGTATAGAAACGATTGATGTTATTTGATTTTTCGTTTTATTTTTGTCGTCGTAGGTCAGCAATAATAATAATTTATCGAACCAATGGTACGAAGTAAAATTTAAGATGATTATGATTGGTACGCGATGCGTGCATTGGAAAAAGGCCGGTTGGTCATCGGAAGGAATGGATATTGGTCTCAATAGTTCCACTCACGGGAATACGGTACATTGTTTTACCCAACACTTGTCATTGTTTAGCAGCATGATTTTTGTCCTGCCCAACCTACCAGATCCGGTCGACGATATCCATTTATTTTCCAACATTGCTGACAATATGGTTTGCTTGGTGTTGGTAATGGTGATTTTCATAATATTTATAATTATGCTATATTGGGCATACATCCAAGATAACAAAGATATATTAAAGGTGAGAACGTAATAATATGAAAAAATACAGGTGTATCGATAAATTACCATCGTCCACATTTTCAGAGCCGCGTGACGATTCTTGCTGACAATTATGTGGGTGAAGACGAAGTATATTTAGTGACTGTGTACACGGGACATGGTTTTGGATCCGGAACTACGGCTAATGTATGCATCAAATTAAACGGATCTATTCGTAATAGTAGAGTGAGTACCGCTTATGAATTATATGACTATTGTAAGATATCGTGAAAAAAAAATAAAATTGTCTTATTGTACTGGGAGCGTGTAAAAAAGTTTCAGTTCAGAAGAGTTCAGTTTCCAATAAGAGTTTATATTTCAATGACAGTAAACAAAGCACAAGGTCAGACTTTAATTCAGTGCATCTCAACCTTTTTAAAACGGCCGCTCCCCTAAGAAGCAAAATATTTTTCANTGAAAAGTTTATAATTGAATAATTAATAAATATATATATATATAAATGTGAATATAATGAAAATAAAATGTAAAATTTATGTTTAAATATAATTTAAGAGGATAATTAAAATGTTTTTAAATGTATTGATCAGTGAGATTGTTGTGCTTTGTGATTCAAAGCCAATTTTTTTACGTTTGGTTCAAAGTTTGTGAGATGAAGGCGTGAGTCTCCTCTTTTAACGATGTCGAATCGATTTCTTTTTTTCGTTATTAGATTCGTTACCGCACTAAATCCTCGCTCAACGAGGTAAGAGGAAGGGAAGGCAATTAATAATTTTTGTCGACAGTCCACAGCCCAGGATAAATTCGACTGATAGTAGACTGAAGCCGAAATTCTGTGAGATTTTCATCATTCTTAAAACTTGCTTTTAATATCTCGTTAGTGGAAAATTCGATAAATTCTTCTTGATACTGTATTTTTGCTGATTCCATTTTTACAAAGAGGTTTATGACCCATTGAGGAACTTCCAGAGACAAAATATCTTCAAAACGTTGTGAAAAATCTTTTTCCAAAGACTGAAGGTGTTAACAGTAAATTTGTGTGTCATCAAACGAGATCTTACTGTTCTTGTATAGATCCGACAGGATTGGAAACTGGCTAAACTTGTTGCGACCAAAATTGTGCTTCCATAAAATTAGTTTTTTTTTTGGAAAGCAGAAATAATAGAGTTAGTTGTTATGTAATTGAACTCGTCGCCTTGAAGTTGCAAATTAGTGTCATTGAATTTTGCGAATAAATCGGTCATTAAATCGATATCGGTCTTAAATTGTAGCAACTTACTTCTCAGATCTACATCTTTCTCTTCAAGGAACTCAAGTATAGATTCGAAAATATTCCAAAACCTGTTGAGGCACTCGCCTTTGGAGAGCCATCGAACCTCGGTGTGTAGAATCAAACGATTTAATTCTTCGTCATTGTCTGTATACAGCTGTGCAAATAGTCGATCGTTGAGAGAATTATTGCGAATTTTGTTGACAGCAGAGATGACATATCGTAATGACTGATGCAAACGGTCGCTCAGGTTTTTCGCAACTAAATGCAGTCAGTGAATCACGCAGTGAACAGCTAAAATACCTGATACTTCTTTCTTTAAAAAGGCGATGAACCTACGATGACGACCCACCATTGCAGGCGCTCCATCAGTGGTAACAGACGACATAATGTTCACAAGAGGAATATTCTTTTCTTTAAAATAATCTTTGACGGTATTGAAAATAGATTCACCTTTAGTATCTGCTATCAAGGTTCTTGCAAAAAGCATCTCTTGTATGCTCTTGCAAACGCGACGGTTTCATTGCTTCGTTAGATAATACTCTGTTGCAAAGTAAACACATAGGAAGCTGCGCGTTGGACGGTGATGGAATAAATCCGTACATAAAGTAATTTGTATTGGCGACATTTCCTTTTTGCTTCTGACATTGTTGGATAATATACAATTTTAATATAAACCGAAACACGAAACGAAAACTAACCCAAACAGCACGGATAAAATCTAAATGTATACTTAGAGTACAATAAGAAAAAGCATAATGCAGAATGTAATAATAGGAAGAATGTAAAAAAGATAATGATTCGTTCGAAAACGATTACAGATAAGCAAAATTTTGACGCTCTTATATATGTAGCTTATATTTTATAATCACGAGTTTATTTTATAAATCGATAAAAATGAAAACAATTACAGATAAATCTTGGTGCGTTGCTTTGAACGGAAAAAAAATTCACCCCCCCCCCTATCGCCAAAAACGAGCTCACCGCCCATCAGTACTCCTTCACCGCTTACCGGGGGGCGATATCGCCCCCGTTGAGAAGCGTTATTTACTTATTGTATTGCAGTTGTGAACAGGTACAATTTTATGTAGCATTTTCTAAAATTGGATGATCTGACATTTATACTATCATGTACCACAAAATAAAACTCTGAATGTGTTATACCAAGAGGTTTTGAACTTAGTCATTTTAGAATTGAGTAACTCAATTTAGAATTATTTTTAAATATTCATAAAGTTAAATTATAGAAATTAGAATTAGAATTATAGAATTATTTTTCATAATAATATGTGTATAGAATCATTAGAATCATTTGTAAATATTATTATTATTATTATTTGTTATTCAGCTACTACTACTATTTAACAATTGATTATATTAAGTAAAACAAATTTTTCTGCTTTAAAATACAGCAATAAGTGCTGAAATTAAGTAATTAATTCTCATTTAGAGAAAGCAAAAACTACACACGGGCAAAACCGGGTAATTTATCTAATATTATATAAAATTATATTGTAGGCTGCATACGAGTTGCGGTCGTTGGTTATTTTTAAGACAAACAGATGTAACAGTCGCGGTCACCCTATTTATAATGTATCTCTGAATTACGGTCACGTGTTAAAATCTTCGAATTATTCGATAACTTAACTTAGTGTGTTTTAGAGTACAACATTTCCAAAGTGTGTTGTTAATATGTTTTTAAAAATAAAACTTGATATTGGAATTATTGGGTAGAACGTCAAGTTTAACTTATTATTATCACTATCATTGTTGATTTCAACCAAAAAACACAATTTTCTAGTGCAACAAATTCGTTATTATGAAGAGAGTAAAAAAAATAGACTTGAGTGCGTAAAATCAATTTTCTTTAAATTTGTAATCTCTGAATTTTAATAAAACTGTACATTTATGTTATAACATTTTCGTTTTAATATTTGTGTATAACAAACGTTATTTACCAAATCTACACAATAAATAAAAAAGAGCTGATACTGGGACTGGGAGTTGCCACTGTTGTAGGTGAGAAACTGGGAAGGTAGAATTCATAAGGTTATTTCATTTATATCTGTAAGCAACGATAAACTATTGCTTGACGAAAGATTATTTCGAGTGCAACTTGGTAATATATAATTTGAAGTGCCATTTTTTTTTTTGCGATTTTCGTTTAAATTTGATTTCAAAACGTTTATTACAAAAAAAAAAGACGTCTAATAATTTTGGAAAATTAAGTCCAATATAAGTATTAATACCAAGTTTTAAGTCTACGTGTATTTATAACCGAATTACAGCAAAAAAACTCCCAAAAATAAAATTCCTTAAAAGTTCAAAAGCGACTTAAAAGTTTTGGAGATTATACTGTTAGAGAGTAAATCAAAAAGGCAACAAAAAAGGTATCTTGTGATTTTTCAATTAAATCTTTTTTTCTGGTAGAAAACGTCGTCAGTGTTTTTATAAAATAAAGAAATTTTTAAATTGAACGTGTTCCTACTTTCCCACTTAAATTCTTTAATTTAAAAAATAGCGTCGAAAATAAATGATTTCTCTAAAGTACCATCTAGATAACTTGAGCTTTTCATAAAATTTGCTTCAAAATCTGAGCAAGTTTACTTTGACGTTTTAAAAAACCTGTCCACATACTAGAACAAAGAAAAAAAGAAAACAAGAAAAAGAAAGAACTAAACATCTTAAATCATAAAACCAATAGCTCCCTTCCTACGCTTAGAATTTAAAAGTGTAGATATTTTTAAATCTGTTATAAATGGGAAGTAAAATGTTTAGTAGTTAGTAAGTAAACTTTTTATTCGGTAATCACAACTAGTAGGCAGTCTTTTTATTAGGCGACCACAATTTGTAAGTAACCTTTTTTTTAAGTAACTGCAATTAGTATGTATTTTTTGATTTTAACCACAATTAGTAAACACAAAAAGCGTAAAATCATTGTAAAGCCCTGTAGTGATCATTAAATTCAGTTCCGGTTTCCAATATTTTAAGAGTTATTGGATTCCAGCACCAATTCTTTTCCAATCCCTGTTTTCTGGTTACTCGTACATATTTGACAAGGTGTATTAAATTTACTACCTATTCATTAAATAAACTTCGTGTAAAATATAATTTTGGACTAAACGGGTAACATATTTTTGTATACTATATAGTACCTCCACATAAAACCTAAAATTACGATTCGATTATTTATATAAATTTGAACTTTAAATTTACAAAAACACATTTAAAAAATGAATGAAAACATGTTTAATTTAAGGCGCATTGGCTCCACAGTCCTCACTACCGAACGTTACAGCGTGCCAATGATGATTGGTTTCTGATATTCGCGCCGCAGAGCTTAGGCGAATTAATATCCGTTCATATTTGGCATGATAATTATGGCCCGGATCCCGATTGGTACTGTCAACAGATTATAGTAAAAGAAATTCGTACAAACAAAATGTGGGTTTTTGAAGTCGAAAGATGGTTTTCACTTCGACAGTCCACCGAATGTATTGAACACGTCGTTTATATCGCAGCGTTAGAGTACGACTGGAGAAGAGTAGCTAAAGAATACTCTTATGTCGGAATACGAGAAAAACATTTATGGGCTAGTGTGTTTATGTGGTAAATAATATGTAATACATACAATTATGTATTTTAGATTATATATTCGTATGCATAAGAATTAATAATATTCAACGAAAAATCTTTTCGTTTTTAAAGCCATCCACGATCTCCAATTACCCGGTGCCAAAGACTAGGTGTTATTTTGTGTGCAATTTTGAGTTTGATGTTATCCAGTTTGATGTTTTACGAATTGAAGCACAGTAAATTTAATATTACTCATATAACATAAATAACTTAAACAGTTCGTAAATATTTGTTTCGTTGATTCATCTGTGTTTGATAGCTGACGAAGAAGAATTTGAAAAATATGAGCTGAAATTGAGAGAAATCTTAATAGCAATACAAAGTGGAATAATCCAAGCAGCATTAACAATCAGCGTGCATTATTGTTTTCAGTAAAATTCAATAATTAATAAATAAAAACCTAAAAATATATAGGTGTCCCACGACGATTTGACACTTCAAATAAAATTTGTTTTATTCGATATGTTTAATTACTTTTTTTTTTTAAATAAGTATGCCTCTGCGCTATAATTATTAAATATTTTTAAACAAATATTTAGGTAGGTGAATTTAAAATAAAAAAAATTTAAATTTCACTATAATTAAAAAAAAATTCAAAATAGATTTTTCAAAAAATTTTATTTGGGTATGGTATTTTATTTTCTTAAATTGTTTAAATTTTTTTTTGACAAATGTTATTATTATTCTGGTTTATAATAATTTACTATAATATTCAACCAGTAGACAGTAGTACTACTCTATATGATATTACTAACTCATGAAAAAGAAAACCGTTGTAATTTGGTGTGCTCTGACCAAATATTTTTTCAAAATCTACTTAATAAAATGATAATTTTGAATTATTTTTTTTAAATTGTAGTGAAACTTTAAATTCCCCTACTTAAAAAAAAAAAAAATTTTATATAACTATAGCACAGAGGTATACTAATTATTTAAAAAAAATATTGAATAGAACAAAAGTTATTTTAAATGACAGATCATTGTAGAATACTATATAAATATCAATTAAAAAATTATTTTATTATAGACGAGGTAGAAACGTTCAATTGGATAAGATTGAAACTCACCAATCGATACTAGAAAACTTACCAATCCAAAACACTGAACACCGTAAGTAAAATAAATATTATTTGCATTTTGTTTTCTCATCAGATTGTCATGTTAGTAACATTATGTGAAAAAATCGTCAAGTTTCTTATCGGCCTTATGGTTACAAAAAATATTTATTATCCAGTCGACGTAGAAGAGATAACGAAAAGACATCAATGGAATCGTTGGTTTATAGTTGGTTGGTAAGCGTTTTGTTCCTTTTCGGTAAAATTACATGTATATGTTACAGTTAAAACCCGATATCCATCAAAACTTATTGTAACTAGTAAAACTAGTATTCATAAGACCACAAATTCCTTTAGAAAATTGTGGTTTTGATTAGTTAAATAGAGAAATAAACACAGATTTACACAACTTAGTCAAAACTAGTTTTAACTGAAATACATGTATTCAAACCTGCAGAATTATTAAAACGCACGCGCCCACAGGTGTATATCTATAATAATATTGCTCGATAAATTCGACCGGCCTATCAAATCAATTAAGATAACTTCAACCAGTTTTCAATCCAACCATTTATTTAAGTATCTTTTAATTCACCAAATAAAATAAAATCAGTAATTAGTTAGTAAACAGTAAAAATTGTTTCTGGCCTGAATTTATAACATACAAGGAAAAAATACCAACGTTAGGGATTCAAATTCCAAACAATCGTATGTGTAGCCGCAATAAAAGCAATGATGGGATCAGGGCAAGATTTTGTAAAGGCACATTAAAAAAAATTCTGCGGAACAAATAGCTATGTAATAAAATAAAATAAAATGTATGTAGGAAAACTAGAATACTATGCAATTCTAAATGCTGCATTTTGTCCTGTTAAAATAAACATTATAATAAAGTACTATAATTATTATTATACAACTATGTACTTATTTTTATTTTTCTTAGTTTAAATATCAATACAAAAATTACGGATTTTCACTAGATAATTCTTGTTTTCACCAATATGTGTCCGACAAAACTAGTTTTAACTAAACAAAAATAAATTAAAACAAGTTTTATGGGTGTGGGTCTTAGTTAACTCTAGGTTTAACTAATCAAATTCGGAATTTACTAATGGGATTTGTGGAAACTTGTTTTGACGGATTTTGGATATAACTGTAACATACAGGGTACATCAGAAAAGACTGGCCAACTCTATGGATTGTGAATCTATATGTGGCTATAAGAATTGGTTTTTTGGAATTTTTGTTTTCTTATCAAATCTTTGGTTTACCCGTTTTATTTGTAAAATTCCTATACAAAATAAAAATAAACCATTCCAGAGAATTTATCGCAAAATTCTCTTACGAAATAAGGGGTCACTCAATTTTTTCCAAAAATAATCATTATCACCACTGTTTTTGGCTTACCATGTCCAAAATCGTAATTTTTGTGTGACACATGAATTTGTATGTAAATTTGTCAGGGATTTCAATTAAATAAATTATTTTTTATTTAAGCGTCAATTTAACGATCCTATCCGTAAAATACGACTCATTTGACTGTAAAAAACATTAAAAAAATGCATAAATTCAGTTGTTTTTATTGAATTTTTTTATCATTAATTATTATCAGATAATAAAGAAATAATATTTAAAGTAAATGTTCAATATGACCTCCATGTACTTCAATACATTTTAAAAGTTGTTCATGGAATGACTTCAAACATTTTCAAATAGTTCTGGAGTTTTTTCTGCCGCATAAATTATTCGCTCATTAAGTTGCTCCCTACTAGTTACTTTTCGATCATAAACCTGCTTCTTCATATAACCCCATAGAAAAAAGTCGCATGGGTTGAAGTCAGGACTTCGGGGTGGTCATATTATATCTGGACGAATTATAGCATTGTTACCCGCACGTCTTCCAATAATGTGACCAGGAAATAAATAATGGAGTTGCTCACTGACCGCTATCGTGTGATGAGGTGGGGCTCCATCTAACATGAACCACATTGTTTCCTGTTCTTTATTAGGAATATTTTCTAATAATACGGGTAAAGTGTACATAAGGCAATTTTGAAACTCGCGTCCATTACCCTAGGTGATAAAACTTGAGGTCCCAACAAATAATTTCCAATAATACGGCACCAAATATTTATTTTAAATTTGTACTGTGATCCTCCTATTCGTATAACATGTGGATTTTCTTCAGCCCGTATATGAAAATTATGCTGGTTGAAAATACCATCTTTTGTGAAACCAGCCTCGTCGGTGAAGAAGATGTTCGAAAAAAAATTTGGATTTTCCGTTCTTCGATTTGTCATATCGGTTGCGAAATTTAATCTGGCGATATCACGTGGCAGAAACTCCTGTACTCGATATCTATGATAGGAGTGTAAATTATTATCATTTAATATCCTCCACACACTCATTGTAGATAATCCTGTTCTTGCTGAAATACGCCGACAGCTAGTTTCGGGATCTGCACAAACAATATTAAGAACTCTTTCCTCACTTCGGGTATCATGAACACGTCTTTCAACCCCCCTCCCCCATTAAGATTGACTGGTACAACTGACCCTACATTAAACCATAAATTCATTTAAATTGCAATTAAATTATAATGTTGGATTTAAAGGATACACACATTTTGTTGAATTAAATATTAAAACTTTATTATTATTTGGATAATTAAAAAAAAAACATACCTGTTTCTCTTAATCTACGAAAAACATCAATGATGGTTTTTCGATAAGGTTGCTGACAGTTTGGAAACCCATCAGCCCATAATCGAACTGCCTGAGCACTAATATCATTAGCAGTACCTAAAAATTAGATGTATGTATTCAGAACAACATAACATTTTTTATTATAAGAAAAACCTTACCTAAAATAAAAACCATATCAGCGTATTCAACAAATGTGTACATCATTATTAAATAATAATTATAACATTAATTAATATTAAATACAAAATTTGAAAAAAAAATATTAAACTCACCAGTAACTTATCGATGTACTACACTAACTGATATGTGTTCAGCGTGGAGTCACAAGCTTAGATACCATAATCAATACAATAAAAATAACAACCAATAATAAAAATGATAAAGTTACTACTTTATCATACACAAATTTAATAATGAATACGATAGCATCACTAGATCATGATGGAAATTTTATAAAATTATTATTTTGGTAGTATTATTGACATAATGCCATTTTGTGTCATCGAAAATGTTTGAAGTCATTCCATGAACGACTTTTAAAATGNTGATAAAACAATTCAATAAAAACAACTGAATTTAAGAATTGTTTTAATGTTTTTTACAGTCAAATGAGTCGTATTTTACGGATAGGATCGTTAAATTGACGCTTAAATAAAAAATAATTTATTCAATTAAAATCCCTGACAAATTTACATACAAATTCATGTATCAAACAAAAATTACGATATTGGACATGATAAACCAAAAAAAGCGGTGATAATGATTATTTTTGGAAAAAATCGAGTGACCCCTTATTTCATAAGATAATTTTGCGATAAATTCTCTTAAATGGTTTATTTTTATTTTGTATGGGTATTTTACAAATAAAACGGGTTAAACCAAAGTTTTTATAAGAAAACAAAAATTCCAAAAAACCAATTCTTATAGCCACATGTAGAGTCACAATCCGTAGAGTTGGCCAGTCTTTTCTGATATACCCTGTATACAAATATTATAATATGTAAAATATATAATGAAAAATGTGCGTGCATATGAATATAGTTTAACGTATGTTTTAGGACTGTTTGCATCGTAGTTTATATTTTAACAGTGTATTATATCGTTTTGTACGGTTTAAAAGTCGGTCGAATCAAAAGTTTATTTTGGCTTACGTCGATAGCAATAGAAATTTTTCGTAGCGTCATTATTTCGAAACCCATTCATATAATATTTATCGCTGCTATTTTAGCGAAATATATTTGGCAACCAAAAGTACGGTTTTATCTCCTCTTTCATAGCTAAACGATTTCGACGGTTTATTATTGGAACACAATCGTTTATGATTTTATTTTCTATGTAGGATAAATCTAAGACATATACATACAATTTGACATTGGGCAGGTATAGGAGGAAGATTTATACACGTTTACAAGATGTCGAGTGTGTAAGACAGATAAGATATTATCGAAGACGGTACTTGTATACACCTTTGACCAGTAAAACAATAAACGTAAGATATATTTCTATTGTATGGTATGCAATTTGTCACGTATTACCAATATTTTTTCACATTTCTATAGACTTTGAGAGAACGATGGATACTAAGGATGGGCCATAATGATTATAAGTCAGACGTAATCATTTGTGCAGTTTTAATATTGATGTCTGTGTGTTGTCTTTTTATTTTGAACGTATTTGAGAATCAAAACAGGAATTACCAAAATAATCTCATCTCATCTAAATACTTGGAACTCATAATCGAATCGTCAAACAATCAGCTAATTACTTTAGACAAGTGAAATATTATCCTTAATTATCGAGCTTTACTCGGACGTTGTTTTATTGATCTTATTTTTTATTTTTATTTTTTCTAATATTCGGTCTGCAGTTTAAAGAAATCGTTATCGTTCAAGTTGTTGAAAGCGGTGCATTCTCCGGAATTTTATAACGGCGTACCTCTTACCAATGATACAATCCAGACGACAGAACGTATGTGCATCTTATTCTTGATCTTTATTACATAGCGCAGGTGAGGTCAGCTACTCTTATTCTTGATCCCCCCATTAATCACAATTTTAAATGTTCCATATTATTCTAAATATATCCTCTTATGTAACGTCTAGCCCATTTTTCTTTAACCTACATTATTACACATTCACCTTAAAATGCTCATATTTTTTGCAATTTTCATTGTTTTTTTATCCCTCATTGAAAGTTTAACATTTATGACCGTTCACAGATATCATCGCTGACTTCACGATGGTTTTTTCCTTTTTAGTTTGCCTTTAGTTCTTATAATGACAATTGTTTGTTTTAGCCGACAAAACTGGGTGGTTTGGTTTGTACAATAGTCGTTTAATCGGCGGAGGTATCCAAATCACACAAAACCGTGTTGATCGGAACGGTGAAAACGACAATAAGAACTACGGTTCCGGATGGAAGGAATACGCCACGAGTACTGACTACACCATTACTACTTCTTGGACTTATTCACGGCCACAAAGTAAACAATTACCATTTTCAGTACATATTAGTTACTCACTTCCTTCTCCTTCTCCTTCACCTCAACTATTTATTTACTCGCTTTTAATATTAAATTAATTCATTAAAAATGTTGCTGTAGAAAACGCAACAGCGGATGAAAAAAACAATGCTGAGGGTTATGGGCTATATTTAACCGACAGATTCGTCGAAAGTAAATGGACGCTCGACGAACATTTAGGATCGAAATGGCTGGACACGAGAACCCGAAGTCTTTCCGTTCAATTTCAGATATATACACCTAACACAGATACAGTCACCGTGGTCAAAATCCGCGCGAAGACTGGATGTGGGCTTTTGTACGCGATTACTATTGACGTGAGCCATTAAATATTAATGTTCATTATAATATTATGGATAGTAAATAACCATTAATTCGAGTTTTTCCAAAACGTTTTAATTTATCGCCGAGTAAGGGGAATTTGACCCATAGCCGTCATATTTGTCTTCATTAAAATATGTATCTATAATTTTACACGGTGGTGTTTTGGAGAGTATACGAGGGTGTACCCAAAAGAAACCGAACTGATGTTGTGTAGGACAGAGTTTTAGTAGTACCGATTTTTTTCCGGTAGGGGCGTATAAATATACTTCTCAACATTCAATATACCAACGGCCGTCATCGTGGAAGGTTGTGTTACGTTAGTGTGATATTTTTTTTAAAAGTTATTTTTCGTACTCGTCGTTTTTGTAATGGCTGATTTGCGTGAACAGCGCGTGGCCGTCAAGTTTTGCTTCTTGCCCGGGAAAACAGGCACAGAAATCCTTGAGATGTTGAAAACAGCTTTCAAAGGTGTTGCTTTAGGGAAAACTCAAGTATTTGAGTGGTTTTCCCGTTTTAAAAGTGGTGAAATGTCGATAGACGACTAACCTCGCTCTGGACGTCCTTCGACGGCGCGAACCAACAAAAATGTAGAAAAAATTCACAAAATTATCATGGAAGATCGATGGCAAACCATCGAAGAAGTAGTGGAGAGATCTAGTGTGACATGGAATTTAGTACAGAGAATTTTAAGTGAAGATTTGGGGATAAGACGGGTGGCTGCAAACTTTGTTCCTCGATTGCTAACTGAGCAGCAAAAACAAGGCCATGTGGAAACATGCTCTTTTTTGAAAGAAGAATTCCAAAATGACCCAAACTTCTTTTCCAAGGTCATTACAGGTGACGAATCATAGTGCTATGGATATAATCCTGAAACCAAGCAACAATGGAGCCAATGGAAGACTCCAGCATCGCCTCGCCCAGTACAGTGTTTACCCTTTTGCCACCTGGTGAATTATCGCATATTCTGTAAAACAGTAAAAATACGCACTTATAGGTACCTTTGTTTTTTAGATTCTGAATAGTGCGAATATTTATTTTTTTTTAATCTAGGAACAACTTTTCTACCAGAAATGTTGATACAATATACAATGACAGCAATTTTTCTGATAGAAAATTTGACTGGGGAGGTACTTTAAGAAGGTCATTTTTTAAAGTCAAAAACGAAGGGAAAACAGGACAATAGGTAAAATTAAATAAATATTATTTAAGAAAATGTTTTATGTATATGTAATTATTTTACCATAATATGACATTTATGTTGTTGATAAAGCAACACTATCAAAGCTCAGATTTGTTTTTTCCGTAAACAATGGTTTATCGTTTTTTACAGATATACATTAAATTCCATTATGTATTCTATTTTCCCAACTCTTCCCATTTACACCCACGTCTAAAGTATGTCTGTTTTTTTTTAAATATGCGTCTAATATTTACAAATTATCTAATCTGTATTCTGTATAATTATTTATTACATAGCAACGCAATTAATGGCATGAGGCAAATTATTTTTGACTAAAATAATGAACCTAAAAATATTTCTATATTCTACATGTGTTAACTGTAACTAAATAGTTACCTAATGTTCCTTTTTATTTACTGTTCAAACGTGTTATTTTTTTTATTAAAGTTCCCTGTTGTTGATCATTGTTGTTGTAATTTTATTATTTTACAAGCCCTAATTTGATAAAAAACATTGTCAAATAACAACTTACATTTGAAATAAGTTAAGGATAATAGTATATAATTAATAAAACAATAAAAAAAAAAAGCCAGTATCAGCTTAATGAGTGTGAGCACTGTTGTAAATGGTTAGTTGGAAAGGTGGGAAATATAGTTATTTAATTTATACCTGTAACCAGCGATAAACCATTACTAAGGAAAAGGATTCGGAGCGAAGTTTGGTTAAACATGGTTATAAAGACTGATATACGATTTGTTTCGAATTTGATTTTAAGTTAATTCTTATAAAAAAAAAAAACTACCTCGGATTTAATATTGTTTTTTGACCATTAATTAAGACCTAATGTACTTATACTAAGAAGTAACCTTCTGTCAAATTTTGAAGCAGTGCTGTTTAGTCTAACAATTGTATCCGCAAAGTACTTACCAAATAAAAATTACATAAAAACCTCGCAAAATTAAAATATCTATAAGTAGCTCAAATATGACTCAAATGTATTGAAAATTTGACCACGTCTAATAACACCAAGTAAAAGATTTCTGTAAGAATTTTGAGTTCATGGACATTTTAAACAGAATTTCAACAAAAAAAAACCAAATTGAAAAGAATAAAACGATTATTTTGTAAACTTTTCCGTTATTTCTACGTTTTCTCTCGATAATTACAAAAACTGATTGGAAATTAAAAATAATATTTTCTTAGTCACTAACCAAATTAGAAATTCAACAAAGATCATTCGTTGTTGTTCTATTGGAGTAAAACTTCTCTTCGAAAATTTGTTTACAGACAAAAGCACATATCATAGTAAAATCAATAGATTCCTCGATACTTTCCGAATCTAAAATTTACTAAACAGGACAATAAAAATGTATTTTTATAAAGTTTGTAAATATGCTAATATACTATAAGATCTTTGCAAAACAGTTTTTCACGAGCTTGTTTTTGAATAGAAAAATATTCGTTGTTTAAGTTCCTAAAATTCCACCAACATTCCTATGATATCAACCGGAAAATTGCTTTTAGGTCATGAGTGTCTCTGAAGAATTATCAATATCAATGTTTCCCAACGGGGGCGATATCGCCCCCCGGTAAGCGGTGAAGGAGTACTGATGGGCGGTGAGCTCGTTTTTGGCGATAGGGGGGGGGGTGAATTTTTTTTCCGTTCAAAGCAACGCACCAAGATTTATCTGTAATTGTTTTCATTTTTATCGATTTATAAAATAAACTCGTGATTATAAAATATAAGCTACATATATAAGAGCGTCAAAATTTTGCTTATCTGTAATCGTTTTCGAACGAATCATTATCTTTTTTACATTCTTCCTATTATTACATTCTGCATTATGCTTTTTCTTATTGTACTCTAAGTATACATTTAGATTTTATCCGTGCTGTTTGGGTTAGTTTTCGTTTCGTGTTTCGGTTTATATTAAAATTGTATATTATCCAACAATGTCAGAAGCAAAAAGGAAATGTCGCCAATACAAATTACTTTATGTACGGATTTATTCCATCACCGTCCAACGCGCAGCTTCCTATGTGTTTACTTTGCAACAGAGTATTATCTAACGAAGCAATGAAACCGTCGCGTTTGCAAGAGCATACAAGAGATGCTTTTTGCAAGAACCTTGATAGCAGATACTAAAGGTGAATCTATTTTCAATACCGTCAAAGATTATTTTAAAGAAAAGAATATTCCTCTTGTGAACATTATGTCGTCTGTTACCACTGATGGAGCGCCTGCAATGGTGGGTCGTCATCGTAGGTTCATCGCCTTTTTAAAGAAAGAAGTATCAGGTATTTTAGCTGTTCACTGCGTGATTCACTGACTGCATTTAGTTGCGAAAAACCTGAGCGACCGTTTGCATCAGTCATTACGATATGTCATCTCTGCTGTCAACAAAATTCGCAATAATTCTCTCAACGATCGACTATTTGCACAGCTGTATACAGACAATGACGAAGAANGAGAAGTAAGTTGCTACAATTTAAGACCGATATCGATTTAATGACCGATTTATTCGCAAAATTCAATGACACTAATTTGCAACTTCAAGGCGACGAGTTCAATTACATAACAACTAACTCTATTATTTCTGCTTTCCAAAAAAAAAACTAATTTTATGGAAGCACAATTTTGGTCGCAACAAGTTTAGCCAGTTTCCAATCCTGTCGGATCTATACAAGAACAGTAAGATCTCGTTTGATGACACACAAATTTACTGTTAACACCTTCAGTCTTTGGAAAAAGATTTTTCACAACGTTTTGAAGATATTTTGTCTCTGGAAGTTCCTCAATGGGTCATAAACCTCTTTGTAAAAATGGAATCAGCAAAAATACAGTATCAAGAAGAATTTATCGAATTTTCCACTAACGAGATATTAAAAGCAAGTTTTAAGAATGATGAAAATCTCACAGAATTTCGGCTTCAGTCTACTATCAGTCGAATTTATCCTGGGCTGTGGACTGTCGACAAAAATTATTAATTGCCTTCCCTTCCTCTTACCTCGTTGAGCGAGGATTTAGTGCGGTAACGAATCTAATAACGAAAAAAAGAAATCGATTCGACATCGTTAAAAGAGGAGACTCACGCCTTCATCTCACAAACTTTGAACCAAACGTAAAAAAATTGGCTTTGAATCACAAAGCACAACAATCTCACTGATCAATACATTTAAAAACATTTTAATTATCCTCTTAAATTATATTTAAACATAAATTTTACATTTTATTTTCATTATATTCACATTTATATATATATATATTTATTAATTATTCAATTATAAACTTTTCATGTATACTATTTTTATTTTTATTTTAATGAAGTGAGAGGGGGGGCGTTGAAAAATATTTTGCTTCTTAGGGGAGCGGCCGTTTTAAAAAGGTTGAGAAGCTCTGATCTATCTGCTTCAAGGAACATTTTAGTGTCCTGGGGCAAAAGTTACTACTTGTGAGAATAGTATTGACCCCTCTGATAAAGACTTTAATCTGTTGCGTTATGATGACCGTATTTTTAGAGTATACTGGTATGCGCACTTAGTCTGTTCGTCTACCGAAGTCGAAAATCTAAAACTTCCCCAGGGTCCATGTAAAGGATGTCATGGATTTATCCGTGCGATAAAGATATTTACAAATTTCCTTCAATGCATGTAGGTCGCCGTTGTACCCATGAGTTCGGTACTCACGGATTTAAACACATACGTGTTTACGGCGGTCACAATTAGTTCTTTGACTGTGATTGCGGTCGCGTGTCTGCTGATGTCCACATTCTGGCGTACCGACCACCATTTCCACGGTGGCAGACATAAGACATCGTCATCTCCGGTGAACGACTGGTTGCTAGTCACGGTGGTGATGGTCTTGGCAACGGCCATTCGCTGGCGGCTGGCCGCTATGGAACGGGCAACGGAGCAGATAGCCACTGCGACAGGATATGTTAGCCTGGCGTCGACATACCGCATGCACGCGACGAGCGTATCGTGCGCAACTGTTCTGGCGGTCGTGGCACTGCTGAAGTTGACGAAACCCTGGTTGCCGTCGCCCAGCTGTCTCTCGCTGGTTACCGCCACTGTCGTCGTTTCTATTTCTATTTTTGTTTTTTCGGCGAACCATCACTACGAGGACAATTCATCTGTATTGACGTGAAAAACATTTAAGTTAGGGGTTTTTTTTTATACGTATACGTATTACGAAATTCTATGTTTTTATATACATACCCGTTATGGTAGAATTTAATAATTTTAATAATATATACACTGGAAAAAATATTACTTTACCAATTAAGTGGACGCCACATACTCATTTTGGATTATGTTAAAACATGCTCACTTTAATAGCAAATACCTGAGTCGGTCTAAATTGATTTTGGGAAAGACATACCTACCTATAATGATAATTAGATAAAATAGACTTTTTCGAGAACACTACGGATTTGTTTTTTCGAAAAACTTAATTTTTTCAAAAGTCAAAATCAACGGAAACATATCGATATCGTTATAAATAATAACAGTATTATGACGAAACGCCGGTAAATAAAATAAACTTGTATACCAGTGGTGGCCTACTGGGAGAGAACGGTTTTCGTACTAAAGGTTATGCGGTTTTTACGAAAAAAAAAAAAAAAAAGAAATAAAATATCGGGCCGGGCGTGTGACCCTTACGGAGTCGTTCTTTATCAGTACTATAAAACATATACATTCACCTCTTAGATAAGGCGGCCATTTTATTAGTGAAATAATAATATCGAAGTCGGTAGCTCTTTAGTTATTTTATATATCTGTGGTATTAATACATATAACTTAACAGATAAGTCCGAACAGCCCGGTGCGCGGAGATATCCATTTTATTAATCAATATTATAGTATAATATATAGTACCTAGAATATAATATAATATACTCGTACATGGCAACCATTTATACTTCACAATTTAAGAAATAATGTATGTAAATATAATTAATATAGATTAAATATCCTAAATTAGTTATGGAACGTGCAATTGCGGAGTCTAACCGGATTCAGGTACTAGTGCCCCAGCTCAGTTTTGTTCTTGAAATACACCGTTCAGTCTCTTGTCCAGATTCCGAACTCTCTCCATTTCTACCCTTTTATATCTTTATAAAATACCTTAAACTATTTCTTAAATAATACTTAAGCTATTTATTTTTATTAATTATTATTACTAATATCCACAGTAATTAATCTACTATTGGCTATATGTATAAAATGTCTATTGTACGATTTGTATAAACTTCGTATTGTACAAAAATCCCTTATTTAAAAATAAAACATGTTCTCAAAATTTAAATTATCAACGAGAGCTTTCAATATCCATTGGGTCTCTGTCATGCATGGTATGGTTACATACAGACGGTAACGATTGGTGAATTTTCATCATCTCTTCGAGAATTACTATTTCTCCTCGTTAAACCATCGGCGCTGTGTCTATGACATGTTATCATTACTATCGTATCCGTTTGAGTTGTAACTGTCGTTGTTTCATTATCTATCGTACCGAATGAGTCTGTTTTTATTATTTCTTGTTATTATTTTTTAACAATAGGAGGGGAGCGATGAGATAAGTCATCTATAAAGGACGTTAGTTACATAAATATCTTCATCGCCTTAAGGCCGATTCACACTCGCATGACACGATACGATACGACATGGCACGACAAAATATTCTATTAATATAATTGAATACGGTAATTCACACCGATCCGGCAAGCTCTATAACGACACGACACGACTAGACATTCTAGCAAAGAATATCTTGTCGGTCTGTCGGTGCTTGTCGGAATCAATTTAGTTAAAATATACATATTTTTATGTAGTCATAATTATTTTCATAACTCATAAATAAGTATAATAATTTTTTGAGAAGTTTCAGAGTGCATTGATTTTTATATATAAAGATTATATTATATTATATAATAATAATATTATAATTATTACAGACGTAGTACATGGATACAGTCTTTATATTATATTCGATTATAAAATATGGTTAAAAATATACAAATTGTGGTATAATAGTATAAATAATATTATGTTATTTTTATTACTCAAAAAAGATACTTATCCTAGTATGTACAAAAAAAAACTAATAAAAATAAAAGAACAACTACGAATTATATATATATCGGGCTTTTTTTTTATTTTTTTGATTTGATTACTAACATTATTATTATGATTTGTGTGCGCTTGTAATGTAAACTGTAAAGACGAATGACTTCTGCTATATTTTATTTATTACAATGTATTATTCAATTATAATTACTTTTATATTAATAAAATTATTATAACTAAAATATTTATTAAATTTAAACAATTAATACAGAAATGTTAATTGAATTGGTCAGAGAACGACCTTGTTTATATGATATGAGTATCAAAAAATACAGTGATTATGCATATAAAGAAACCATTTGGAGAGAAATCGCTGCTTTATAACAACCAGGTATGTAAAACACATTATTACAAACAATCTATAATCCTATTCAGAATATAGAACATGGCTAGTACTGCTTTTAAGTTAAATAAAAAAAGGTATCACTTTTTATCAGAATCTAAAACAATTAGAGATAATCATAGTTAGGTATCTTATTCAGAATATTTTTCTAATTCTTTTACTTGAAAAAAATCCTCAGAACACGGTATATTTATATATTATATTTTTTTAGTACAAGATTGCAAAAAAACATGGACAAACTTGCGACACTCATTTAGAAGAGCTCAAAAAAATGTGGTGACAAAATCAGAACAAAAGTCTAAACTTTAAAAAAAATGGAAGTTTGAAGATAAGTTGCAGTTTTTAAAAACGCATATGAAAGAAAGAGAATCCATAAGTAACATCGTTACAGTGAGTGATGAAGATGAAGAACTAAGGGGATAATGAGAAATGTCTATCCGGAAAAAACACTGAACTTGACACTGATCCTTTGTGCAGTGATACTTATTTTCAGTGGTGTATTGGGGCGTATACGGGGGTATATGGCGTATACCCACTTCTCTAGTTTTTTTTTTTAGCGTATACTCTCTAAATGTACAATGGTACGGGAGTATACGGCCGTATGGCCTCGTATGCCTAGTAGAATTTTCAGTAACAAAAACAAAATATTTTATAGGCTATAATATTATTTGTAATTTTTAATTCTCAGATAGGACATAGTAGATATCAGGCGATAAACAAAAGAATGTTTTAAGTACCAATGACTTAACCAAAAATAAAAATACCCAATATCGGATGTCTATTTTTAACTTGGTATGTTCGTACTAATGTATTCTGTGTAATAATAAGTGTGCGTGTGTGAGTGGGTATGATTATAATATACATTATATTACTAATTACTATACCTAAATTTATATACTTCGTTTCTTGACCATTTATTGATAACAATGTCTTTAAAAATAATTTATAATGTTTAAATTTTCCAATAATAATAATAATTATTATCGTCTAAAATCATTCTCCATTTTTATTACGACGTGTTCTTTAGTAAAAGAGATAAACCAGGGATGATATGTTATAATATTATTTTCACTTTTATTTTAATTATAATTTATTAGCAGAGCCAAGTTTTGTTATTATTAAATACTAGAAGCTGCTACTGACTACTGAGAAATATTTACGAATCGTAATGCATAAAAGTTGTTTATAATGGACAGATTTGTAATTAGAGTACCAAACTCCAAAGTAAGTGTTTATGTTTTTAATGCAAACATTATGACAGGTATTTTATATTATTATTATGTTAAAATCTAACTAGTTATAATTTATTTACTTGTAGCATAACAATAGCATTCAGCAAAATTGTATGGTAGGTATTATATTTTAATTTTAATATTTCACTAAAACAATTCTTAGGGTAGTTGCAGTTTTTAACATTTAAATTATGTATCTAAAAATTGCTATAACAATTATTATTTTATTATTGGTATAAACTAAACATTTTTTATGCATGATTAATTTTATAAGCAAAATTAATTCAATTTTCCTTTTTTTTATTCCTATTTGTAATTTAATTGTATATTTTGTAGGATTCCCAGAATACTATTGATAATTTTAAGCATGTGTCCATAGAAAAAAATGTTGTAACATCCAANTCATTTATTAAATAAATATAAAATATTTAATATATTAAATACATATTAAAATTATCATGGGTACTTGGGGTTGATAACCTAGAGGAATTAGCAAATGATAGAGAGGAATGGAGAAGGCTGTGAAGTGCAGCGATGGCCTTAATGGCCTATACAAGCTGAAAAAGAAAACTAGATACTAATAAAAAGTTTCTTTTATTATAAATAATAAACTACTTAATCAAACAAATATAATAATAATACATAATACCATAATTATTTTAATAACTATTATCAATTATTATAATCTAAGCTCTAAAGTATTTTCCATAAACTTTTTTTTTCTTCTGGGGTTTCTGGTTCCTTTATGATATTTTGTGTCATCAGCAGTTTTATGATTTACCAACCAACTACTGACATAAGTTTCTGGTTCTCATTGTTCTAGTGGGGGTCCATTGATATTTATAAACATAAGACTGGCCATATGTTGAATAGTTAGCCTAGAACTTTTTGCATATATTGTTCATCAAATTAAACCCCCGTTCATACTCTGCTGTTGAGCAAGGAAAGGTGTTTATAAAGTTATACAATTCAGGCATAACATTTTTAAATGAAATATTTTGATCATCAATTTTTTTTCTTAAGCCATTAATAGCATCATTCTTATTAAGTTGAAAACGTTTGCATAATCGGTTGATTTTATCTTTGCCATAATTTATGTTGTAGTCTACCGGCCACTCTATTGTATCCATGATCTGCATATCCTGAAGTATTAAAGTATCTTGTTCTTTATCAAAGAGCCTAGCATTTAGGTTATCAACAAGACTGGTAAGAAATTGATCATGATTGATGTTAACTAATTTAGAGTTTTTTACTAATTTAATATTTTTAAAAGACATGTCATTTAATGCGACTGTTGCTTGAGTCATGTATTCATCTTTTAAGTCTTTAAATAAAACCACAACTCTTTACACTCCTATTTATATGTTGCTGAGCTTGAATTAAAGTTACAGAACGCATCTGGAGTATGTTTGACAAGACTAATAATTTATTAAGACAATCACAAATTAAACCAAGATCTAATAGAAATTCAGGACTAGGTAGCTTATTTTTGAGTCCATTGTATTTGGCTGTTTACCATCCTTATTTGTGTCAGACAATGCACTCGAAAAATGGTTACATAAAGCTTCAAACATTTTCCATACAACCTTAACTGCTCTTAAGCTATTAGTCACCCAGCGGACGTCCAATACACGTCCAGCCTTTAAAAAATAGTATCTAATTCGTTACAGATATGTTTTAGTTCATTTCGATTCTTTGGCGATGCATTATATAGAACATGTAATGAATCTATGAATGATTTGAAATGATTTATAGCATTAACATCTTTAACTGAATCTCCTACTGCCAGCTCCAATCTATGATTCATACAGCGTAAACTGAAAATCAATGGATATCTTTCTTGTAAACGTTTCGCTACACCGTTTTTTTCCCCTAACAATACACTTGTACCATCGCTCAAAAACGGACTTTTCGACTATACCAAGGACGTCATTGCTGCGTGTAGCGTGTTTAAAAGGAGTTGGGCTTTGAATATACTAAAAGAGTTCGGGACAGCGCTCTTACTGAGAGAGAAGATATCGTGGTATGGCGGCAAAAATATATAATTTACGTACAGGAGCGATGGTCGAACAATATATTTCCTAGACGAGATGTGGATAAATGCAGGCGAGTGTTGTAGTAAAGTATGGTTAGACACTACAATAAAATCGCATAGAGATGCATTTCTGAAAGAACTGTCAACAGGACCGAAGAATCCAACCGGTAAGGGGAAGCGGTTGGTTGTTGTACATATAGGTTCAGCAGAGGGTTTCGTCGAAGGTGGTCTATTGTGTTTTGAATCGAAAAAAAACACAGCAGACTACCAAGACAAAATGAACGGGGACACGTTTTATGACTGGTTTTGCGGAGTTTTGCCCAAATTAAAAGAGAACTCCGTAATAGTCATGGACAATACTCCGTACCACTCGGTTAAAAAAGATCCCATTCCTACAATGGCTTGGCAAAAAAAAAAAAAAATAGAAGAATGGTTATCGTTGAAAGGTTGTATTATCGATAAGCCGATTGTCAAATATATATTGATGGAAAAGGTACGAGAAATTAGACCTCTTCATGATCAATATGTGTAGAAGGAGAATGCGGGTTCTGGCGCAGCTTGATATTTATCACAAATTTAACAATACATTTTTTATCACAAGTTTAACAATAATTTTTACACTATTTTTTCTGAATCTTTTAAATATCAAACAGTCGATATTTATCAAAATTTTAACAATAATTTTTACATTATTTTTTTTTGATCTTTTAAATGTCAAACTGTACCAGAAACATTTAACAAAACTATTTCAATAAATATACAAAAAAGAAAAAAATATTTAGCCCATGAAAATTGATATGTTGAAAATTGATTTGATATTGAAATGTTGAAAAAAATAAATTTGGTATTTCGCTGTTGAAAAAATGAATTGAAATGGAATGTTGAGAATCCATTGTTGAAAGAATAAATTGACATGGAATGTTGAGAACTCATTGTTGAAAATATTGGTAAGCTTAAACTAAAACTCGAAAAAGAACACAATTAATAAAAAAAAATATTCAATTTTAATTTTGATACTGCAACCTTATACCTGAAAAAATAGCATTTTGAAAAAAAATGTATACATTTTGAATATTGACCAACCGCTCATAATTATTTTTGAAAAAACTTTTTTTAAATTAAATTAGATTAAATTTTTCCATAATGAATAATACTGCGCAAAATAAATAGGTTAATAATTGTTATCTGTAATATTATAATATTCTATCTAACGGAAACGGATAGTGATATATTCAAAACCGTTATAAAATCATAGACGTACCAAACAGAATTTTATAAATCCGCAAAAAAATAATCGGTCGTAGTTTTCACACACAAATAGTTGGACGTCAGAGCGCAATCATTTCTCCGTAATTTTTCATATAATAGCGAAATGATGCTAAACCATGAAAAAATATCCGAGCTAATGACAGAGCGCACATTCTCATAATAATTTTTACCAAAACACGATTGATAATTTTTTTTTTTCCTTATAATAAACTTATTTTGATGATTTCAGTCCAAGAAAGTCAACATCATCATTAAAAGAATTTCGCAACCTATTGTGAAAAATATATTGGCCACAATGGCCAAAAAAAAAATTAAGGAATCAAATTATTCTTCAGAAACACCATCTTCAACTTTAATGAAGAATATATTAGAGAAAAAAAAATGAAGAAAACCTAAAGAAAAAAAAGCAGTCAAATGCTATTGATCAATTTTTTTTTTGAGCATGTGTTCTACCGTAAAACAATTTTCACCATATAATCAACATCTGGCCAAAACAAAAATTGTTTCCATCGTTTTGAAGATAGAATAAGAAAACTTGGGTATACAACAACAGCAACTATTTCATCTACGCTCACAATCAATTTCAAACTTTCATGTACAACCTCAGGTGCAAGTGGTAGCTCCTCAGATGCTTCTTGATCAAAGTGAACATCATCTTTAGTCACAAATCAACAGTTTACATCCACTTTAACAACTTTCTGAAAATAGTCAACAGGCATAAAACTTAAGCAACCAGCTATTTCCTACACTTTCAAGCAGATACAGAGAGAATATAAATTAACAAAACAAGTCTGTTTATTTAAATTATTTATTCTCAATGTATTTGTAAACAGTTGTGTGACACTGATCTCCAATCATAATACCACAGCAAAGACAACAATCTACATTCCAAATATCAAAGTTAACGTTTTATTATTTATTTTTATACGCTATATGAGACACTTCTATTATTATTTAAAAAACTTGAGCATTATAAATGCACTAAAAAGCAAACATCAGCTTTACATTTCAAAACTAAAGAGTGTGAAAGATTTTTTATTCGACTTCATAAAAATGTGAAAAAGTGCGTGTAGAATTGGTTTGTAAGTATATCGTGGGTGAATACAAAATTATAACAAGGAAACAATACTGTTAAAAAATTGTAAACCTTATATTATTCAAAAATATGAACAGTTTCGAGTGAAAGAAAAATCTACGGATGTGAAAAAACTACTAGAAAAGCACTTTGATTTCGATTAGGAAAAATTTGCCGACAGTCTACAATATATCATTTTTTCAATCGTCTGGGATTAACCCATGAACCCATCATGACACCAACGAATGTAACTTTAATTGAACTCATGATTTTGTTACTAGTTTTAATAGTATAATATTATAGGAAATCAAAATAATGGTTATTTTAAAATGTTTAATTTTGTTTTGTTTTGTTTTTTAATTAATAAAAAAAGAGTAATTAATTAGTATTGTACTGTTTTACCTACTTTATCTATAACATACCCGTTTTTGATTACAGACAATACATTTTTCACGTTTCCATGGCAAATTTCTATGCGTTTCCATGACAAAAGCGGCAATCTCCGTGGTTCCGCATCAAATTTTACAATGTCCATTTTCCCTCCTTTATTATTATCAATATTTAACAAATTCAATGATTAGTAATTACGATGGGTATCATAAAATTCAATTATCAAGCAATTCAAATAAAAATATCATGGAAAAATACAAGAAATAACGGTAAATCAGTTATTCGAAATTTACCAAAAATCACTGTATAAGGAGATTGCTGACTTTGCCACGCAACGGCTCAATTATTATTAACATAATATGCATTATTTGTCACTTAGACATCAAGTCACATAAGTTTTTGTTTATCAATGAATAAATTGTAGTCTGCAAGAATTTTCTGCTTGCGTAAATTGATGTCAAAACCTTAATTTATGCTACTTTGTCTTTTTTTTGACATTTAATATCCAAAATGTACTACCACGTTTGTTTATAACTCGTATATATTTTGCTAAAGTGTTTACTCCTTGAAAATATATGACTATCAATTTGAGTTTAAAAATTGAGATTGTAGTAGTATCAGCTTCCTCCACAACGTAACGATGACAATCGCGTTTAATCTGTACTGCCGCAAGTCGATACTGCTCAAGGGCGTAGTACTCGGGTGTACCGTTTGGCTGGTGGTAACCGTACTGTTGTTCATGGGAGACAGGCGGATCATTCCCTCTTCGATCAACGAACCCTCGGCAGGCGGCGGAGGTTATCAGCAGCAGCAGCAACCGATCGCCATGGCAGAGCATATGCCAGACATGGCTGTCACGACCGTATACGAAAACCAATTTTTGGACGATGATTTTCCGTTGAAAGGTGGCGTGGAACAGCAATCAGACGTCTCGGCCATCCGGAAACAACAACAGGTCACCAGGACGTCGTTCAGGCGGTCGCAAAATGGCGAGGGCGTGCTATCGCAACCCAACAGCGTTCTGGACGACGACAACAAGACGGTTTTCGGCGAAATGGGCAAACCCGTGGTGTTGCCCGGCAATCTGGCGACCGAAATCAAAAAAATCGTCGACGAGGGCTGGAAGAACAACGCGTTTAATCAATATGCCAGTGATCTAATATCGGTGCACAGGTCGTTGCCCGATCCCAGGGATGAATGGTGTAAAAAACCAGGCAGATATTTGGTCAATCTACCCCAGACGTCCGTGATTGTGTGCTTTCACAACGAAGCGTGGTCCGTGCTGTTGCGAACTATTCATTCCATTCTGGACCGGTCGCCGGAACACCTCATCCGGGAAATTATTCTGGTTGACGACTTTTCCAATATGCCTCATCTCAAAACTGGGCTCGAGGAATACGTGTTGAACTACCCGAAAGTGAAACTCATCCGGGCCAAAAAGAGAGAAGGTCTGATACGAGCCAGACTGTTGGGATCGCGGTATGCATCGGCTTCCGTCCTCACGTATCTGGACTCTCATTGCGAGTGCACCGAAGGGTGGCTTGAGCCGTTGTTAGATAGGATAGCCCGAGAAGCGTCGACCGTCGTGTGTCCGGTTATTGATGTGATAGACGACTCGTCACTGGAATTCCACTACAACGACGCTGGTGGCTTGAACGTTGGTGGATTCGATTGGGACTTGCAATTTAATTGGCACATGGTACCCGAACGGGAGGAAAACCGTCATAAAAATCAGGCAGAACCGGTGTGGTCGCCAACGATGGCCGGCGGATTGTTCGCTATTGACAAAAAGTTCTTCGAACGGCTCGGCACTTACGACAGTGGTTTCGACATTTGGGGAGGCGAAAATCTAGAACTTTCATTTAAGACTTGGATGTGTGGTGGAACTTTGGAGATAGTACCATGTTCGCACGTCGGGCACATATTCAGAAAGCGGTCACCGTACAAGTGGCGGTCGGGTGTCAACGTCCTCAAAAAAAACTCCATCCGTCTCGCCGAAGTCTGGATGGACGATTTCTCCAAGTACTATTACGAACGGATCGGCAACGATCTGGGTGATTTCGGTGATATTACGTCTCGTAAAGAACTACGAAGAAAGTTGAAATGCAAATCATTCAAATGGTATTTGGAAAACATATATCCGGAACTTTTCATACCTAGTAATGCCGTGGCATCCGGAGAAGTACGCAATTTAGGATATGGCAACAAAATTTGTCTGGACTCACCGACCAGAAGTAGCGATCTCAACAAACCGGCCGGACTATATCCCTGTCACAAAATGGGTGGTAATCAGTATTGGATGCTTAGTAAAATGGGAGAAATCAGAAGGGACGACGTGTGCTTGGACTACGCTGGCAGCGACGTTATCTTATACCCGTGCCACGGATCTAAGGGTAACCAGTATTGGAGCTACAATCCTCACACGAAACAATTGATACAAATTAGCAGTAAAAAATGTCTCGCCATCAATGGCTCTAGAGAGAAACTGCTCATGGAAGAATGCGACGTGATGCTGTCCAGGCAGATGTGGCAGTTCGAAAACTTCAACGCTACTTTGTCCATCGAAGATAGTCGCATAATGAATTGAACAAAAATTGATTAAAAATTAACAAAAAAAAAAACGTCTAAACCACGAAACATGAATAATAAAATTATATTCATACCTATAGATATAGAAGAATATCATTAGCTCCTTCACTATTATTATTATATTTTTATCATTGATCAACATTGTTTCCCCACACGCCAAACGTTCGCCTTCCGTTTGAAGGTAGTTTTGCTATTTTAATATGTATTTGGATTTAACTAATATAGATTACCACATTGTAATATATATATATATTAGTTGTACCACGTCCAGCGTTGCCCGTGCCAATTTGTATTATTATTATTTTACCCATATTCATTTTTGGTTTTGGCCGTGTTAGAATTGAATGAAAACAAATAGTTGGAAAGTGGGTAGTCAACCTGCGGTGGCCTAAATGTGTTATATTGTGATATTTGAATAGTGTAAATAATAGTGATAATACAAATTATAATATTTTTTTTTATAATGTGTCGGTGACTCGTTGACGGGCCAGTCTTTGTCTCAATGTATTAACTCGATGGCGTTCATTGCGTTGCTCTTGACTTTCATTAGTACGTGTGATTGCAATCTGGTTTCTTAAATTTTCATTGTCCGTCAATTGATCTTCTGCCGATCTATTTAACCAACGGTTCTGGACTAATTGTGAATTCCGGGTCAGTCGTCTAATATTTCCTCTTCGTCCACAAAGACGTGGCATTGTTTTTTGTACATAACTTTTTAGAAAAATTGATGTTATTTCAAAATAAAGAATTATGAAATTATTATATTATTTGTCTTTCATTTCATACTTTGTTTAATATCTTAATCACTTGAAATATCAAAAAAATGAAATCCTTTGTAACTATCGTAATTTAATTTAATGCACATAAATTAATGCTCAATATTTACATAATAATAATATTTTCAAGTAAGCTATTTTCTATGTTAGTATGTAATGGTATTTGTTCGAGTGAGGCGTGAAAGTTTCAATTAGGTGTTCTTTAAACATAGATTAGAGAAACTAAGTAATTTATGCATTATACAGTATATGTTATTTGAACGTAGAAGTTTTAAGTATAATTAAATATAAATTTGATACATAGGACCAATATACGGAATAAATAAACCACAGGACGGAGCGCAAGCAGTGTGCGCGACGGATGCCTTAAAAATAAATTAGGAATAATAGATAAAAAAAAATAGATGTAGGTGTGTTTTTAAACCATCTAAACAGTCTGTAGTACCTCAGAAAAACCTAGGACCAGATGAAAATTACAAACAATACTAAAAATAAAAAAAATATTTAAAAATGTGGCTAAAATCAAAGAGGCCAAATTTATCCGTTTTATAGAGCGTTTTCTGCGGCATAGAACATACAATTATATTTCAAAATTATATATATAATTTTATTAAAATTATAAATCGAACGTAGAAATTGTATATTTTCTGCAGTTAACTTTTTTTTCTCCTTACGTATCGTTGGCAAAATACGTGTTGTCTTCTAAACTTTTCGTGTATTACTAATGTCTTTATTCTATACAAGCCTACTTAAACTAATGTTGAATTTAAGCGCCATTTGGTATTAGTAAACGAACCGTGATTGTTTCTTCTCGTACATTTATTAAATTATCTTCTTTTTCATTTAAAGATATTTGTACTTTGGAAATAGTCGAATGAAAAACTAGATGTCTCGGTAGTTCCACAATTTTATATCCGGCCGGTATGGACGGAAAAAACTCGTGAATTGTTTGACTCGGTGTCCCGTTATATAATGAGCTTGTTATCAGTTTACAATCTACTTTTATACAATTTACTTTTAAAATATTCATTAATTCCTCCGACTCGTGTACTTTGTCGCTGTCATAAATTGAATTTTTGAAATCGAGCAATTTAGCTATACTATTATCTGCAGTAAAATCTATTTTATTGCTGCATGTCATTTCACATTTCAAAGTATTCTTGTTTCCATGTAATTTAAATTCGCTTACTTTAGAGGTTACCAATGACTGAATAATTATTTCTAACACGTCCAATTCGTAAGAACCCGTTGGTATTGAAAATGTTTCGATATTTCCATCGGAAACGTGAAAACGTATAGTATTACAACCGGGTTCTATATTTGGTATTGAATTATTCGTTAGCAAACTCAAAAGGCATAGTTGTGATGTTTTTTTAACTTCCAACGGGGGAAATATCACACACTATAATTCACTAAAATTTCCATTTAATGTTATGGTATACATGTTAAAAATCCTATACACAAATAACCGCAGTTGTACGAGTTTAATTTCTGTTCCCTTTTATAATTGTGTTTAATATTGCACCCTTTTAGATATATTTGTAATTCGAGTAGAGGTGGCAGATTCCCAAAACTGTCAAAGTAATCGACTTTTTTTCCAAACTTTTTATACGCTACCCAATGAGTGTCTTTACTATTTTTTCTATTGAGATTAATAACCGCACACTCTGTTTGTTTAGGAGCGAAAGGTAACCGTTCTCTAGATTCTAGACCATTTTGTTTTTATATTTTAGAGCTGAAATACAATTTGCAATTACACATCCAAATATTATTCCCATATAAGAGGATAAGACCCCTATGGTAAGTAAATTTGATTTATTAAAAACACAAATAGTATACATTAATTTTTTTTCTATATTGGTAATTCAAGAAAAAATGATTAACAATATTGAAATAACAAAATCAAAATAACAAAAAAAAATATATATATATATGTATATAATAATAATAACTTTATTTTAATATTTTAAAATAATTAAAATCATCTGCCTTTAAAATTGTCTGTTCATTGCCCCTGTAAAAAAAATAAATATAACAAATAATTAGGTAGGTAAGTTAAAAAAAAAAATGTAAGTAGGATACATAAAGTTATTTAATACACAATTTTTTTTTTACAGACTTAGAATTTAAGACATACATTGGATAAAATGATGATTTCATATTTTTTGTTGATGTACTCGTTGGTGTGTCCATGATCGATGATATTTCAAAGTTCTTTTCAAATTTGAAACCGTTATGTTTTACGTAATTGTCAATTTCATTTATACTTTTATTGTAGGAATTAAGGAGAAGGCGAAAATCAGTATGGAAAGAATGCTTAACATCGGTTAAGCATCACATGACCATCTTTACGTATGCCTCGTGTATTAATTTACCAAAAACTGGATTCTGTTTACTGTAAATAATTGTAAATAAATGTATGTAAATAAAAATGTATAGTATATAATATAAAAATAGTCTTACTATTTATTATATGTCACACATTCAAATAATTTTGAATGGTTCAAAATATTATGGATGTATATATTTTTTTCCTTTGGTATTATATTTAATAATTTTAATTGTTTTATGTCATCGAAATTTTTAATTTTCCAATTAAATGTGGTAGTTAAAATTTGTAAATTAGTATTCGGTATTTGTTTCCTGTAAATAATTGTTTTTTTTATTCAATAGAAGTAAAGATTTACTGTGCTGATTACAGTTCTTTATCGCATAACGTGTTATTTTATTGAATATTAATTGTTTCCACGCCTAATTAAAACGGCTATTACTAAGAAACTATTGATCGTATATGAACGTATGGTACATTAAAATTTTTAGAATAATATCCTTTACAAAATAGCTATTTTGAAAATTTTGTTAAGTAAATTCTCATTAATATTCGGGATAATAAGAGAACTGAACTGAACTGCGCTAGGATTCGTCAAGCAATGGTTTATCGTTGCTTACCGATATAAATGTAATAACTTTATATTGTATCCTACCTTCCCAACTTATCATCTACAACAGCGGCCGCTCCCATCCCCAGTATTCTGGGACAGCTTTTTTTAAATTTTTTAATAATGAAAAAAATAATTCAAATAAAAATAATTGTAGTCCTCTTCCCTGCTAGTAATATTAAAAAAAATAGAATTTGGTTATCTTTATAGCCTGTATATATAAATATGTAAATATATATTTACTTTATTTCGAAGTCGATCATGTTCTTTAGTCTTTGGCTTTTAATTGCATCACTGATTTTTTTTTTTTTGTAATTATTAATATTTTTTTTTTTTTTTTTTCATATGGTTGTTCTCAGAAATTATTTTGGATATGATAAAATTTTCATAACATGAGTAAATTGGAAGAATATTATAATTTATTATGGCTGAAAGAATTTTTTCATAAAAAAGATCTTTTTTAAAAGGTGATGTATAGCAAGAATCATTTAATGAATTTTGAATTTGTAGATTAAAATTTTGAACATGTTCGAAGACTTGAACGTTTGAAATTCCATTTCTTTTAAAAAATATATCGTATAGAGTACGACTATTTAAACAATCAAAATGTTTATTCATGAAGTCTACGAAATCTGCAGTGTCATATGCTGTAACACTTTTTAATTAATTTGTTGCAACGCAGGTACGAATTGTTGCAGCCATTGTATGGCTAAATAATTAAGTTGCAAACTTAACACGCATCTTTTGAAAAGTATTCAGATATACATGATCTTCAGTAATTTTTAATAAAGGTCTGCTCTTTTTATTGTTTTTGTCTGTTTCGTAAGTGTTTTGTATATCAGTAAAAGAGATAGTTTTGTTTCCTTTTATAAAACTATTGCTAATTAAATTATTCCGTACACTTTTCAGTAGATGTGGCACGTCAAATATTGAATAGATTTTTTTACCGTCAATAAAAAAATATGGTGTTTTTTTTGTCACATTTAATGATTTAAGACAACTCTGATTATTTGTACTTTGATCGCAAATTATAATTTTTGGACATAAACCAATTTCTAACAATGATTTTAAAACATGAATTACTAATTGAGCAAACATATGATATTTTACAGCAGAGCGTGCTAAATAATATGCTACGGGTATTTTCCATGGTGAATAAATACCTCTTGCCATGAAAATTAATACGGTGTTCACTTTTTTATCCGTTCTACCCAAATGTCCAAAATCTTCCAATCCCTCTACAAAATCATATTGTTTTGAGTATTCAATACACTCTTTAATTGAGATTTCGTCAAAACAAATTGTATACTTTTTTTCTTTTACAGATTTAAATTCAAATTTTTCTTTAGGTGGTTTAAAAAAATCCTACTTAATCCGGGTAAAAATTTAAATTGACCAATCCATCGATGAATAGTTGATATTCCTGGTAAAATAACGTTTTGCATTTTCAAAAAATTATAAGCTGCTGGTGATTTGTAAAATAGTGTAAGTGATGTATAATTCGGTGAAGTGGACTGTATAAACTATAATGTATTATTACGGTTAGTTATTAGGTAGGTACCTACGGTGGAAATTAAGCGAACACGATCTATTATTCTGTAATGCCGGAAAAAACGGCGTACTATTAAAAATGTAAACAAAATATATACAAATAACAAATATAGGGGGCACAAAAGGTGCTGGCCAGCTAGTGGATAAAATGACTTAAGAATATAAATAAATTAAGTAACAAAACAAAAAAAAAAAAACAATATAAAAACCGTGGTGGCGACAACAAGCAATCCCGGAACGGTTAACGGTAGACGGTGGTCTGTATATGGTTGATGGTTGACGATGTACGGTAGACAATTTACGGTGAACGGTAGACGTTGTGCGGTACTGAACAACGCGCGCCGAACGTAGGTAGTAAAAACGGTCGTAGCTACGTCGGTAGCCTGTGTTTAGCTTATCGCGCGAACAACTGGACAGATGCGACTGGGATAACTGTTTTTCTTCAAGTGTCCATGGTCGGCGGTTTTTTCGTAACTGCATCGTAACTAAAGCTTTAGAATTCGTTGATGAAAAAGAAAGTAAATTGACAATATTATTATTATTATTAATAATTTTATACGATTTAACGCTTGTTTTTAATTAATTAATATGCGATCTTTAAGTTTTTAATTTTTTAATTTTATTTTCCTGGGTGTAGAGAAATCCACATTGGGACTAGGCATATTAATTATATCTTGGATTCTTCGTTTGGGTGTAGTGGTAATTTCGGGGCTTGGAAATAATAATTCTTTTACATCAGAAGTAGCTTGATGTTCATAACATTTTGTTGATGTTAATAATTTAAAATTCCTGGATGACAATATTTCATCTCTTTCGGTATGTCCTAATTTAAAAAAATTATCACATTTTAAGACTTTTTCACTTAAATATTTTGTTATTTGTAAGTAGGTATAACAAGAAATTACAATTGGTAGACAAATGGTACACATGGTAGACCTTTTCAGATAAATAAGCTATAAAATCTGGTTTTGAGAAATTACCCATGGTTACGAGATAGAAATATAATATTGTCACACAGTTAAATGTACCAAATTATAGTCGAACCTCTATTTAACAAACTTGATGGTTCTTTGAAAGAAATTCGTTAAATAAAAATTTCGTTAAAAAGTGATATATAATAATTTTCTTTACTTAAAAATCTATTTTTTACTTTACGAAATTCTATGTATACTATTATAATATTATATATATTATATATATTATATATATATTATATTATATGTGTTTAATTATATATAATATGTATGTATAATAAGTATTAAAAAATTAACTAAAATTAATACAAATTAAACATGTCATCAGGAATATTTACCAATACTTTATACAACACTACATAATACGACAAAACAAAATTGAATAGCGTTATACAGAAAACAAACTAAATTTCCAAGTAGATTTTAAAACAAAAACATTTTTTAACCTTTTGAAGTTGATGGTTGATCTCTAACTTAGAATTTTATGGAATTGCAGTTGGTTTCAACTTTGTCGTTTTGTTATCCATAAAACAGTCAGGGGAAAAATGTTTTTGACATAAATACCTATTGTAAAATTTGCATTCATCAAGAGATAATAGTTGTATATTTCCTAAAATAATAAATTATTATGTCAAAAAAAAGGTTATTATTATGAAAAATAAAATTTGTCTAACCTTTATTAATGGTCCAAATTTCTAATCTGTTTTTGTCTTTTGGAAATCTAAACATTTTTAAATTTGGAAAATTTGAAAAGAAAGAAAAGAATTTTTACAACCTATATACTGGCATATGTTTCCAAACATTTTAGGTTTAATTTTTGAGCTCGATAAAATACTGTTTTAAAATAGACACGGGCACAGTGAATGATATTAACAGCACAGATGATGATAGTTGATAACTTTTGAACAGCAATGCACGATAACCAATTTTATTTTGTATACTTGAGCTTCAGGGCATGATAGAGAATCAAATATGTTTCCAGTTGAGAAGTAAAGCTTGTTAATTTTATCTTTTTAGAATCTAAGTCTAGCGAAAGTAATCTCGCGCAAAAATATCCACTATATTAAACCCCATATTAAAAATGGTATATATAAACGGAGTAATAGTTTAAAACCATATTAGTGTTTAAATTTTTGATTTATTGTAATTAGGATCTATATAGTTTCTCACGATATAATTTTTGTAAACATTTGGGCTATTTTTGTACTATTTATAGAAATTTATTATTTTTCCAAGTTTAGAAATACTATTGATCGATTCAGAGCGGCTGAATCGTCTTTTTCATCAGTAATGGTTAAATAAGTTAAGCAGTTAAAGAATACATATTACATGGCCTAATAAGTAAAAAGTACCTTTACCCTTGGTGATATTTATATACCAACCATATGTACATATATAAAATAGGAATCCAATTTTTCGAATATAATCGACTAAAAGAATTCAATGATTAAATGAAAATAATCTCACAGTCCTAACCAGATGCATGGACAAACCCGTTGATAATAACAAATAATTAAATTAAGAATAGCACTGGCTGTTCAGTGTACCTTCCACACATCATTTCGCCATGACACACAGACGGTAAATTCATTCGAAAGCAGCGACCACTAGCAGCAGAATGCATATAGCCGCTTCCACTATTAACAATACGATTGCTTATCTGTATATTATAAAATCAATGGTATGACGTACGGGCCGCGGGCGACCAGTTTTCTCCCATTTCGTGTCCGCTGCTGCACTGTAGCGCGGTTGTCGCCGGCGGCGGCGGCGGCGGCTACGAATAGCTGCGCGCACCGCGTCCGGTCCTCCTTATCGCTTTTATTTCATTTGCTCTGCTCCTCCTTTCGGTGAACACGTTCTTTATGCGTCCGAAACGGCTTTAATTTTTCTCTCCTCTAATGTCTTTTGACGTACGAGACAAATTATTTTTGTGTCCATAACAGCGGACGGATGGCGGCGATTTCGTCGTTTATTGCATTGCTGACACACCGAACCCGCAGTAAGTACCATGTATGCGGAAATACCTATTCGATACTCGGTCCTGGCCGGCACACACGTGGTTTTTTTTTCGTCACAATTTTAATATATTTGTTCATTTTGGCGACCGTCCGAAACGATTATATTTTCGTATTATTCAATGCGTACGTCGTCGGATAATTTGCCGTTGTGATTTTATCGTGTAATTGTCCGTGGCCCGTCAACGAGCGAAGTCCGCGGCCCCTCCACCGGTTGGGTATTCCCAAAGTGGTCCAGAAAACCCGGTGTGAGGTTGCTTGTGGTGTACCAATAATGTATTCTATTCAAACGATAATCCTATACCTACCCGTAGTGGATAGTTGTATACACCTTAAATGGAACAGGCGAAAATTGTGTGACTTTTTCCGACCGGCGCACGTGTTTTTTTTTGTTTTTACACAATTGCATTATCTATATGTGACTTTCGTGACAATAATACTGTGTATTATTAAGACACACAAAATATATTCATTTAGGCAATCTAACAGTGAACAAATGCAATACATGTTCAAAGAGGTTCAAATACAAAAGTTCATTGAAGGAGCATATAATAAACAGTCACTTTGTGAAGAAACAAAAACACATATGTAAGGTCTGTGAAAAAATTTTGTCTTCGAAAAAAACTTTACGGTACCACTTGAACGCACATCATAATAAAAAAGAATTTATGTGTGGGGTATGTGGATTGACGTTCATCGCACCTTACAAAAAGAGTCGTCACCGCAAAAAAAAATGTATTAACAATAATTTAACCAAACACTATATTATATATCACATTGTTTTTAACAGCTTACTTTTTCCAGGACCATTGAAGTGTAATCCACAACCTCTACACTGGCAACCATTCTCAAATCATAATAATTCAAATGGAACAGCAGTCAACGTATGAACCATTGTTGCAGATGGAAGTGGTTGAGTCTTCATATATTGAGTTTTTTATTGCGTTTTTTTTATCAAGGTGGTTCGCCTATAGCCCTAATCCACCGTTTCGCAAACTTTATACTGGATGCTAAAAATTATAAATTATAACATTAAAATTATGTTTGAATTATTAAGTTTAATAAATTACCATTTTTTTCATATGCCTGCTTTTGTCGCAAGGTTGATGGAATGATTCAAGACAAGTTGGGCACTTAAACGGTTTGATAGACCCGTGCACATTTAAATGGTACCTCAGTGTCTTCTTTGTACCTAATTCCTTTTGGCAAACCTTGCATACAAATACTTGTGGCTCTTCCGAATGTTTTTGTTGTATGTGATGTTTTAACGATTCAAAATGTTTGAATTTTTTTGGGCATAGTCGACACCTGTATTCAGGTCTAATTCTCCCATGTTTCATCATATGCCGATTCAATGTGTCTTCTCTTGCAAACTTCATTTTGCATACATTGCAAAACCATTGAGGGTCTATGTGTGTGGCTTTGTGTCTATATAAATGTGACTTGTACTTGAAGGACATAGGGCAGAATTTGCATCTGTACATTTTCTTTATTTTTTTCTTTTTCACTAAATACATAAAAAAAATTTCATTACATAAATTATTACTTTTTAATTGATATAGTCATATATGATAATCAGGGCTAGGATTTGTATGCAACAGCATGTTTTTTTTGCGACTTCTGATGGTTGATTTTGTCAGTTATGTCCACGAATCATCTCATGATGAGATAAATGGTGGTGTTTTTATTTAGCATGTTTTTGCATATTTTGGATAAAATGCATATTATTGCATATATTTAATAAAATTAACAGTATTGCATATTTCGATTATAAGAATGGCAAAAATGCATGTTTTATAGTATATTTTGTAATTAATATTTATAATTTAGTATTAATATTTTGTATTTAATTCTAGCCCTGCTGATTAAAGTATAAAACTTGGTTTTTTATCAAACATAATTTGTATTTTTATAAATACAATAGGTATGGTACAATAGGTTTGGGGTAAAACTAATAGTTTGGCGGAGAAACACAATTAATAAAAGTATGTAGGTCAATATAAAATCCAAGATGAGATATAATTTGTCGGGTATTAGTGTATTAAACACAATCCTACACATAGTACCTACAGACCATTCAGCTGTCCGCGCATCACCGTTTATTAGACTATTTTTCAGTCTTAAATATTTTTTTTGCAACTATATTTTTGTGTTTGTCTTATAAAAATTTAAATGCATATTTTAGAAAATAAAATGCATATTTTACAATTTTTTATTGCATACAAATCCTAGCCCTGATGATAATCAATTATATTGTATTAATGTTTATAAATATCATCTTACCATCATTAATGATTGGTTCAGCTGGGACAACCACCACCCTACTAGGTCCTGCCATATATACATTTTCTTTTTCATCATCATCACTATCATCATCATCATCATCACTATGATCATAAACTAGAAATTTAAAATAAATTAATATCAATTGAAAAGAATTTTTTAGGTGTTAATATTCTCACCAGCACTTTCTATATCATCACCACAATCAGTTACCACTTTATTGCATACTAAGGATAAACAAACTAAGTAAATAAATCATAATAATATCTATATTAATTACTACTGAACTTACGGTGTTCGACCACACTGCAGACCATAGAGCTTAGAGCACACAGGCATTGTTGATTGTGATCACCGAAGTACTGTGTGCTATATGACACCGTTAGCTCATCTCCTGCAAATATTTTTTTTAATGTAACCAAACAAATTCTGCCGCCATCGTTTGGTTTAAATTCGCAGTTGGGTAGACAACTGTGATTTACAAATGATATTGGCCCTAGTAGGACATGCATGTTTTTTTTACTCCTCCCACTATATATGAGAGAGAAGTCGTTTACACCTATAATGAAAAGCAAAAATAGATTTAAATAATTAATTACTGTAAAATGGGGTGAATAGGAACGGTTTTAACGATTTTTTTAAGATTGTGCATACAATTTTTATAGTTTTCATATTCTGAAAATGGTTTTAGAAAACCCACACACACATGAATATATTTAGAACTATTTATAAAATTTAAGTTCAATATTTATTTTTATATATTTTTCCAAAAACGTATTCCTATTGACCCAGCAATAGGGTGAATAGGACAATGTAACGTACCTGGTACTATTAGGTCTTGGTCGAATTGAAAATGATGACCACTGACTTCATGAAGCACTGTGTTCTTGTCTATGAAATTTCTGCTGATCACCATGACTGAGTCATATTTTCGTGGTCAGGTAGGTAGTCACATAATTTATACTCTATTCTGGACACTGCAGAAACTGACATTTCATAAAATTTGTGATGGGTTGCCTCAATAGTCTTGAACACCGGTCTGGTCAGGGGGAACACGTCATCGTCACTGTGAAGACCCATTTTGTGAGTGGTGACACCTAATCGGGGGTCGATGATCCCCGCTGTACATGCATCATCGATGTACGACAAAACTTCGCCTTTACTCAATTTGTTCCTGTAATTTCAATTGATACAAAATTATTACTTTAACCATATAAAATATTAAATAAAATGTAACCGTTATCCGGAGGAAAAAAAAAGAATTATGCAGGGTTGCTACTAATTTTTTTCTTAAAAAAAGTGAGAATAGTGAGTATTTTTTTCAATTAAGTGAGTAATATTCTAGTAAAAAGTGAGTATTATTTTCATATTATAGGTTAAAACGGAAAAAATTACGATTTACCACTAAATTGCATTGAAATCTAGTGGTAGATCGTGTGTGCAAAAGTCGTGTACGATTTTTATAAATGCAAATAAATTAAGTGATGTGTGCGCGCGTACAATTTAATAATTTATATTACATTCGTGATGACGTGTTCCAAAGTAATAAGTAGTTATAACTAGTAATAAGTTCATAAGTAGTAACGGTTAAGTTAGGTACGAAGAACGGCCGTTAGCAAAGTGAACTGCAATCCCGAACGTAGATGGTCACCACCATAGATTTCGGCACGCTTTGGGCTAGGCGGTGGTCGGGGTACCAGTGTGTCGGCGACAGCTGAATGCAATCCAGATTTCCCACACGCAATCCTTAAAATAGACGGATAATTCGAGATAAAGACACTCGCACACAGCAAGCCGACGGTTATCGATGATCATTATATAATATACCATATATATAATATAACATAATTATATAATATAATATAATATTATATTATATTATATTATATTATATAATATTATATATTATAAAATATACATATTTGAATATGACTACCGATGATATGTGTCATATGATATATGACGACGGCCCCGGTTAACGCGCTTTCGTGATGGTAACCCGTTGATCCGGAGCTGTGCGAGCCATATGAAATCCTTACCGGGGCAGGAACGCGACAGAAGCGGGCTCCTCAGAGCACTTCTTTAGCTCGCAACCATCGACCGAAGAGTGTAGGCTACTCCGAAAAGACTTGCTTTTGCTACATTTTCTCAACCGCCCGCCGCGACGCCGCTAACGCTTTCGACCCGTTGAGTCGAAACGCTTCGCGAACGGCCGGGACGGACGATTGCTCAGGTCTTACGTACCTCTTAAACGAGACTTCGGGACTAGGAATTCCCAAGCCACCCGCCGAAGTTGGCGAGTGGATGTACGAGTTGGAGCACGAAACTGGCAGGTCAAGCCAGGAGCGAGCAGTACTTCTTGTCTCATGTGACATTGTACGCAGCTTACCGGCCGAGACCACCCCAAACGTCAGTCCATGAATGAACATCGGTATGATGTGGTCACGTAGAATGGCCAGTCGCATCTGCGGCTTCATCGGCGCGGCTGAAAGCCGACCGATATCCGAAGCGTACGATGCGCAATTGTACTCCTCCAGGCGACCGCCCGCAAAGCCGACACAAAGATAGCATCATAGCGACGACACAGAGAGAGTGGGGACGGGTTCGCCGTTTAGGACGTACACCGTATCCACCACTTTCAACTTGTGATCGCGGCCAGACGGGGTATCTGGGTCAGCGTTGCGCTTTTCGCCGGGTTCAGCTTCAATCCATCTACGGACACCCGGTCCGTGAACGCCTCGCACGAGCGCTGCAACCCTAATGGTGTGGAAGCCACAAGAATCACATCGTCCGCGAACGCGAGGGCGCTCACTTGCTCGGACCCAAGTGTGTAGCCATCGGCATGTGGTATAGCTCGTGGCGCATGGTCTACTACCACGTTAAATAATAACGGCGACAATTGGCGTACGCATTTCAAAACCAATAGGGCCCGTGAACACTGAGCATAAGCCCGCGCCACGCAGCGTGGCGTAAGTTGACTCGTGTGAAACTGAATCAAACGCCTTCGACAAGTCGAGAGACGCGAGGCAGAGACCCTTATAAGACGAGCGGGCGTCCCGAAGCAACGAACGAAGCAGGAAGATGTTCTCCGCAACTCCATCCGCACCTCGGAACGCGCGCTGCCTTGTGTTGACAATCGAGAAACTCTCCAGGCGGTGAGCCAGAATTCTATGATAGTGCCGGAGCGCCAACGAGGCGATCGAAATCGAACGGTAGTTTTCCGGACACGAGGAGTCACCCTTTTTCGGTAAGAAGATGGTACGGGAAGCTGAAAGTTCAAGTGGAAGCTCCCCGCAGGCGTTTCCCAGGTTGAATAGGCTAATAAAGGTATGGGGATACGTTTCCACAACCTGACCGGGAACCCATCCGGTCCAGGCGAAGTGTTAGCGCTGGGAAGGCATGACAGCACTTCCTCAGGCGAGATGGGGGATAGAATGTCGTATAGTCTAGAGACACGTACGGGCGGGTCCTGGGTCCGGTTAACGGGGGCTGCGCCTTCGATGATCGGAACCCAGTAAGAACGCATTGCGTCGAACGGCAGCCTTACGACCTTTCGAATCGACCCCTGTGAGTTCACGGTCTACTACAGTCTTTCTCCTTGATCTCCATTCATATACATTCCTCCTATACTCTGCGGCTTTCAACACTTTTTTCTTGGTTTTCTATTACCCTTATTCTTATGAGTAATTTTAGCACCGGGCCGGTGCCTCGCACCTTTTCCGTGGTTTGGTAGTATCACGTTACCCGAACCACTCGCGGACAAACCTTTAAAACTGCACTTGCCGTACTCGCGATACCAACCGGCTATCCCGAGAGAGGGGCTCTTTCTCTGGTCGACTAGATCCTGGGCCGCTTTAAGGAGTTTGTGAGCTCGGTGTCAGGTCACCGTCGCTAGCAAGGCGACTGCGCAGTCAGCCACTTCTTTAGCGGTGCTCACGCGGTCAGTACTCGCGCGGACACTGGCAAAGGAACCATTCTCGTCGTTAGCGACATCGAAAGACGACGTGGACTCCTCAACGACAACCTCCGGGGTATCTTCCGTCAATTCCAGTACAGGACTCATCTGGCCGCGTTTAAGAGCGTGAAGCGCTCGACCGACGAGTTGGCGATGCTCCGCGCACGTCCGGCGGGCTTTGAGGGACTCGACAGAGCGAACCGGATGGTTCTCGATCAAGTACGCGTTAATACCCTTCGGAGGAATGCCGCTCAGTTGCCCCTCCGCCTCGATGTGCGCCACCAGGCGCTTCTCCTCGTCAGTCCATCGAAACTTTTTTCGTTCGACCACTATTTGGCTGTTCGCTACAATACCATGAGCTTTATGAAGATGGACACCGACACCTGTTTTGGTCGTGAATTCAACACCGCACACAGAACACGCAAAGGGAGCCAGAGCAGGAACAACAGTCACACCCTGGTCCGTTCCAACAATTTTGACTGGCACCGCTGTTTGGGATTGCCGGTCTATCTGAGGCTTAATATTTAAATCGTTCATTGTTGGATAAAATGATCCCGTGACGTATGGCGACGCCGCGGACCTGAGGAACGTCCTGGCCTGTACTAGACTAGTTCTAGCCCTGCTGCACTTGGCTGACCTAGGACTCGGCAGGGGGGTACCTGCCACCTCGCAGGTTTCCTACCGAAAGGCATGATACGTGTGCCCACTCGGTAGTTGACCCCAGAAAACGGAGGCAAAAAGCCATCCCGGCGCGGCACGAGTCGGCCGACAACCCGGGTAACAGGGCGATGCTATAGTACACTTCGACAGCTGAAGCACCACTGAAATATGCCGAGGCACCGTGGACGCTTACTATGCTAAGCCACGCGGTGTGCCGCCAGACATCGCCACTCAAATTGAGGCCTTAGCACCTGTTATATATAGGCCCTGTGCCCATGAGGGCTCCCGAGACGCTATCCATAGTACCAAGCCGTCGGGGGTTACCGGGGCAGCCGGACGACACGCGAGCGCATCGAGCCACGAAGGACAACCGCCAGGGTATCGTGGCATTCTGACGGTCCGATCAACGACCGCATTACTTTAAGTAATTACGACTACCTTAATCAAGAAACCCTGCCAAGAGTTTCTAATAAGTAGAAGGGCACGAGGGCCTCTTTAGCATCACTAATTCCGAGTGACGTTCCCAGCAGGCACTTAGGCTGAGAGTTCCACGTTTCAGATTGCCCGGAAGTGAGGATCGATTTTGCCGTAGAGACCTCAGGACGGCGCTATGTCCGCCACAAGGACTTTCGGGTAACGTATGTCACACAACACGACAACAAGCACCGTAGTTGTTCGGCCGAAGGCGTCTCTGTAAGCCTCTCGGATGTGAAAGGGGCAGAACCTTCTAACCGCCTTTGAGCCCTCTTTGAGCTACCAGTTTTTTCCCATTTCGTGTCCGCTGCTGCACTGTAGCGCGGTTGTCGTCACTTACAGTTTTTGTCAATTCGCGTTTTTCAGTCGCGTATCTGTAACTAAATCGAAAGCTTGAGAAAACCATGCGATTACATTTCCGGAACAGGGCTTGTCGATAAACGATTGGCAGACGTGTAAAGGACGTATGTTTGTCACGCCGGTTTAAAAGACTTGACCTTGTATACGGTCGCGGCAGGGCGACTGTTACGGCTTGACTGAAGTATTAATTCTCGACAAGTCCACCGTCGCTGTCCGAATAAGGTATAATTGGATACGGTCAAACCACAACAGTCGCGCGTGTTGGACTTGAAAAAACATCAAACCTTCGAGTATAAAGCTTCCTGACCTATACGATGAGTCGCATGTCAGTGACACACTTATCGAAAGCCGTGTTCAATAACCGACAAACTCGATAATTAGTCAAGCTTCCGAAATCGGACGCTGACACGCGACCAATGCACGTCCATATGTGGTAAAGGTAAATACAAATTAGTCGCCATCGTACGAAAATAAAAAACATATTTTAGTGTACGGCAATTGGCAATTAAAATTAAACAGGAAATAGTCGATTAGTTAAAGGAACGACCCTGAGGTTAAATAACTATTAATTCTGTACTTTTAGATTCCGAGTGTAGTGAGGGAGCTATTGGTTTTATAAAGCTGTTTATTCATTTATTTTTTTGTTTTCTAGTGTTTGGACACGTTTTTCCTCATGGGTTAGGTATTCTAATTATAAATTTTGAAATCAAAAAACCAAATTTAAGTTTTAGTATAAAATCATTTATATATTAAAATCAATACATCACATATTATTTATTTTTTTTTATTTCTAAATTTACAGCGCGCATCAGTATCGGCATTGTTATTGCACACTCTGTGAATCTAGGCATGTTCGCCATTCAGGCAAAACTTTTCAATTGTACGATTCCCACGTCGCCTTCGACGCCCATCGAAACTGCTTTTTCGGCCAACATTTTTGCCCTTGGTTCGACCAAGGCTTTGTTGTGAGCAGCTTTTATTCTCTTGTATCCGTTCGCCGTCACCTTCGCATTTGGAAAAAGATCCCCGGCCATCTCCTTGAATGCTTCCAACGACGGGGTCTCAGTGAATGGATCGGAATTGCTCATGAACTGCCCCAAGCTAAAGTGAATATATTTTACGTCAGATATATTTGAATAACTATGTATAGTTTGATAAATTAATTTACTTGTCGATAATATGTTCAACCATTTCCGTCGACTCTTCCACCACACGGATGGCCTTTTGTTTTATTGCATCGTCTGCTGTTGCAGTATGGTAATAGCGTTTGGCCGTATACTCCGTGTGTTGGAGAGCCGACGCTACGTCCTTGGTGACTTCGGGCCGGTGTCCGCGACCCTCCGTCTCCAGATGCTTCCTCAACATCGACCCCGAAACCATGAGGAAATCCCCTTCTGTCCCGTCGGGTTTTCTAGGCAGGCGGATTTGTCTTCTTTTACACTCCGCATTGATTAGATCGAAGATTTTTCGTACTTCCGTGCCCGTGTTTGTTATGAAAAAATTTGGTATGTCCACTTTCGCCACCCGTCTCCGTAACGCGTAATATCTATTAACAAACACAATGTACGATGAAAGGTATTTTTTTCTGGCGTGCGATTATAGTCTTACCTATCCATCATATCCAACATCGGAGTATCTATGACAATCGTCGTCGGCTGCTTGTCACCCAATTTGTGTTTACACACCCAGATCACCGTCTGTTCGCCCCGGGCTGCCGCTTCAAATTCTGATAGGGTAAGGTGTTGTATGACCTCAACCCGGGGCTTGCCAATGAACAATAAATTCGCGGCCAGTGTCGTAGTCACGACCCGCCATAACTTCGCTAGCTGTACAAAAATGTAATGTTATAATAAGTCATGGCATTATAAATCATTATGTGTAGGTATATTACTTCCGTGTTAGATTTTTTGACGTCCACGATCATCATTTTAACATTCACTCGTCCCCGTGCGCTCCGGCCGAACTCTGTCTCCAACTTCACCATGTCATTTTCCAATTTGTCGAACATCTGACATCATTATTTTCACCGTCGCCATCATTGGAATCAATTGTACATCCACTACTTTATTTTAGAATGTTTCGGTGTGGCTTTGCTTGCCGACCCCCCGGGATTTGTCCGATAAGGTCGCCAACGTCGACCCTATTCGTTTAGGTTAGGTTGGTACTTTTTATACGGTCGTGCACACGCGACTGTAATGCCTTTCCGCCAATACCGTTATAACTCGACAATTATTTATCGCACGTCTTCGAAACAAACACCGTCGGAATCACCGTGAAACGGAGATAACAATTGTGTAACGATAATTGAATCTTGTGGCGGCTATTCCCCGTAGTCGGAAGTGCCAGATTTTTAGCTTTGGATGCGACGTAATTAACATGCGCCGCAAAGTTGAGTTTTCGATCGAGAATGATCCCGAGGTATATCGCTTGCGGTACGAACTTGACTCGGGCACCGTTCATCCGGATCTGCGGAGAACGTGCGTGAGGGCCTATGACTATTAGAGCCTCGGTCTTTTCCACGGAAAAACATAGCTTGTTTCGGTTCCCCCACTCGAGGACCGAAGCGAGTGCCAGATCGGCCCTGTGCTCGATCTCGGGTCGGGATCCAGCTTCCACCACGACCGCCCCGTCATCTGCTTACCCGAAGACGGTAACCCCTTCAGGCATGGTGACACTAAGTAAATCATCGAAGATGAGGTTCCAAAGGAGCGGCGCAAGCACTGATCCCTGGGGACAACCCTTCGAGATTTCCTTCTCGACTTCGACCGACTTATGCCGAATCACCGCACGGCGACCCGACCAAAAGTCCTTCACAAGATTGTACTAGTCTGGCGGGGTGTCGCGACGACGCAGTGCTGCCAGGACGGACGGCCACCAAGCGTCTGGCACGGCGGACACCCCCCGCGGGCAGCGTCAATCTCGATCGTCCACCAAGGAACGGGTTTTGGGCCCGCACCATGGGAGACCGGCATCGAGACGTCGCATGCCCTAACGAGAGCGTTTGAAACCGCCGATACACCGTACTCGACTTCGGCTCTGTCGGTTGCGTCATCAAGGGGCCGACGGTTCGCCTCCAGGGAAGCCCGGAAGGCGGGCCAATCGGCCTTACTCTCAACATTTCGTCTCGTGCAGCCGCGAACAGCCCCGCGAATCCCATGAACCCCCCAAGAAAGGGTGATCGCTCGGTGATCATAATCATCCTCCCCCACACACGGCCCGATCCTCCATTTCTCGTGGATGGGTCGTGAGCGTGACGTCAATATGACTAGACCCCGAGTGGGAGACGAAGGTTGCCGTCCGTGGGTCTTTATAGGATACACCAGCACCAGCAAGCCGTACCATACTGCTTCGACTACAACGAGTTGTATTCGGCGTCTCAGCCCGCTTGGTCAGCGGTTAATATTATACTAGCGTTAGTCCCAAAACCACCACGTTTCAGTCGAGATAGACTCCTCAACCTTGAGGGCAATGCATCCAGCGCGACAAGTCCCACCGGCGTGCATTGGGCTCCCCCTCTCCTCCCGTAGTACCAATTAATAATTTTGGTGAACATTGGTAGATTCACCCGAGGCTTTCGCCTCTCCCACTATTTTGACCTCCGAGTAGGCCGGCTAGTGGTTGGCCATAATTGAGACTTTAGAAACACCAGCTGTTTCAGGGGGTCTCAANCCCTCCGGACGTCTATGTTCCGGCATGTGTCCTCCAGGTGGTAGATAGTCGCCACTTACGACTGGCCCGGAGTTCGCCGTATGTGTATTCTAAGCATACAGGGCATACAGGCCCTTTTGAGTCACTTCCGGAGGAAGTGGTCAAGCGCCCGTATGAAAATGAGAACAGTCTCTCCACCCCCCGCTGCGTCGCGTTAGGGTGGAGCGTACTGCGCTCACCGGTCCGTTCGGTCGATGAGTGCGTTCCTGGCGAAGGTACACAGCCCATCATATCTCTTCCTCGTTAATACTAATTGTGATGGTTCGCACGGCCATGTGCCGCCATCGTTCTGAATCTTTCCTTCGAGTATTACGCGGTGGTTCGTTACACGCGGGCAGTCGAAAAGTACGTGTGAAACGTCTTCCAGATCCGCTCCGCATGCGCATGTTGGTTCTTCCGCCAACCTAAACTGAAACAGCTTCGCCCTAAAATCACCGTGTCCGGTAAGAAATTGTGTTACGAAGTGATCCAGTTCAAGTGGCATCATTTTTCTCGTTTTGACATCAGAGAACCATTTGTAGGTCCACCTGCCCTTATCCGTATTGTACCATCTCGATTGCCATATATCGTATTATAGCGTTCATCTGGGACATGTGAGTCTCTTCGTTGATGATATTCGATCTTAATTTCGTTTTGAGTTCCGTACTCTTTATTTCCAAATCCAGTGGCATAAACCCAGCAGTGACCTGCAGGGTGTCCGTCGAAACGGTTTTATATGCCCCGGTAATGGAGAGCAGTGCGCGTCGTTGTTTGGAACCAAGGTATTTGATTGCCTTGTTTGTGTTGGTGCCTTTTTCCCAGATCGTTGCCGCGTATGTTATCCTCGGAATGAATACCGAGTGATAAATTATCCTTGACGTGGATTGTTTGATTCCCCACGTCGAGGCATACGCGGTTCTGAGCCTAGTGTACATATCTTCTGATTTGCGTCCGACGTAGATAGGGACAGGAAAGTCCGAGTTGTGTGGTTTACGCAAGCGATCACCTACATTACAGATGCCTTGCCTTAGCCTATGGCTACTTAAGACACCTGCAGGATCACGGACGTTGCCGTCCGCGGGTCTTTATAGGAAACACCAGCACCGGCAAGCCGTACCATACTGCTTCGACTACAACAAGTTGTATTCGGCGTCTCGGCCCGCTTGGTAAGCGGTTAATCCTATACTAGCGCTAGTCCCACAGCCACCACGTTTCAGTCGAGATAGACTCCTCAACCATTGAGGGGCAATGCATCCGGCGCGACAAGTCGCGCCGGCGTGCACTGGGCTCCCCCTCACCCGTGGTACCAATTAATAATTTTGGTGAATATTGGTGGATTCACCCGAGGCTTTCGCCTCTACCACTATTTTGACCTCCGAATAGGTCGGCTAGTGGTTGGCCGTGCTAAGACTTTTGAAACACCAGCTGTTTCAGGGGGTCTCAATCCCTCCGGACGCCTATTTTCCGGCCTAGCCTCCAGGTGTTAGATAGTCGCCTCTTACGACTGGCCCGGAGATCGCCGTATGTGTATTCTAAGTCCCCAGCATACAGGGCATACGGGCTCTCCTGAGACACTTCCTTAAGAAGTGGTCAAGCGCCCGTATGAAAATGAGAACAGCCTCTCCACCCCCCGCTGCGTCGCGCGAGGGTGGAGCGGACTGCGCTCACCGGTCCGTTCGTTCGATGAGTGCGTTCCTGGCGAAGGTACACAGCCCATCATATCTCTTCCTCGTTAATACTAGTTGTGATGGTTCGCACGTCCATGTGCCGCCATCGTTCAGAATCTTTCCTTCGAGTATTCCGCGGTGGTTCGTTACACGCGGGCAGTCGAAAAGTACGTGTGAAACGTCTTCCAGATCCGCTCCGCATGCGCATGTTGGTTCTTCCGCCAACTTAAACTGAAACAACTTCGCCCTAAAATCACCGTGTCCGGTAAGAAATTGTGTTACGAAGTGATCCAGTTCAAGCGGCATAATTTTCCTTGTTCTGACGTCAGGGAACCATTTGTAGGTCCACCTGCCTTTGTCCGTATTGTCCCATCTCGACTGCCATATATCGTATATAGCGTNTACATTATACGAAGTTATACGAAGTGACCTGCAGGGCGTCCGTCGAAACGGTTTTATATGCCCCGGTAATGGAGAGCAGTGCGCGTCGTTGTTTCGAACCTAGGTATTTGACTGCCTTGTTTGTGTTGGTACCTTTTTCCCAGATCGTTGCCGCGTATGTTATCCTCGGAATGAATACCGAGTGATAAATTATCCTTGACGTGGATTGTTTGACTCCCCACGTCGAGGCATACGCGGTTCTAAGCCTAGTGTACATATCTTCCGATTTTCGTCCGACGTATAGTATATGATCCCAAAAGGTTCTCTTGTAATCCAATTGGATACCGAGGTATCTGATCGGACTACAAGATATGACGGCCGAGTTACCGAAATTAATAGAATAACCGGGCTTAAGTCCCCCCTTGAGAGTCATAACATTTGTTTTCATAGGTGAGAAGCTGAGTCCCCTTTCAGAGGCCCAGTTCACTAACCTATCCAGCATTGGTGAGAGTCGATCACGTACAATGTTGATGTTGGTTCCGGCCGTGACCACGGCCAAGTCGTCGGCGTAGGCTACGATTTTGGATCTATCGTGCCTGTGTAGCTTGAGCGCCCTGTCCATAGATAGGTTCCACAGAATAGGGCCGAGTTGTGATCCTTGAGGGCAACCTCTGGTGAGGTTGCACTTCGCGGTGGCTGTGCCGATGCTTAGTTCAGCGTGTCTATTTCTCAGGTAATCCCTGATAATAGACAGCGTGTGTTGGCTCGCGCCAAGGTCTTTGACGTCTTGAAAGAGTACTTCCCAGTTTAGATTATCGAATGCTCCTGTTATGTCCAGGAAGACACCGATAACGAATTTCTCTTTTCTGCCATCTGCCCAGCTTAGAAGCGAGTCGATGGCACTGATTGTTGACTTGCCAGTCATGAATCCGTGTTGGTCTTCCGAGAGGTTGACCAATACTTCCGCACGAAGTCTGGCTATGATGAGCGTCTCGAGCGCCTTCCCCAGAGTCGGTAGAAGACTAACGGGTCTGTACGATTTAGGGAGGGACAAATCTTTGTCTCCTCCCTTGGGAATCGCGACAATTACCGCCGTCTTCCAGCAGTCCGGGAAGGTAGCCGATTCTAGACAATCCTTGTATAGTTTCCTCAGAGGCGTTTGGATTAAGGGCCAGGCCCTCCTGAGTATCAATGAGGTGATCCCATCGATGCCCGGGGACTTTTTGACCCCTATCCTCCATATCGCGTCCTTGACATCCTGTAGTTCTACGGTGGTATCAGTGCTGACTGCTATTTCATCCCTGCCGAGTGGTACCGCGTCCTTGTCAGTCGGGATGAGAGAAGACAGCAGGTATTCTGCCGTCTCTAAATAACTTGTCGTGTATGTGTCGTCGTCTTTCTTCAGTGCTGTGAGAACTTTGTTCGTTCTCGGGCCCTTTTTTACCCATTTGTATAGGTTTCCCCATACTTTGTCGTTGGCGCTTTCAGCAAAGGATTTCCACATCTGAAACTTACTATGTCTAATAAGTCCCAGGTGTTTATTCCGTAGACGCTGGTATTCTTGCCTATCTGTGACTTTGTAATCCTTGGTATTACGAAAGTTGTTCAGTGATTTACGGCTCTTCGTTAAGTCATCGTTCCACCAGGGTGGTGGCAGCCTCCCAGGTCCCCGTTTGCGGGGGATACTGGATTCCGCCGCACTCCTGATCGCAGCCGTTAAAGCCGCTGCTCTCACGTCTACATCCCCTCTCATGAGGTCGGTTGCTTGACCTAGCTCGCGAGCGAGGTTGACGTTAAANAACTTACTATGTCTAATAAGTCCCAAGTGTTTATTCCGTAGACGCTGGTATTCTTGCCCATCTGTGACTTTGTAATCCTTAGTGTTACAAAAGTTGTTCAGTACTTTGCGGCTTTTCGTTAAGTCATCGTTCCACCAGGGTGGTGCCAGCCTTCCGAGTCCCCGTTTCCGAGGGATACTGGATTCCACCGCACTCCGAACAGCAGCCGTTAAAGCCGCTGCTCTTACGTCTACATCCCCTCTCATGAGGTCGGTTGCTTGACCTAGCTCGCGAGCGAGGTTGACGTTAAACTCGTCCCAGTCGGCTTTATCGGTATTGAAACGGGTAGTGTCCGGACCACCCCTTACCGTCTTAGAGTGCCTAAGACCGAAGGTTATGACCCTGTGATCACTGTCCGTTATACCTTTGGTGACTTTCCATCTTGTAATCCTTGCTGCTAAGCGCGCCGTTGTCATGGTTACATCAACGTTTGATTTCCCCATGCCAACCCGGTTGTATGTATAAGTTCTTCTGTTGTTATTGTGGACCGTTAGGTGATGTCTCTCAATGAGATCCTCGATTTTTCGCCCCTTGACTCTGGCCGTGTTGTTAGATGCGTCACACATCCATAGTGGAGAGTGTGCATTAACATCGGCACAGATGACGGTTTCACCTTTGAGTTCGTTAAGTATCGCGTCCAGTTTCATCACAAACTCAACCGTTGATATGTTGAATTTGAAGTATGATGAAACGAAGTTGATTATTTCTCTTCCAATGCTTACGGTTATTACCGTAAAGTAATCACTGGACAGATTTCTTAAAACTGTGACCTCCAGTCCCGCATTGAACACAATGATGGCGGCACCAGGTTTTTGTCCCGTACCACCAACAATGCATCTAATGGGGTCATGGTCTAGTCCTTTGATAGTCTTGTTCTTTGATGGGAACTCCTGTATTAAGGCTATATCAACCCTGTTGTCTATACAGTAGTCCCTCAGTTGTTCTACCACGATGTGTTGACCGTTCAGATTGTGCTGAACGATCCTTAACTCCGTAAGTTGGTATGCTTGGTTGCTGGTCATTGCGGAATGCCGTATGACGTTCTTCGCATGACATTCTCGATAGCCTTCGTGCGCTCAGCACACAGAGGTGATGTTGCTTCGTGCGCCTTTTTACAGTTTATACATTTGGACGGTCGTTCTTTATTAGGGCAGTCCTTACCGGTGTGACTTTTCTCCGCGCAGTGGTAACACGCGGTGAACATCGACACACAGAACTTCTCCCTATGTCCGTATTGCAGGCACTTGAAGCACTGATTGTAATCAAAGTACTCCGTAATCCTGCAGCAGGACATTCCAAGAAAAACTTTCTTCCCTGCGATTTTGCTCATCACTTCGGGTTTGACCAAGCATACCCAATGTACGGTCTCTTTATTCGGCGGGCCTCTTTTAAAGGATGGTTCGATTCCTTCAATTGCTTCTTCCGAACTAAGGCCAAGTACGGAGTTTTGTATAGCAAGCGTGGAAGCCAATACCTCTCCGGTTAATGTAACGTCGACGTCGTGTATCATCACCNGCATCGTAAGTTGCTTTGTCTGCTGGGGTGATTTGGAGATCACCCTTAGGCATTACTCGCGTGCTTACGATATTTGGTGCATCCAATTTTTTAAGAAGGTCCGACCATAAGGTCTTCTTAACGTCCCCTACGGTGGAGGTACCTACTCCGACAGTGAACGTTTTGGGCGGCTCTATTTTCTTGAGCCTCTCGGCCTTTGCTTTCTTCTGTAGTACATCTGGTTTGACCTTAGATCTGGTCTCGGTACCAGAGTCAGTACCTGAGGTCAAGTGTTGTTTCTTATTTTTCGGCTTCCTGTTTTTCTTCCTTCGTACAACGGTAAACTGATCGCTGGTAGCTGTCGCTTCCGTATCCGTTGTTATCGGTTCGCGGAACCGTACCCTTTCGGCGTACGTCATTGTCTTCGTAGGCTTGGAGCCTCCTGCTACCGGTGCACCAGCCATAGCTGGTTTCTTTGGCTTACTAGCCAACTCGGCTGCTAGGGCAGTCGCCTTTTGCTGCTTGATTCCTACATATGGTTTGTGTGTTCGTGCTTCCATAAGTCTGCCTGCTAGCAGACTATTTTCCGCAATCAGGTCATCCACTAGGTCCTGATACCTGAGTCTAATTGCCTGTAGATCGTTAAAAGATTTAACGCTGATCTTCTTCTTCTCCTTTTCTGAATTGAGAACTACGTTGAATTCCCCGTCGATTTCTCGACATTCAGATAAATAAAGTCTTATTTGTGTAGCGTCCATGCCGGGCTTATCATCCATGGTAGCACAAATCCTAGTGGATGTTTTCGCCCTTTGCAACCTTTTTTCTCCTAATAGTTCATGATCGTTGAAATCGTTTCCTTCGGTCTGCTTACGCTTCCTGTCTATGGTAGACGGGGTTCCGGATGGTGATCCGGAGCTGCTTCCAGCTCCACCTCTCAATCTCAGAACAGGTCTTGGAGACCTTGGCGCAATCTTTGCATAGTTTTCATCAGAGTCATCATCTGTATCTGTAGGAGGAGGCGGACTCAGCCTCTTCCTAAAAATTTTTCTTTTGTTCTTGGGTTCGTCGGCGCCTTGGGCCCATTTACGGATCCCACCGAACTGAACATAATCATAGTCTTCTTGGGGCAGCGAGGGGTAAGCCTTGCCAGGTTGGCACATCAACCTTGCTGCCTCGGGGTCTGAGTGGTATCCTGTGTACAATCTGTCGTTGAGCCGTTTGAATTCCAGTTCCTCATATATGTCCTCGGGTATTTTGTACTTAGGCGCATATGCTGGTAACGGTGTACCTGGAAATTCAAAAGACGTGGTCCCTTCTCTTTTCAACTCCTTTATCCTCTTCGTCCTTTGCCTCTCCTGATGTTCAGCCAAAAGTCTGAGCGCAGGGTTGTCGTCTTTGTACTTCCTCATCGGTATTTTAGATGTATCCACTCGTCCAGTACCCTGGTCCCTTTTAGCGTCCCAGTGTGATGGCTTCGTATCCTCGTTCCTTCTGGTTTCCCATTGTGTGTGTTCGTGCCGTCTAGAGTTCTTCTTATGGTCCCGGTATCGGTTTAGGGCTTCCCGTGCCAATTTGCACGCTGGCCCGGCCATTTCAGCCCATCCGAAGGGCTCCTCTACCGGTCTGCGGTCCGTTCTTTGCTGTTCGATATCTGCCGACACTTCCTGTATTCTTTCTAAGGCTAATGCTCCTGCCCTGATGTTGGGACGGAAATTGCCTCTTGTTGGGTTGTCCATTGAATGGAACGATGCGGTTGAGCTGGGTATAGAAATGAACGACTGATCCGAGGAGTTCGAGTCAAAGGACATAAATCGATCCCAACCCTGTTCCTCACGATTAGGTTCGTAGATAGGGACAGTGAGAATCTCGTTAATCCATTTATGTGCGTCACTAATTACATGACGAGGTATTAGACTAGTTCTCAGAGACCAAGTCCCGCTGAAACGGAATGAGGAGTCTTATCCCGAGAGATGCCGAAGAAGTTGCAGAGGGTATCCTTTACGGGAAGACTTCATTATAGAAAAAACTACCCGGAAAGAAATGTTCACAGGAAGGTGAAGGAGAGAAAGAAATAAAGACACGTGATCGGGGAGGCCTCGCAGTTTTTCGGAGGCGAAGACGTATCAACCGTCGTTGACCCGTTGGAGCACGAAATTGGCAGGTCAAGATAGGAGCTAGCAGCACGTCTTGTCTCATGTGACATTGTACGCAGTTTACCGGCCGAGACCGCCAAACGTCGGTCCATGAATGAACATCGGTATAAGGTGATCACGTAGAATGGCCAGTCGCATCTGCGGCTTCAAGAGGCGTACGACGCATAATATACTCCTCCAGTTGACCGCCCGCAAAGCTGACACCAAGATAGCGCCATAGCGACGACACAGAGAGAGCGGGGACGGGTTCGCCGTTTAGGACGTACACCGTATCCACCACCTTCAACTTGTGATTGCGGCCAGACGGGGTATCTGGGTCAGCGTTGCGCTTTTCGCCGGGTTCAGCTTCAATCCATCTACAGACACCCGGTCCGTGAACGCCTCGCACGAGCGCTGCAACCCTAATGGTGTGGAAGCCACAAGAATCACAACGCCCGCGAACGCAAGGGCGCTCACTTGCTCGAACCCAAGTGTGTAGCTAACTGCATGTGGTACAGTTCGTGGCGTTTCGTCTTCTACCACTTTAAATAATAGCGGCGACAATGGGTCTCCCTGGCGCACGCCTTTCAAAACCGATAGGGCCCGTGAACACTAACCCCTCGCCTTAATGAAGGGACCCGATTGCAGGTACAGACCGTGCAAGTAATCGACTCGTGTGAAACTGAATCAAACGTTTTCGACAAGTCGAGTGACGCGAGACAGAGACCCTTACAAGACGAGGGGGCGTCCCGAAGCAACGAAAAAAGCAGGAAGATGTTCTCCGTAACTCCATCCGCATACCGTAACGCGCGCTGCCTTGTGTAACAATCGAGAAACTCTCCAGACGGCGAGCCAGAATTCTATGATAATGCCGGAGCGCCACAGAAGCGATCGATATCGGACAGTAGTTTTCCGGACACGAGGGGTCACCCTTTTTCGGTAATAAGATGGAACGGGAAGTTGAAAGTTCAAGTGGCAGCTCCCCGCAGGCGTTTACCAGGTCAAATAGGCCGGCTAATAAAGGATACGTCTCCACAACCCGATCGGGAATCCATCCGGTTCAGGCAAAGTTTTAGCGCTGGGAAGGCATGACAGCACTTCCTCAGGTGTGATGAGGGATAGAATGTCATATAGTGTAGACACGTGCAGGCGGGTCCTGGATCCGGTTAACGTGGGCTGTGCCCTCGATAATCGGAATCCAGTAAGAACACATTGCGTCGAACGGCGGCCTTACGACCTTCAAATCGACCCCTGAGAGTACACGGTCTACGACAGTCTTTCTCCTTGATCTCCATTCATATACATTCCTCCTATACTCTGCGGCTTTCAACACTTTTTTCTTGGTTTTTCTATTACCCTTATTCTTATGAGTAATTTTAGCACCGGGCCGGTGCCTCGCACCTTTCTCGTGGTTCGGTGGTATCATGTAACCCGAACCACTCGTGGACAAACCTACAACTGCCGCTTCAGTGTGCGCGCGTGTCGTAATTAGTGGAGCGACCGCGACTTCCAGGGATAAGGATTAAAAGAAATAAATTAGTTAAGGATTAGTCAGTAAGGCACCCGTCGAGGGGAACGCGGACAAGATGTCCGGCTGTTCGTCCGATTCGGATTCCGTGGGCGCCGTTCAGAGGAATGAACGGCTCCTGCGGACAAACAAGAGAATGTCGCGGAAGAGAGCGTTGGTCTCTTCGGATGACGACGACGCTCCGCGGACCAAGAGGGTAGCGAGCCCGGTACCGGAGGGAGTGTCAGCAATCGCCGGTGATCGGGAGAAATGGTTAGGTCTGGGTCGTGACATCAGGAAGAGGAAATTGGAGAGGATGTTTGAGGACTTGTTGCACGGTCTGTGCATCATGAAAAAGTTGAGTTCCAGCCCGAGACAGGAGTTTGTGGATATTTTGGACAGGTATGTGGAATTGATGGACGAAGTTTTGAGGGAGAACGCCGGTTTGGAGGGAAGCTTGAGCGAGGCGAGGAGGGCAGGGCTGAGCTAGAGAAAAGAACTCCCCCCCCCAGGCTCAACCCCCCCAAAAAGGACCCCCCACCGCGGACCGAGGATAGGAAGGGAGAGGAGTTCAAGGAGGTTAAGAAGAGGAGAAGGAGGAGGAAGGGAGCAAAGGCCTCCGAAACCCCCCCCCCCAAAACGGCGCAAACGACCCGAGCTGGAGGAAGAGGGTGGAGGCGATGAAAGCCAAGGCTTTCGTCGTTAAGGTAGGCGAGGGCGGCGTTGAGGAGGCTAAAAAGAGTCTGGTCCGATTTGCTGAAGGGTCTCCCTGCCCCGAAGATCGCGAACACGGTGACCCTTCCACGCGGAGATATCCTCGTGAAACCGGCGGATGAGGGGACCTTCAAATCGCTAAAGAGGATGGAGGATGAGGGAAAGGCAGTGAGGGAGGAATCGGCCAGACGGCCGATGATCCTGATGTACGACGTCGGCAGAGACATCGAAAAGGATAGGTTAGGAAAGCTTCTGGCGGAACAAAATCCAGACTTAGGTATCGGTGAGGAGACCGTGATCCCCCTCTTCATGAAGGGGCCCAAGACGGGTGATTCTGTATGGTGGGTCTGCGCGGTCGCGCCAGACGCGTACCAAAAGGTTACGACCTTTTGGTAAGCGTAGGTAAGCGCGTGTATTTAGGCATGTCGTGTTGTCGAGTCGTAGAGTTTTCCGACGTTGTTAGGTGCTTCAAGTGCCAACGCTTTGGTCACCGCGCGACTAAGTGCCCTGCGGTAAATGCGCAGAAGTTGGTCACCAAGCCAAGGACTGCAAGAGCAATGCCTCAAGGTGTGCCAATTGCCAGAACGCGGCCCCATCGGCCCACTCAGAATGCGCAGCCAAGCTCAGGGCGACGCTAAACGCGGCCCGTAGGACGGACTTCGGTAGGACTTCGAAATGATTTCGGAATATTTTTCGGTGGCCCAGCTGAACATGTGCGGACAGGAGATCGTGTCCGACCAGTTGCTGGACTACAGTAGGAAAAACGGGGTCGAGGTACTTCTGCTTCAGGATGTACCTACCTCGGGGGGGAGATTGATAGGTTTCGACTACAGCGCCGCGAAAGTGGTTCTCAGTTGTAGGGATGGTAGTGCAGGGGCGGCCATAGTTGTCTTAAGTCNACTTCGGCTAACTGGGGCATCCGGCAAGCGACTTCGGCCGTAATATACAAGGCGGTATTCCTGCCTCGTATCACTTACGCGTCGGAGGTCTGGGCGTCGGGTGTGCTCACGGCCAAGGCGGTAAAACTCCTAGGCAGCAAGCAGAGGAGGGCCCTTTTGTCGCTCACAGGGGCATACAGAACCACTTCTACGGACGCGTTGCAAGTGGTTGCTGGGCAGCTGCCTCTGGATTTGGAAATTCGATGGAGTGTGGTTAGGAAAAAGAGGAAGGTCGGGCTCGTCTCCGAGGAGGAGAAAGTCGATCAGTGGAGTAGGATCTTGGAAATATGGCAAACCAGGTGGGACACCAGCGAGAAGGGGCGATGGACCCACTCGATGATCCCTAAGGTCAAAAGGAGGCTTGAGGTGCCGCTCGAGGTCGACCACTGCGTGACCCAGTTCCTCACGGGGAACGGGGATTTCAACGCCAAGTTGAACTCCTTCGCGCTGCGGGGATCGGGGGCTTGTAGGTGCGGTACTGAGAACGAGACGGTTGATCACGTGCTCTTTAGGTGTCCGGAACTAACGCTCGTGAGGGACCAGTTGATTAGGGACATAGGCGGGGGCGTGGCGAGGCCGTGTTCGACCGAGGTGTTTTTGAACACTAGGTCGAATTATCGGGCGCTATGTCGCTTCGCGAAATCAGCGATCGAGGCCAAACAGTTGGCGGATAGGTTAGAATAGTTCTGTCTAGGTTAGGTTCGGGTGAGTATAGGTTCGAGTTAGGTTAGGTGGACCCGTTTCTGGCGCGGGAGGGCTCTGGCGGTGCCCAGTAGGTACGCTCTCGTACAGTCCGAAACCGCCGTATAGGCCCACCACTAGCCGGCTGAGGAGCCGAAATAGTGGGAGAGACGCGTTCTCGGGTTGACCTACCGACGTCAACTGAAAACCCAGTCGGTGCCACGGGTGGGGGAGCCCCACTTCACGCCGGACCGGCCAGGCCGCTCCGGACTTAGTGCCCNAGGTTCGAGTTAGGTTAGGTGGACCCGTTTCTGGCGCGGGAGGGCTCTGGCGGTGCCCGGTAGGTACGCTCGTACAATCCGAAACCGCCGCATAGGCCCACCACTAGCCGGCTGAGGAGCCAAAATAGTGGGAGAGACTCGTTCTCGGGTTGACCTACCGACGTCAACTGAAAACCTAGTCGGTGCCACGGGTGGGGGAGCCCCACTTCACGCCGGACCGGCCAGGCCGCTCCGGACTTAGTGCCCCCAAGGTTGAGGAGCCTAACTCGGCTAAAACGTGGTGGCTGTGGGACAGGCGCCTGATAGTAAAGCTAATCCACTGTACCTAGTGGGCGCACGGGAACCTATCCCGGTCGCAGAAAAGGTACGGACCTTCGGATCCGGGGCCGGTGTTCCCTCTGAAGACCCTGGACCGGCGGGGGGCCGCCGTCGCCGCTCCAGCTCCACGACCGCCCGCAAGTAGCGCTCAGCGCCAAGACGCGGACGGCCGGCGGTAGGCGATAGCCATAAAACCCCAGGGAATCAGTTGTCCTTATCTACTCCTAATCGAGAGGAACAGGGTCGGGATCGATTTATGTCCTTTGACTCGAACTCCTCGGATCAGTCGTTCAATTCTATACCAAGCTCAACCGTATCGTTCCATTCAATGGACAATCCACCAAGAGGCAAATTTCGTCACAACGTTAGGGCAGGAGCATTAGCCTTAGAGAGAATACAGGAAGTATCGGCCAATATCGAACAACAAATAACGGACCGTAGACCGGTAGAGGAGCCTTTCGGTTGAGCTGAAATGGCTGGGCCAGCGTGAAATTTGGCACGGGAAGCCCTAAACCACTGCCGGGACCATAAGAAGAATTCTAAACGGCATGAACAAACAGAATGGGAAACCAGGAGGAATAAAGATACAAAACCATCACACTGGGACACCAAAAGGGACCAGGGTACTGGACGAGTAGACACATCCAAAATACCGATGAGGAAGAATAAAGACGACAACCCTGCGCTTAGACTCTTGGCCGAACATCAGGATAGGAAAAGGGCGAAAAGGATCAAGGAATTGAAAAAAGAAGGGACCACTTCATTCGAAATTCCAGGTACACCGTTACCAGCGTATGCACCGAGGTATAAAATACCTGAGGACATATACGAGGAATTGGAATTTAAACGACTCAACGATAGATTACACACCAGTTACCACTCTGACCCTGAGGCAGCAAGGTTTATGTGTCAACCTGGCAAGGCTTACCCTTCGCTGCCACAAGAGGACTACGACTATGTTCAGTTCGGCGGGATCCGTAAATGGGCCCAAAGCACCGACGAACCCAAGCAAAAAAGGAAAATTTTTAGAAAGAGGCTAAGTCTGCCTCCTCCTACTGAAACAGATAAAGACTCAGACGAAGACTACGAAAAGATTGCGTCTCCAAGACCTGTTCTGAGATTGAGAGGTGGAGCGGGAAGCAGCTCCGGATCACCATCCGGCACCCCGTCTACCATGGACAGGAAGCGCAAGCAGACTGAAGGAAATGATTTTAACGACCACGAACTCTTAGGAGAAAAGAAGTTGTAAAGGGCCAAAACATCCACCAGGATTTGTGCAACCATGGATGATAAGCCCGGTATGGACGCTACCCAAATTAGACTTTATTTATCTGAATGTCGAGAAATCGACGGGGAATTCAACGTAGTTCTCAATTCAGAGAAAGATAAAAAGAAGATCAGCGTCAAATCGTTTAATGATCTACAGGCAATCAGAATCAGGTATCAGGACCTAGTGGACGACCTGATTGCGGAAAACAGTCTGCTAGTAGGCAGACTTATGGAAGCAAGAACCCATAAACCATATGTAGGAATCAAGCAGCAAAAGGCGACTGCCCTAGCAGCCGAGTTGGCGAGTAAGCCAAAGAAACCAGCTATGGCTGGTGCACCGGTAGCAGGAGGCTCCAAGCCTGCTAAGACAATGACGTACGCCGAAAGAGTACGGTTCCGCGAACCAGCAACAACGGACACGGAAGCGACAGCTACGGATCAGTTTACCGTTGTCAGAAGGAAGAAAAACAGGAAGCCAAAAAACAAGAAGCAACATTTGACCTCAGGGACTGACTCTGGTACCGAGACCAGATCTAAGGTCAAACCAGATGTGATCCAGAAGAAAGCAAAGGCCGAGAGGCTCAAGAAAATAGAGCCACCCAAAACGTTCACTGTCGGAGTAGGTACCTCCACCGTAGGGGACGTTAAGAAGATCTTATGGTCGGATCTTCTCAAAAAACTGGATGCACCAAATATTGTAAGTACGCGAGTAATGCCGAAGGGAGACCTCCAAATCACACCGGCAAATAAAGCGACTTACGATGCACTGAAGATAATATCGTCGGAGCGTACAGTCGTTGTGCAAAACACACTGCGCAAACCGATGGTAATGATACACGATGTCGACGTCACCCTAACAGGAGAGGTATTAGCTTCCACACTCGCCATACAAAACTCCGTACTTGGGCTAAGTTCAGAAGAAGCAATAGAGGGATTTAAACCGTCTTTCAAAAGATGCCCGCCAAACAAAGAAACCGTACATTGGGTATGCTTGGTCAAACCCGAAGTTCTAAGCAAAATCGTAGGGAAAAAAGTGTTTCTTGGAATGTCCTGTTGCAGGATTACTGAGTACTTCGATTATAATCAGTGCTTCAAGTGTCTGCAATACGGACATAGGGAAAAGTTCTGTGTGTCGTTGTTCACCGCGTGTTACCACTGCGCGGAGAAAGGTCACACTGGTAAGGACTGCCCTAACAAAGAAAGACCGTCCAAATGCATCAACCGTAAAAAGTCGCACGAAGCAATATCACCTCTGTGTGCAGAGCGCACGAAGGCGATCGATAATGTCATGCGAAGGACGTCATACGGTATCCCGCAATGACCAGCAACCAAGCACACAAACTTACGGAGTTAAGGATCGTTCAGCACAATCTGAACAATCAACATATCGTCGTAGAACAATTGAGGGACTACTGTATAGACAACAGGGTTGATATAGCCTTAATACAGGAGTTCCCATCAAAGAACAGGACCATTAAAGGATTAGACCACGACCCAATTAGATGCATTGTTGGTGGTACGGGACAAAAGCCCGGTGCCGCTATCATTGTGTTCAATGTGGGTCTGGAGGTCACAGTGCTAAGAAATCTGTCCAGTGATTACTTTACGGTAATAACAGTAAGCATTGGCAGAGAAATAATCAACTTTGTTTCATCATACTTCAAATTCAACATTCGTCCGAACAGGAGAGGAGCCTTAGCCTTAGAGAGAATCCAGGAAGTATCGGCCAACATTGAACAACAAAGAACGGAGCGTAGACCGGTAGAGGAGCCTTTCGGTTGGGCTGAAATGGCTGGGCCAGCGTGCCATTTGGCACGGGAAGCCCTAAACCGCTACCGGGATCACAAGAAGAATTCGAAACGGCAAGCACAAACAGAATGGGAAAACAGGAGGAATAAAGATACAAAACCATCACACTGGGACACCAAAAGGGACCAGGGTAGTGGACGAGTAGACACATCAAAAATACCTATGAGGAAGAATAAAGACGATAACCCGGCGCTTAGACTCCTGGCCGAACATCAGGACAGGCAAAAGGCAAAAAGGATCAAGGAACTAAAAAAATACGGGATCGATTTATGTCCTTTGACTCGAACTCCTCGGATCAGTCGTTCATTTCTATACCCAGCTCAACCGCATCGTTCCATTCAATGGACAACCCAACAAGAGGCAATTTTCGTCCCAACATCAGGGCAGGAGCATTAGCCTTAGAAAGAATACAGGAAGTGTCGGCAGATATCGAACAGCAAAGAACGGACCGCAGACCGGTAGAGGAGCCCTTCGGATGGGCTGAAATGGCCGGGCCAGCGTGCAAATTGGCACGGGAAGCCCTAAACCGATACCGGGACCATAAGAAGAACTCTAGACGGCACGAACACACACAATGGGAAACCAGAAGGAACGAGGATACGAAGCCATCACACTGGGACGCTAAAAGGGACCAGGGTACTGGACGAGTGGATACATCTAAAATACCGATGAGGAAGTACAAAGACGACAACCCTGCGCTCAGACTTTTGGCTGAACATCAGGAGAGGCAAAGGACGAAGAGGATAAAGGAGTTGAAAAGAGAAGGGACCACGTCTTTTGAATTTCCAGGTACACCGTTACCAGCATATGCGCCTAAGTACAAAATACCCGAGGACATATATGAGGAACTGGAATTCAAACGGCTCAACGACAGATTGTACACAGGATACCACTCAGACCCCGAGGCAGCAAGGTTGATGTGCCAACCTGGCAAGGCTTACCCCTCGCTGCCCCAAGAAGACTATGATTATGTTCAGTTCGGTGGGATCCGTAAATGGGCCCAAGGCGCCGACGAACCCANTGGAAGCACGAACACACAAACCATATGTAGGAATCAAGCAGCAAAAGGCGACTGCCCTAGCAGCCGAGTTGGCTAGTAAGCCAAAGAAACCAGCTATGGCTGGTGCACCGGTAGCAGGAGGCTCCAAGCCTACGAAGACAATGACGTACGCCGAAAGGGTACGGTTCCGCGAACCGATAACAACGGATACGGAAGCGACAGCTACCAGCGATCAGTTTACCGTTGTACGAAGGAAGAAAAACAGGAAGCCGAAAAATAAGAAACAACACTTGACCTCAGGTACTGACTCTGGTACCGAGACCAGATCTAAGGTCAAACCAGATGTACTACAGAAGAAAGCAAAGGCCGAGAGGCTCAAGAAAATAGAGCCGCCCAAAACGTTCACTGTCGGAGTAGGTACCTCCACCGTAGGGGACGTTAAGAAGACCTTATGGTCGGACCTTCTTAAAAAATTGGATGCACCAAATATCGTAAGCACGCGAGTAATGCCTAAGGGTGATCTCCAAATCACCCCAGCAGACAAAGCAACTTACGATGCATTGAAGAGAATATCATCGGAGCGCACGGATGTTGTCCAAAACACACTGCGCAAACCGATGGTGATGATACACGACGTCGACGTTACATTAACCGGAGAGGTATTGGCTTCCACGCTTGCTATACAAAACTCCGTACTTGGCCTTAGTTCGGAAGAAGCAATTGAAGGAATCGAACCATCCTTTAAAAGAGGCCCGCCGAATAAAGAGACCGTACATTGGGTATGCTTGGTCAAACCCGAAGTGATGAGCAAAATCGCAGGGAAGAAAGTTTTTCTTGGAATGTCCTGCTGCAGGATTACGGAGTACTTTGATTACAATCAGTGCTTCAAGTGCCTGCAATACGGACATAGGGAGAAGTTCTGTGTGTCGATGTTCACCGCGTGTTACCACTGCGCGGAGAAAAGTCACACCGGTAAGGACTGCCCTAATAAAGAACGACCGTCCAAATGTATAAACTGTAAAAAGGCGCACGAAGCAACATCACCTCTGTGTGCTGAGCGCACGAAGGCTATCGAGAATGTCATGCGAAGAACGTCATACGGCATTCCGCAATGACCAGCAACCAAGCATACCAACTTACGGAGTTAAGGATCGTTCAGCACAATCTGAACGGTCAACACATCGTGGTAGAACAACTGAGGGACTACTGTATAGACAACAGGGTTGATATAGCCTTAATACAGGAGTTCCCATCAAAGAACAAGACTATCAAAGGACTAGACCATGACCCCATTAGATGCATTGTTGGTGGTACGGGACAAAAACCTGGTGCCGCCATCATTGTGTTCAATGCGGGACTGGAGGTCACAGTTTTAAGAAATCTGTCCAGTGATTACTTTACGGTAATAACCGTAAGCATTGGAAGAGAAATAATCAACTTCGTTTCATCATACTTCAAATTCAACATATCAACGGTTGAGTTTGTGATGAAACTGGACGCGATACTTAACGAACTCAAAGGTGAAACCGTCATCTGTGCCGATGTTAATGCACACTCTCCACTATGGATGTGTGACGCATCTAACAACACGGCCAGAGTCAAGGGGCGAAAAATCGAGGATCTCATTGAGAGACATCACCTAACGGTCCACAATAACAACAGAAGAACTTATACATACAACCGGGTTGGCATGGGGAAATCAAACGTTGATGTAACCATGACAACGGCGCGCTTAGCAGCAAGGATTACAAGATGGAAAGTCACCAAAGGTATAACGGACAGTGATCACAGGGTCATAACCTTCGGTCTTAGGCACTCTAAGACGGTAAGGGGTGGTCCGGACACTACCCGTTTCAATACCGATAAAGCCGACTGGGACGAGTTTAACGTCAACCTCGCTCGCGAGCTAGGTCAAGCAACCGACCTCATGAGAGGGGATGTAGACGTGAGAGCAGCGGCTTTAACGGCTGCGATCAGGAGTGCGGCGGAATCCAGTATCCCCCGCAAACGGGGACCTGGGAGGCTGCCACCACCCTGGTGGAACGATGACTTAACGAAGAGCCGTAAATCACTGAACAACTTTCGTAATACCAAGGATTACAAAGTCACAGATAGGCAAGAATACCAGCGTCTACGGAATAAACACCTGGGACTTATTAGACATAGTAAGTTTCAGATGTGGAAATCCTTTGCTGAAAGCGCCAACGACAAAGTATGGGGAAACCTATACAAATGGGTAAAAAAGGGCCCGAGAACGAACAAAGTTCTCACAGCACTGAAGAAAGACGACGACACATACACGACAAGTTATTTAGAGACGGCAGAATACCTGCTGTCTTCTCTCATCCCGACTGACAAGGACGCGGTACCACTCGGCAGGGATGAAATAGCAGTCAGCACTGATACCACCGTAGAACTACAGGATGTCAAGGACGCGATATGGAGGATAGGGGTCAAAAAGTCCCCGGGCATCGATGGGATCACCTCATTGATACTCAGGAGGGCCTGGCCCTTAATCCAAACGCCTCTGAGGAAACTATACAAGGATTGTCTAGAATCGGCTACCTTCCCGGACTGCTGGAAGACGGCGGTAATTGTCGCGATTCCCAAGGGAGGAGACAAAGATTTGTCCCTCCCTAAATCGTACAGACCCGTTAGTCTTCTACCGACTCTGGGGAAGGCGCTCGAGACGCTCATCATAGCCAGACTTCGTGCGGAAGTATTGGTCAACCTCTCGGAAGACCAACACGGATTCATGACTGGCAAGTCAACAATCAGTGCCATCGACTCGCTTCTAAGCTGGGCAGATGGCAGAAAAGAGAAATTCGTTATCGGTGTCTTCCTGGACATAACAGGAGCATTCGATAATCTAAACTGGGAAGTACTCTTTCAAGACGTCAAAGACCTTGGCGCGAGCCAACACACGCTGTCTATTATCAGGGATTACCTGAGAAATAGACACGCTGAACTAAGCATCGGCACAGCCACCGCGAAGTGCAACCTCACCAGAGGTTGCCCTCAAGGATCACAACTCGGCCCTATTCTGTGGAACCTATCTATGGACAGGGCGCTCAAGCTACACAGGCACGATAGATCCAAAATCGTAGCCTACGCCGACGACTTGGCCGTGGTCACGGCCGGAACCAACATCAACATTGTACGTGATCGACTCTCACCAATGCTGGATAGGTTAGTGAACTGGGCCTCTGAAAGGGGACTCAGCTTCTCACCTATGAAAACAAATGTTATGACTCTCAAGGGGGGACTTAAGCCCGGTTATTCTATTAATTTCGGTAACTTGGCCGTCATATCTTGTAGTCATCCGTTGGTGTATCACGCGCGAAAGTTCGACGACTTTTGCGAAAGTTACGGCCGTTAAAAGTGCGATATAGGTGCGATATTTGCGCGGGTAGGTATTTCGCGACCGTTTCGGTCACGGAAAAATCGTTTTTCTCGATAACTCCGGATTGGTTGCGAATTTCGGGACGATCGATACATTCACGGATTCGTGTTGTGAACGCGCTTCTGTTCGCTTTTCCGGCCGAGTTAGCGATTTTCCGGTTTTTCCGGTTTTTTACCCCAAGCTAGTGCCAGATTTTTTCGTGCGTTGGCTTAAAACGTTCCCCTCGACGAAACGAATTTTTCGGTGAGCCGTTGGGAAAAATCGGGTGAGATTTTTCGCAAGGTTCAGATTTTCCGCGCGATAATTACTGCGTCACCGCGGCGCGGTAATCACCACAACGTCAAGGTCACCCTCTTGTACGCGGTCTTCGCCCTCCGCGCACCAGCGAGTCCGTTTGCAACGCTGACAGCAGCCCGCACGTAGGCACGCGTGTGCGCCGTTGCCGGTACGTGCACAGCCGCCATCACAACACCGCCGCCACCACAATATCGCCGCCGCCTCCTCCGCCGTAATATTGAATAGAAAACGCGCGAGGGTTTACATTTTCGCGCTTGGTTTACCTGAAGCACCCACCTTCGAGGTGTTACCTACGGTTAATAATCTAGGTTCACTTAACATAAATCCACGGCACTAAGCCATCGGTTTAGATTAGATTAGACGTTATGATAATTAAATTCGATTAATAAATTAAATTAAATTAAATTAAATCGTATACTGAATAGGTACAATTAGTGATAAAATAAGCCATAGGCTAATTCAGGTTAAGCAACATGGTTAGAAAATCCAACCCGTTGGACTCTTCACGGGATTCGGATTCGTTTTCTGAGGGGGACGGCTCGGCTAGCGAAGCTAGCGAAGAAAGGGTTCAAAAAGAGATGTCGGTCAAGGACGGTAGGGTTACGAGGAGCAGGGATACGGTCGATGAGGATGTGTTCCTGGACGCATCGAACATCGAAGGTGAAATGGGGGAAATCCCGGAATGCGACCGTCAGCGACGAGGAGGAAGAGACGATCGAGAAGGTTGGAACGGAGCTGGTGCAGTACCTGTCTGAGGAAAAATATAGGAGGCTGACGGTCAAGATTGTGGAGAATTTGATCGAGTTTAAGGATAGATACGAGAGGATCGTCCGGGGCGTCCAGTCGGGGGTACACCGACTCGAGGGTAGCCTAGCCGAAGCCAGGAGGGAAAGGGAGGCCGCAAGCCTCGAGATTTGCAGAATAAGAGAGGAAGCAGTCGATGGAGAGATTAGGAAGACAAGAGAACCCAGGCTTCGGAACTTAGCCATTGTTAGCCCTTGGAACCCCAAGGCGATCACTGGCGTTCCAGACCCGCCACGTGGAGGCGTCATCTTGACCGCCGTGTCATTGTCTGCGCGTTCGGAAGTATGATTTCCGATCGCGCAGTCGCTTGTTCTGCCCCGAGTTTGGGGCTGGTCAATGGAAATGTCCGTTAAAGTCATATTTTTAACAATATCGGTCTCCTTCCTGGGTTGGGAAGGGACCACGTCGGCGGGACTAACCGGAGATCGAACCATGGTTTCGCTCCGTGCACGTATTGTCTCGTGCGGAATGGTGGTCTGGAGCTTCCCCCGAGCCTACCCGGAACCACTTCCGAAGACTTCCGCTCAGAGCCGCTACGCTCGGGCGAAAACGATTTTTGATGTGTCTACTCGTTCACTACCCTGGTCCCTTTTGGTGTCCCAGTGTGATGGTTTTGTATCTTTATTCCTCCTGTTTTCCCATTCTGTTTGTGCTTGCCGTTTCGAATTCTTCTTGTGATCCCGGTAGCGGTTTAGGGCTTCCCGTGCCAAATGGCACGCTGGCCCAGCCATTTCAGCCCAACCGAAAAGCTCCTCTACCGGTCTACGCTCCGTTCTTTGTTGTTCAATGTTGGCCGATACTTCCTGGATTCTCTGTAAGGCTAAGGCTCCTCTCCTGTTCGGAAGAATGTTGAATTTGAAGTATGATGAAACAAAGTTGATTATTTCTCTGCCAATGCTTACTGTTATTACCGTAAAGTAATCACTGGACAGATTTCTTAGCACTGTGACCTCCAGACCCACATTGAACACAATGATAGCGGCACCGGGCTTTTGTCCCGTACCACCAACAATGCATCTAATTGGGTCGTGGTCTAATCCTTTAATGGTCCTGTTCTTTGATGGGAACTCCTGTATTAAGGCTATATCAACCCTGTTGTCTATACAGTAGTCCCTCAATTGTTCTACGACGATATGTTGATTGTTCAGATTGTGCTGAACGATCCTTAACTCCGTAAGTTTGTGTGCTTGGTTGCTGGTCATTGCGGGATACCGTATGACGTCCTTCGCATGACATTATCGATCGCCTTCGTGCGCTCTGCACACAGAGGTGATATTGCTTCGTGCGACTTTTTACGGTTGATGCATTTGGACGGTCTTTCTTTGTTAGGGCAGTCCTTACCAGTGTGACCTTTCTCCGCGCAGTGGTAACACGCGGTGAACAACGACACACAGAACTTTTCCCTATGTCCGTATTGCAGACACTTGAAGCACTGATTATAATCGAAGTACTCAGTAATCCTGCAACAGGACATTCCAAGAAACACTTTTTTCCCTACGATTTTGCTTAGAACTTCGGGTTTGACCAAGCATACCCAATGTACGGTTTCTTTGTTTGGCGGGCATCTTTTGAAAGACGGTTTAAATCCCTCTATTGCTTCTTCTGAACTTAGCCCAAGTACGGAGTTTTGTATGGCGAGTGTGGAAGCTAATACCTCTCCTGTTAGGGTGACGTCGACATCGTGTATCATTACCATCGGTTTGCGCAGTGTGTTTTGCACAACGACTGTACGCTCCGACGATATTATCTTCAGTGCATCGTAAGTCGCTTTATTTGCCGGTGTGATTTGGAGGTCTCCCTTCGGCATTACTCGCGTACTTACAATATTTGGTGCATCCAGTTTTTTGAGAAGATCCGACCATAAGATCTTCTTAACGTCCCCTACGGTGGAGGTACCTACTCCGACAGTGAACGTTTTGGGTGGCTCTATTTTCTTGAGCCTCTCGGCCTTTGCTTTCTTCTGGATCACATCTGGTTTGACCTTAGATCTGGTCTCGGTACCAGAGTCAGTCCCTGAGGTCAAATGTTGCTTCTTGTTTTTTGGCTTCCTGTTTTTCTTCCTTCTGACAACGGTAAACTGATCCGTAGCTGTCGCTTCCGTGTCCGTTGTTGCTGGTTCGCGGAACCGTACTCTTTCGGCGTACGTCATTGTCTTAGCAGGCTTGGAGCCTCCTGCTACCGGTGCACCAGCCATAGCTGGTTTCTTTGGCTTACTAGCCAACTCGGCTGCTAGGGCAGTCGCCTTTTGCTGCTTGATTCCTACATATGGTTTATGGGTTCTTGCTTCCATAAGTCTGCCTACTAGCAGACTGTTTTCCGCAATCAGGTCGTCCACTAGGTCCTGATACCTGATTCTGATTGCCTGTAGATCATTAAACGATTTGACGCTGATCTTCTTCTTCTCCTTTTCTGAATTGAGAACTACGTTGAATTCCCCGTCGATTTCTCGACATTCAGATAAATAAAGTCTAATTTGGGTAGCGTCCATACCGGGCTTATCATCCATGGTNTTATTTTTCGGCTTCCTGTTTTTCTTCCTTCGTACAACGGTAAACTGATCGCTGGTAGCTGTCGCTTCCGTATCCGTTGTTATCGGTTCGCGGAACCGTACCCTTTCGGCGTACGTCATTGTCTTCGTAGGCTTGGAGCCTCCTGCTACCGGTGCACCAGCCATAGCTGGTTTCTTTGGCTTACTAGCCAACTCGGCTGCTAGGGCAGTCGCCTTTTGCTGCTTGATTCCTACATATGGTTTATGGGTTCTTGCTTCCATAAGTCTGCCTACTAGCAGACTGTTTTCCGCAATCAGGTCGTCCACTAGGTCCTGATACCTGATTCTGATTGCCTGTAGATCATTAAACGATTTGACGCTGATCTTCTTTTTATCTTTCTCTGAATTGAGAACTACGTTGAATTCCCCGTCGATTTCTCGACATTCAGATAAATAAAGTCTAATTTGGGTAGCGTCCATACCGGGCTTATCATCCATGGTTGCACAAATCCTGGTGGATGTTTTGGCCCTTTACAACTTCTTTTCTCCTAAGAGTTCGTGGTCGTTAAAATCATTTCCTTCAGTCTGCTTGCGCTTCCTGTCCATGGTAGACGGGGTGCCGGATGGTGATCCGGAGCTGCTTCCCGCTCCACCTCTCAATCTCAGAACAGGTCTTGGAGACGCAATCTTTTCGTAGTCTTCGTCTGAGTCTTTATCTGTTTCAGTAGGTGGAGGCAGACTTAGCCTCTTTCTAAAAATTTTCCTTTTTTGCTTGGGTTCGTCGGTGCTTTGGGCCCATTTACGGATCCCGCCGAACTGAACATAGTCGTAGTCCTCTTGTGGCAGCGAAGGGTTAGCCTTGCCAGGTTGACACATAAACCTTGCTGCCTCTGGGTCAGAGTGGTAACCGGTGTGTAATCTGTCCTTGAGTCGTTTAAATTCTAATTCCTCGTATATGTCCTCAGGTATTTTATACCTCAGCGCATACGCTGGGAATGGCGTACCGGGAATTTCGAATGAAGTGGTCCCTTATTTTTTTAGTTCCTTGATCCTTTTTGCCTTTTGCCTGTCCTGATGTTCGGCCAGGAGTCTAAGCGCCGGGTTATCGTCTTTATTCTTCCTCATAGGTATTTTTGATGTGTCTACTCGTCCACTACCCTGGTCCCTTTTGGTGTCCCAGTGTGATGGTTTTGTATCTTTATTCCTCCTGTTTTCCCATTCTGTTTGTGCTTGCCGTTTCGAATTCTTCTTGTGATCCCGGTAGCGGTTTAGGGCTTCCCGTGCCAAATAGCACGCTGGCCCAGCCATTTCAGCCCAACCGGAAAGCTCCTCTACCGGTCTACGCTCCGTTCTTTGTTGTTCAATGTTGGCCGATACTTCCTGGATTCTCTCTAAGGCTAAGGCTCCTCTCCTGTTGGGACGAATGTTGCCTCTTGGTGGAATTTCCATTGAATGGAACGATGCATTTGAGCTGGGTATCGAATTGAACGATTGATCAAAGGAGTTCGAGTCAAAAGACATAAATCGATCCCGATCCTGTTCTTCTCTATTAGGTTCATTCGACATACGTTGGTTTCCAGACATGTTCCCAGAGGCTCCCCATAACCAAGGGTAGCCCGGAAACGAATTTTTCAAAAATCCTCAAAAAATCCCTTTAGGGATTTTTTTTGAAAATGGTCCGTATGTGGTCTGGGCACTCCAAAGAGGCCCTTGTGAAGGTTAACGCTTACCCGCCCCAAATGGGGTGGGATCGGATTTTTCAAAACCCTTTCAGTCCCTTTGAACAAAATCTGTCTGAGGGACATTTTAGGGTATTCCGTAACTAAGCGAACGACACCAGCCCCAAGTCTGTAGTATGAAAACTGACGGAGTTATAGCGATCCAAAAATTACCAAAATTGGGGGTTACAGGGGGGAATTTTTAGTATGTAGTGGGGGGACAGTCACCTATACCATAGGTACTTGTCCGGGGTCTTTAATTTGAATATTAAAGATTTGCCGCCACTTTTACGCTTCCGTGACGTCACAGTGAAAAATCGAAAAATTATTCAAAGTACAAAACGTAAACAAACCGAACACAGTATACGTCACGAGAAATAATTCGTAAGCGCGCGTGTGTCGAGTATGACGTCAGATGTGTATGTCGAAAAAGAACGATTTTCTCCTGGTACCCTGGTACCTGTATGCTCGTTTTTTGGGATTAAAACCTTAATATTTTGGAAACGACTTTACCTAAAATTATGAAAATAATTTCTAAGTACTCACGGTCTCGTTGCACGTACGTGGATATGTAACATCGATTTTTGTGCCGCCCGACCGACTTAAGTCCAGTCTTCCACGAAAACCGATTTTTGCCGAAAATTTGAATATTCGAATATTCTAGTATATTCGACCGGATGCCCGCTCGCGTGACGTAGGCCAACGACCGCGGTCGTTAACCGTTAACTGAAACGTGGAAGTCGCGCACCCCACCACTTTGTCATAAGTCCTATCTTTTAACACGCGATTTACTTAAATCCCGAATAAACGGAGATAAAAACACAGTTTCACTACGATACGCACTTTAAAGTGTAGCTGTAGCACTAAGAAAACGGATTGTAAACTTTTTATAAAAAACGAACTCGGACTTAGGCAGTTATCGAAAAAGCTAAGTCTCGCCGCACGAGCGCGCTGCGCGGAACGAAATTAACGTGGGGTCAACACGTATAATAGATACCACGGTCGCAACGCTACTGGTAGTTGGGGACAGTGAGAATCTCGTTAATCCACTCATGCGCGTCACTAATTAGATGACGAGGCATTTGACTAGTTCTCAGAGACCAAATCCCGCCGAAACGGAACGAGGAGTCTTATCCCGAGAGATGCCGAAGAAGTTGCAGAGGGTATCCTCTAAGTTGCAGAGGGTATCCTCTACGGGAAGACTTCATCATAGAAAAGCCTACCCGGAAAGAAATGTTCACAAGAAGGTGAAGGAGAGAAACAGATAAAGACACGTGATCGGGGAGGCCTCGCAGTTTTTCGGGGGCGAAGACGTATCAACCGACGCCGACCCGCCTGTACGTGTATCTCACTTACTCTGAAAGGACTGCTTGAGCTGCATTTTCTCAACCGTCCGCCGCGACGCCGCTAACGCTTCGACCCGTGGAATAATGTAATATGTAATAATGTAAAA